CACTCGGTTCAAATACAGAAACCACCTACCCAAGCTAATAAAAAAGAAGAAGTGGTGGCTTGGTTACAAGCAAAAGGCATTGACACAAATATGCAGATGCTAAAACCAGAGCTAATTAAATTAGTTAAAGAAAATAAAGCGGCAAATGTGCGATACGAAATCGATGAACTGGCTCTGGAGTACGGTCATCGCGTTCTAAGAATTCCACCGTATCATTGCCAATATAACGCGATTGAGCTAATCTGGGCTCAAATAAAAGATTACGCCGCCCGCCACAATACTTCCCCGCCATTCAGCACGAAAAAGATGATGACCCTATTAAAAGAAGCCTGCGGGGAAGTCACAAGAGATGACTGGGCAAAGGTTGTTGAGAAGACTAAAAACCTGATTGTGGAACATTTTGACCTAGATATCAGGATTGATTCTGTTATTGATAATACTATAATTATACATGTAGGCGAAGATGATGATGAAGACACTACCTCCTCAAGCGAATCGGAGTCTGATTAATATTCTGTACGCACATTCAATTCAATGTACTTTATTGCATAGAAATACAGATTGTAACTTTGTAACAAAGAATAAATAAAACAATTTTATTATATTAATATTACCTTTTTTTGGTTTCCACTTAAATTACTAAAATATAAATTTTAAATGATTCCGCCAATATAAAACGAAAATAATCTTAAAAATAACGCGGTGGTTCATTTTGGAGGAACGGTAACGAACTCAGTGTAATGTTGTGCCCATCACTAGTCGTGAGTAACAGATAGGTGTCAGGAACGCATTCTCTGAACGGCCGAACTATAGTAGTAATAATTTTTGCTGACAAAATTTTGGATTAAAGTATAGAATAAGAAGGTTAGTGAAAATCGGGACATTTGGCGTCCCGATCAAGGGTGAATCGGTACGTGTCACTAGACCCTTGAAAATCGGGACGTCCCGCGCAAATCGGGACACCTGGCAACACTAGCGGGATCGAACCCGGATTGTTCGCGTTTACGGCGAAATATCTGGGGGCACGGTAGTGCCCCCGCCAAGTCGAGCAAAACAGCGGCACGGCCGTATCATCATTGCGAGACTTGGTTATTTTACAAGTTATGTTTTTGATGGCATGTCTTTGTTTAATCATAACGTTATCTCCACACTAGGAATTTTTCCTAAGTACATCGTGGGGGCAGTTTAAATACATTAATTTCACAAGGATAAACATCCAGACCTGGAACAATTATTTGTAGGTAATACAAATTTTTGTTTCATGTGGGATTCGAACCCGCGGCGCTCAGCGCTACAACTCATTACCAAGTCACTCCGCCACGAAGCCAACGATTTTGTATTCGTTCATTACTCATTTCTAAAAAAATATGTATGAAATGATAATTTGCCACCATTACATCATTTAATATTTAAATATTACTATCATAAACACATTTCAAAATTACTTACTATCAAAAATATCGCTTATAAAAGTCTCAATCGTTTAAAATGCTCGATGGTGCTATAGGTATCTAGTTATAGTATAGTGTAGTATAGCCCTATCGGTGTATCAACGCGATCGCGCGGGGTCGGTGAGAAAAGGTAATACGTCCTATCGTTGGGATTACCCGGCCCGGAGCGTACTGAATCGAACGGCGTCTGCGCATGATGATTTATAGTATTTTTAAAATAATTATATAAAATAATTGACAAAATAAAACGAGCTAAATTTTTTTTTGGATGTTTAACATTACATGTATTTGGATAAAATAATTAAAATAGATATGTTTATAACCAAATACATGGAAAAAATTACATTGAAGTAGACAGTTTTGGTGATTTTATAATATTATTTTATAATATTAAATCGAAATATTTTCGTAATTTAGGTTTTGCTATACAATAAAAGAACGAACTGAACTGTGTCCGAAGGATAGATATCGAAGTCCCTTTCACGTGCGTGGGTCACTGTATTAAGCAAAGATAATCGGAGTCCAAGAATAGCCAAGTCGTAAGAAAATATAGGAAAAATCTAAAACATTCAAAGCACAGTCAAATTCAAAAACAAACAAAATGGTGGTAGTGGGTGGTCACGTTTAGAAATTATAATTTCGTGTTATAACACCAATATTCCATCTTCCAATTAAACAAATAAATTAGACTTATAGCAGATAATTTTCTGGTGAAAATATCTAAATTCACATTATTAACACATTGATTTAATCAATGTGATACGATCATTGAATTTGATTTAATTATTTAAAATAACGCGTTTTCGGACGTAAACATACTCCAGTGCCGTCCTTTGGGGAGTTGTGGAACTAAATATGCAATGCCAGTTTCTATAGAACAGAAAAATGTTCTAACTACAAAAACCCTGTTACTAACTCTCTCTTAGTCTTATTCTATCCTACATATGTATATATATATATATATATATATATATATATATATATATATATATATATATATATATATAAGCACACACTACAGTAATAAGGTGTATTTTACTTTTTTATTAGTCCATTTCACAACGCGCTTACAAAGGATATTGGAAAACCTATTGGAATCCTTTTTTATTAATATGTATGTACCGATTAGATCCGCGAATAAAGAAATTTTGAGCTGCGAATTTAGGAATCGGGTCTTTAATCCGCGAATAGTGAAAACGCGAATGAAGGAAGCGCGAATAAGGAGCTTTTACTGTATATTGCAAAATAACCCTGTATATACAGGATGTTCAGAAGGCCGAAACAAAGTAATGAGGGGGGGGGGACAGGTCACCTCGTGGGGCAAATTTATGAGCAGGTTACCCTAATCTCATAATCTTAAAATTTCTAGTTATTGTGAAAATTATGATTTTGGCAAATATCCCAATATTTGATATTTAATTGTTCATAATGTTTAAACTGGCTACAATTAGTACATAAAACCTTGTTTTTTAAACAACTTCGAAAAGGAGAAGGTATTCAATTCGACTGTATGTTTTTGGTTTTTTTTCATTTGTTACCTCATAACTTTTCTCTGGGTGAACCGATTTTGACAGTCCTTTTTTATCTGAAAGGATATATAATTTGTATGGTCCCATATAAATTTAATCAAGATCAGACCAGTAGTTTTTGAGTTATCTTTAATAATGCGTATTTATTTAATTTTGAATACATTAATTTGGTCGTATTGAAGTAGGTTGTACAAAAACACCTAGAACTCATGCCCTCTTTCAATCCTAGTCCAATCCCAATCTCTTTTTCATCAAGGTGTATGGTACTTGAAGATACCTGCCTATTTTTCGGAACTAGAGCACCTACACCAAACCGAAGTCCGGTTTCACAAAAAGTTCTGGTGGTTTTTTTTAAATATAATTAAAAACAGGTTTATAAATAAACTCTTTATGATCAACTCCTATATTATTTATGTTCAATACTTTTTAAAAATTTCAATACATTTTGTGCTCTATTTTGCACTTAATTGGTTGTAATTTTTCATTTGTTTCAAATGCTTCCATAATCTTTTCCATTAAATGTTCCGAGTCGTTAATTCTGTAGTGTAGACCACCTCTTTGTCTCGACCCCGGACATTGAAATCCATAGGGTTAAAATCTGGCGATCAAGCAGGTCACGGCACTGGCCCTCCTCTTCCAAATTACTTGAATGGTCGAATTCTGATACCTATTGATATTTCTAATTGGTTAACATTTTTCTACCTTATTCCTTAAATCAATTATGTTATTTTCTAAATCTTATCTTAATTATGTTTTTTTATTTTTTTTAAGGAAACTATTCAATCGGAGTTTTCAAAATTTGGGAAGATTTTACACTGTCGATTAGTCAAAGACATTGTGACGGGAAAATCCAAACAGTATGCATTTATAGAATATGACAGCATAAGCTCTGTTGAAAAGGTTTTAAGAGACATGCATAAAGAATACATTGATGGCTCAGAAATTATTGTGGAAAGAGAAGCAGAAAGGAGACTGCTAGGATGGCGTCCACGAAGGCTCGGTGGAGGTTTTGGTGGATGCAAAGAATCAGGGCAGTTGAGATTTGGTTGTCGAGAAAGGCCTTTTCGTAAGCCTATTATTGTCCAACAAAAACATGATGATCTTGCTCCTGTCAAAAGGTGAGCTAAATTAAATTGGTTTATATTTACTCCTTAAGTTTCAACTTATCCTACTTAGCATGATTTCAGAAGTTTCTGTATTTAATTGCAATAACAGTAGCTTGTATCAAAATATTTTACACTTATAAAAGTATAAGACACAAAGCCAACGAAAGTCATTGCCGTCTTTAAAGTACACAAGTTGCAAAGTCCTTATTCATAGTCTAGTAAATTTGGCAGCTTTTCATTGTGTCGACAATCGACATGAGGTGTATGGTGCTAATAACGAAATTGTACTCATTAGTACTCTAAACTGTCACCCCAATCTCTTTTTAACTGACTCCAAAAAAACAAGTAGGTTTTCAATTCAATTGTATTTTTTATTATGTGTGTTACCTCGAAAACTTTTTCTAGGTGAACAAATTTTGATGATTCTTTTTTTATTTAAAAGCTGGTTCTTTTCATGTGTATTATTATATAAATTTGATCAAAATCTGACCAGTAGTTTTTGAATTATCCCTAATAATGCGTATTTAATTGATGTTCTCATTTTATTTATATAGAAGTCGGTTGCATAAATTTTTAATTTTACCACTTGTATTGGTATTGTATGTTATTTTTTGCTAAATTGTTTTTGTTATTATTAAGTTTTAATTTAAATCTCTTTTAGGCCTCGTCACTATTAAAATGATTCAAAAACAGTAAAATATGCACTCTGTAATCTAATGGGCCATGCTTTGGCAGTATTTTTGACTAATGTAGTAATGAAGAATGTCACTCATCAAAAATGAATGAAAATGTGCAATGTGTGTTGCAAAGAATTCAAAGGATGGTGCAAGTCCTTCACCAAAACAGAAATAGCTTTGAGTCTTTTACAAGCTACACTTTTGGTCATATTTATTTCTTTTATAACTTTTTTGATAATGCATTTAATTGCATGTCGGAATAATGAGGATGTCAATACCAATGATGTAACAAAAACTAATTCAGAGGTGACTGTCAAAAATAAAATTACATCAAAATCCACAGCTGTTACATCAAATATATATCTAGTAGATTCAGCGATAGAGTGTACTTGGATGCCATCAGAGAAAACAAAGGCTGCAACACATTATTATGCTAAGGATTATACTCCTGTTGTTTCAAATTATGAAGAAACTTCAAATGTTGACAGTAATATGAATTTAAACACATTAGCTACAAGCATTAATAATGATTCAAAATCGGAAGATTTATCGGATGATAAAATTGCAGATAATGTCAAGAAAGGCTTTCTTCTTGCACTTGTAAAAATACAGTCCCTTCAAGATGTAACATTTGGATGTGTTTTAACTATTATATCTGAATATTGGACCCTGACAGCAGCAAGTTGTATTGAATCAATTGAAGAGGTTGATGCTTTGGACTCTTTTGTAATGTTAGAGGAGTATGGAGAAAAAAACTTTGGGAAAACTCATACAGTGTCAGATGTTCTGATACATCCAGAGTATCAGGGCATAAACAAGAATTATGACATAACAGCTCTAAAATCTGAAGACAAACTATTGAAGAGAGACCAACCAGTAGTGAAGCTGCCTACCGTGTTGGAGTTTCTCATGGTAACGATTGGCGAACAACTAAGTCTTCTTGGGTATGGAAAGTTCAGGTATCTATTACATTCCGTATTTTTTTTATAAAAAAATATCCATTCAACATATCGCGTTTTTTGCATTACAACTAATTTATAATTTAAGAATGTACTCAGTAAGATTTATAAAGGTCCTCCTCTACATTAGTTTCATATGTTATAATAATTATATAGTGTAGTATTATATTGTATTAATATGTGAATATACAAACTATACTTATAAAAATTAAATGAAAGCATTTTGATTACACCTGTGGCTGTAAGATCGAAGAACCCATTGTCTTTCATACATGGACAAATATTTAAAAAAAAAATAATAAATACCTTCTTTCTTTCCACACCATTGATTGAATTGCGATCATAGGAGAAACTAGTTATTATTGGTATATTAAAATTAGTTACAGGTTTTTGAAGGAGACTTACGTATACCATTAGATTACAGATTTCAATTTTTTTTTTGAAGGTCATATATAACTTTTGTATTTTTTTTGGAAAGCCAGCGATTCGCTCCGGCTTTGCATGGGTAATTTCTGATTCTTATGTTATGTTTTATTTATTTGTAAAACCTCCACGACACAGGAAAAAATCCTAGTATGGGGTGGGGGGTAAAGTTTTTTTTAAAAAAAAAAGAAAAAGTCTAGAATTAATAAAATAATTATTTGATTTGTTTGATGATCGAATATGTTGAGTTTTATAAAATAATAAATTTATCGTATTGTATTAAGTTATATAACACATATAGGTACACTATATTTACTTTAGTTTTCTTTATTGGTGGAGCCACGTGTCTAAGGTTGCCGAAGTCTAATTCCCCGGTCGAACCTTAAACCTATTACGCGAGATATTAATCTAAGTGGACTGTATCTACAAAATGATTCTACACTTATATATGCGGTACAATGCACTCGCTCTTCCCTAAAAACGAACTATTATTTGCCAAATCGATGAAAGGAATCTTGCTTGATTAGGAAAACACAAAATTGGAGCGGATTAAAACAATTATATCAAGCAGGCTATAATATTGGATATTGACTCACCGGGATGTTTCTTCTATGCGGTCGAGCACTATAACTGCGACTTCTGGAACTTCTTCTGGAACACTCCGGAGAGAGGCGGTGCGCGACTATATCTCACACGAGGTGAGGCGGGTTTCCTGGAGCTCGATTGCTTCCATGCTAAAGCGGTTTCTACTAGTGGTGCGGTTTCAACAACGGGCGCGGCGGGAAGAGGAGCTCTTTAGGACACTATTATCCTAGGCGGTGTGGTTTCAACGACGAGCGCGGCGGGAAGAGCCTGCGCGTCGGTCGCGCGTGCCTTATATATCCTCGGTTCCGATGATTACGTGATGTTCTAGAATCATCTTCTTTCCCCTCCCACCCCACCACCCCGATGTGTCGATAGGAGGGTATGAATGATATCGTTTTGGAATGGGATAACCGATTTGGCAACCTACCGTCAAATTAAATAAATACGAATGGTTTTCCGCGCAACCATTTATTTTATTGTGTTTTCTCCCCCTTTGGGGGCATAAATTTTTTAGAAGTGTCACTCCTATAAATTATTAATAATAAAAATAGTACCTTCACTGAGATCCTATACACACCTTTAAATTCCACCATCAGAAAGGTGAGATCATAACAGTCACCTATGTCTTTATGAGCCCTTTCAAATGAGTTCAAACACGATCGTTCTATCTAGTAGCGTCACTGAGATCCTATACCCACCTTCGGAGTCCACCATCGGCTAGGTGATATCATCATAGTCATCTAGGTCTTCATGAATCTTTTTGAAAATGAGTTGAAAAAAATTACAATGGTTCTACGTAGCATCACTATGAGCCTTCACCCATCTTCTGATCAATCATAAGGAAGGTGACATCGTCACAGTCACCTTAGTCTTCATCCTCCGTCAAACGAAATTCTCTAAATATATAAAATAACTAGCTTACCAGGCAAACGTTCTTCTGCTCTTTTCGGCGACAGTTTGTCATGTCCTATTAAAAATCCTTAAATTCGCAAAAAAACTATCCTATCTCTCAAGTTTGACCAAACTGCACACGGTGTGCAAATTTGATTAAAATCGGTTAATAGTTAAGGAGTCCATCGCGGACCACAAACAACGTGACACGTAATTTATATATATTAAGATAAAACTCCAAAAAGCATGGAAATAATGTATGTAGCTACTAAGAAAGTAGGTACTTAGCAGTAATTAAAACGAACTGAAACCAGCGGATTACGGCGCGCCCGGAAAACCCCGTGGAGTGCCAACAGTTAAAAATTTCAACTTAAGATTTTGCACTCACGATCAGTTTTTGGATTTACGTCAGTACGACTGAGCAGTTTCAACTGACAGTTCCAAAAACTTGATCTTGAATATATATTCTACACTCACGATCAGTTTTTGTATTTACGTCAGTACGACTGAGCAGTTTCAACTGACAGTATGACCGAAAAAATCCGTAGGTTGTCTTCAGTTGAAAATTTCAACTGAAGATTCTACACTCACGATCAGTTTTTGGATTTACGTCAGTACGACTGAGCAGTTTCAACTGACAGTACGGCCGAAAAAATCCGTGGGTTGTCGTCAGTTGAAAATTTCAACTGAAGATTCCACACTCACGATCAGTTTTTGGATGTACGTCAGTTCAACTGATCATTTTAACTGACCGTGTGTGACGTCCATTAGGTGTCTTTTGGAAGAATGAATGTTCACTAGAGTATATGAAAGCTGTTGATAGTGCCTTATAAGCTAAGTGAACCCCGTTCACGAAGCTCGAGAAAGTTTAAGAACATAAAAACGTTCCTATTCCACTTGTATCAGGTTTACATTTTTTTTAAATATTAGTAATCTTGTTAATTGACATTACTAATATTCCTTTTAACCACTCTTGGTAAGCTTAAAAATGCTTGTGTTAGGAGTGGTTCACGACAGTAGTCAAATGGCGGATTCGAACCCACGACCTTTTGAGTTCGCGATCTGCGCCCTGCCATTAGGCTACTGTCGCTTCAAACATTATTAATTTATTATTAACTATCCCTTCTCGCTTGGAAAAGGCTCACAATATATTTATACAAAATACCCGATACAAGGGTTTCGCTCTCCTACATTCATTAAAAAAATGTAGGAGAGGCACACAGCTCCACACACGCCGTGCGCATGTCAATGCGTGTAATCGCCATACAGAATACGAACGAATCCAGCCACAGTTAATGTACGTCACACGGTTTAGACAAATAGGCACACTGGCCGTAAACCCGCCGTGAGCGCCACCACCTGCCAGACCGCCGTTCCTGCAGACGTGATATAAGTATATGGCATCACCACCAATTGCATGATCAGCACGGCTACTAGCTGCAGAGCGTGTCATGAGTCTACCGCTCACCTCAAGGGAATGGTGTCCCACGTTGTGCGGCTTTCGGCCGCAGCCTTGAGAGTCTCCTCAGATCCTCCCTCCAGCTACCACCCGCATGAAGTCGACACATATGCTCCACCAACCAATACAACGGCAGATATAGCCAATAGGCCGTTTAGGAATATTTGCCATCAGAAAGGGTTTGTGTCACTGACGTTGAGTAAATGCATTATCGATCATGTTTGTCTCACTCACCAACAAGTTGCCTTCAATCATTCAAAGGTGGGAAAGTTACAGAGATATATTATTATGTTGTTATATAAAACATCATGGAGCTCAGACAGTCTGCAGCCCCGTAATTAAGGAACCCGACTTGGGCAAAGCTACTAAGGTGTGAGTCAAACTAAGACGCAGAGAGGGCCATTAAGAATAGCGTTCCACCAAACAACCATCGCAGAGACGCAATGCTGCAGAACGCAACAAGCATCAATACGACGATCGCCGGGTTTACACCAACCCAAGGTCCCTCATACATACCAGCAGACATCACCTCCCGCATACCTCCATCGACCAGAACCACAAGAATGCGTCGAATCAGGCGCAGCACACCCGCAGATCCATCACAAGACGCAATACCGCAAGTAGCAGTAAGCATCAATGCAACTATCATACGGATGGCGCACCCTCACAACACACCCACATGAACCCTATCGACTTTGGTAGCAAAATGTGTATTGTTGTTAACTAAAAAATAACACCAACGTATCATAGTAGCACGCTACTAAGACGCTAGTGAACAAAACTCCACGTATCATAGTGCTAGTGCACTAAGACATGAAGTTGACTCCAAAAATTTAAAAAAATGCCCCGTTTTAATCTCCGTAATACGACTACCAAAGAAATTTGAAAAGTTTTTAAGATAGCGGTGAAGCATGGATCTATTTTTCCTTTAAATTTTGATGCTAAAAATAATTTCGTCGCCTTAGTTATCGAGGAGAAAGTGGGAATACGAAACGTTGATCGGTCATGGTTTTTGTAAGTAAAATCATTCTGAGCTGCAGTTCTCCCCATCGCACTCTACGGGGGGAGACCAGAGGTGAGGGAGGGTTAGATTAATACGAACATTAGGGAATTTATTAAAACTACTTTTACGGATTTTATCGCGTTTAATTTTACTTTTAATTATTTTATTATTAATTCCCGACGTTTCGGGTGCTTTCCAGCACCCATGGTCACGGGAGACTGAGGTGACTGACGTCCCGATGTCATTTTTAGACCCGGAGTACCTTCAGCTTTTTTAATTATTGTTTATGGTCCGATCTATGCAAAATGAACTGATTATGTCCTGAGGTCTTATTATATATATATATATATATATATATATATATATATATATATATATATATATCCTGAGGGAATTAAAAATAAAAAGAATTAAAAGTAAAATTAAACGCGATAAAATCCGTAAAAATAGTTTTAATCAATGTGTAGTGTTCGCGTAAATATAAGAAATCACAATTAGGGAAGTGACAACTGTCGAAGTTAGAACTGCACACAAATGCATGCTATTCACTCACATATTGCTACCTCGGTTGCTCGGGGCTCAGCGTGACGGCAATAGTTTCTTCAAATACCTATTTCTCAATTGCCGCGCAGACCGACTTAATGCAGTTCTGCTAAGCTTATGGCGATATATGATAAAATGAAATGTAACAGGGAGGGGATGGGAAGTGGGGAGGAGTCGCGCGCCGCTCGTGAGGTGCACGTGCACCGCGTGGCGGGCGCGCAGTGCGCGGCGGCGGCGCTACGCCACCTGATGCGACCGGCGCCAGCGCCCCCGCCCACGTGCGCCGCGCCGCCGCTGTGTGCGCGCCCGGTGCACCTGCGCGCGCCCCCACCCCCGCCCGCGCTCCCCCCCGCGCCAGATGCCTGCTACTGCGGCGGTGCGCTGCTGCTGCGCGGCACAACAGCGTTGGGCGTACAGGTAAACATGGCTGTTCCAGCTATAACCATATGAATGTAATTCACCGCTTTTAAATGTAACCAATCTAACAAAATAAATTTGAAAAACAATTAACCTTAAGCTTATCCCTAAATGAAAACACACTCGCGCGCATTTTGATGAATTTTAGATACAGCGTTATCTGGAACGATTATTAATAACAATACAGTTATTAGACAACCGACTCCAAATATAAATTATTAATTCAAATTAAATGCAATTCGTGTCTGTGTTAAGTACGAAGGAAAGTTCGTTGAATTCGTAACATAGTAAAGTAAACTAACAGCAGAAAACTTTTTTAAATGTAGTTAATTATAAGTTATCATAAGCTGACACGAATAATGATTTTCTTAACTTAATTTTTTACTAGTCAGTCTTTAAAACAAAAAAAAATGAAATACAAGGAAATAAGCAGTTACATTGAGTTGTTTACAAAAAAGAATTAAACACATAAATTCGTTGTACGTTTTAAACCGTTATTCACATCTCTATGTGCAGGCGGGCCCCTGCGCCGGTTGCGAGCCCGCGCTCTACGTCAGTCTCGCACACATCGCTGACTGGATACACGCACTGATTGCCGACGCTCTATAAATAAACTATTCGCACTAAGCCATGCTGTTTTATTTGTTTCTCGTTCTTTTGTAGTTTAGAATGACTTGGGTGACAATGATGGGATCGCATGAACACACTGATGAAGCAACAGTTTACTATATTTTATTATAACATTAAAATTAAATCCTTAAGATAACTAGAAAATAGGGTTTCGTACCTCAAATAAAAAATACGGAACCCTAAGGCGTTGGCCACGTTAGAACTACTGCGGGCAGCGGAGGCGGGAGGCTCCGCTGCCCGCAGCGCTGCGCTGACGCTGCGCCTTGCCGCTGTAGTATGCCACGTTAAGGCGGCTACATGACATGTGGTTTCTTTCTGCTATTTTTGCGCAGTCTAAAAAATGACTAGAAGGAAATAGTTTTTTACACAAGATATACTTAATGCAAATTAAAATGGGAGTTCATGATTTAAACTAAAACAGGCATCAGTTTGGTGAATATCATAGACTGTGTGATGAAATACGTCAATACCCATAAACGTTTAGAGAAATATAATTTTCATGCTTATTAGACCATATTGCAGACAGAGACAAGAAAAGGTCCGAAAATCGTTAATTTGTAGTTTTAACACAAAATAGAATTGAATTTACAAACTTACTTTAGTATTGGTCGTGACGTATATATTATATCGATGTATGAGATCAAAATTTTTTTTAAATAAGGGTAAAAACGAGCACCCAGTCCACCTGATGGTAAGTGGATGCTGTGGCCCATAGACACATATATTCAATTAAGAATCAAAACGCAGATGCGTTGTCACCCCTGAGGACTAAGACGGAATGCCTCGTTTCCAGTAAAAAATGGTCTCCGGATCTCTACACTCATTATACGAAACACAGCAGTATTAAGCTGCTATTTTACGCAGGTATTCATTAAGAGCGTGGTCCTTCCCCGGTCGAGCCGACCCATTCGTGCTATAACCATAATATAGCTGCAGCGTGGCTGTAAATGCCAACTTACTCCCGTCATAAGGATGTCAATGTATATTACATACCTTTCGGAGAGAATTTAAAAACATACTCGTAAAAATCCCGTTATGGAGAGTTGATTCCCGTAATGGATGAACTATCTGCATACGAGCACAGAATAAATATATCGTACAAACTCGTATACTACGTAATACGAGTTTGTACGAAACACTCGGTGCGCGAGTCTGAGTCCTACTTTATTTCAATTTAATAGCATCTCTTATTTAAACTTTGGAAAATGATTATGTACCTACCTACTTTTACCAAGTTTGTATAAAAGTTATAAATTATGAGTAGAGTAGAGTACCTATTAAAAATATGTAAATAATAAATTATTTAACACATATATCTTATTAACTTACCATTAGCTGATGATAGATTTCCTGTCGATGTAATCGTATAATAAATACGTGGTTAAGTTTTCTATCCAAAAACACGCCACGTTCGAAGCTATGGGCAAAAGCTAGTTTAAATATATCGTCATCATCATCATTATTATTAAAGCCCTTTACAAGTCCACTGCTGAACATGGGCCTTCCCCAAGGAATGCCACAAAGCACGGTCCTGAGCCACCTGCATCCATTGACTTCCTGCATGTTTTACCAGGTCGTCACTCCATATAGTGAGGGGGGGGTCGCCCTACATTACGCCTACCGGCTGCTACTCGAGAACCTTTTTTCCTCATCGGTTGTCGGTTCTTCGAGCTGTATGGCCGGCCGATGGATGACCACTTTAAATATATTGCTGAATAAAATTCACTAAGTAGGTAGGACTGCTTGTATGCCTAGGCGCACTGAATATATATAACTGTACATATTACATACTAGATGTGCGCGCCGAGTTAGTAAAAACCGGCGGCGGCGCGCCTTCAAAATTACCTCAGCGGCGGCGTGAACATTTTATCTTATTTTCGTTTAATAACTGTAAATTTAGGTGATATTATATTAAAAACAATCCAGTTTTTGAAAAATTACTTTATTTAAAATCAAGCAAGGATCACGTCTTTGACATCTTTTTTGCATTGCTTGTAATTGTCATGGACAAATACTGATCTTTTTACAGTAATTACGAGCCCTGCAATAGAAAACACTCGTTCGCTCGGAATGCTTGTTCCAGGAATGCATAATACTGCCTGTGCTAAGGATGACAACCATGGCTAAGTATTTCTTCTTTTCTTCCAGTGACCCAGGAGATCGCCGTCTTCGAGCCCAGCGTGATCTGCGGTTGCGATATATTTCCAGACTTCTTGGTCGATATATTCAACACTCTCTGAATTAAGTTGGGAGTAGTTATATTTGCGAGACAGCTGAGTTAGTAGTGATTCCTTACTTGTACTTGGGCTTTGGATTACTTCTTGTGGATCTTCACTTTGGTCTCGAGTAATGGATTTTATTTCTGTTGCGCGATCCACTAAGAAAGACGCAGGTGTCATCCCTTTGGTTTTGAGGTATGTGACTATTTCTTTAAGCCTCATAAAACGGCAGTCTAGCAAAGCTGCAGTGACAAGTGGTTCTGTTGTCGGGAACCTTTTATTGAGGTTGGCCAACATATTGTTTTTCAAAGCCAACATGATCAACGTTTCGTCATCTGCAATTGAATTAAGCACTTCCTTTAATAGTGCATCTTTTATGAGATGATAAAACCTCCACCACTTCTTGAAACTTGCCAAAAAACATCAAAACTTCAAGCAAATTCCATTACATTTGCACATTTGTCGTCTTGGCCGATTCTTCTCAAAATGTTGTTAATGGGATTCTGTAACAACAATGTGCCATACTTTCAAGCATCTCTAGAACACTATGCCAACGTGTGGGTGTAGACGTTTTAACGCTAGGAACATTTGACAAATTTCCGAAAAGAGAGCGATCTTCTTCGACTTCGTTTTCATTCCCGCAAATAGGATCATTTTCATCGTCTTCAACAGTTTGAGCTGCTGTTTCCAGAAGATTTAAAAACTTCTTTTGTTCGTTATCTGCATCTTTCTCTAAATCTGGCAATCGGTATCTTACTGTTTTTACTATTATTTTGCATTTAACAATTAAGTTTAAAATTTCTGTAGTTTTTTTATCCCATCTACTATGACAAGATTATGGAGACCATGGCCTAGGCAAAGATGGCTATCAATTTTCGCCAATTTAACTGCCCGTTTCACAGTAGTTCCTACGTCAGTTACACTGCAAAGCTTCTTGTCAGTGATTGCAAACTCTTTTTTTGTTTCGTTTATTGCTTTCTGTATCTTTTCTCCACTCTTAACACCTTCCATTAGTTCAGTTTTAAGCGTGAAAGTTTTCAGCTCAAAGTCTGAAATAAAAAGAAAAGGTTTGGCTGAACTAAGCAAGAGAAAGCAAAACGTATAATTCAATAGCTATTAGGTTGTGGTAGAGTATGGCAGGATTGAAAGAAGTTATACATAAATTCGTTAGGAAAGGTTATGCCGTGAAATAATATGTATTAGTGAATAAAGGTATTAAAGCCTTTACCGTCAGTCAGGTAGTGCAATGTAAAAGTAATATAATTGAGACGTCTATAGCTGTCTGTGCACAAATCGAAAGTGATTGCTGGTTGAAATGCATTATCGGTTAATATTTGGATCTCTATGTTATGAAGCATACTTTCGTAAACATCGTCTAATCCAGCTCGACTGACTGAATCACGTGCAATCACGAATCATGTCTGAAGTGGTATTAATTATGCCATACTTCTGAAACAGAAACATGAATAAATGAGTACTAATTGTAGCTATTTATTAATTAATAACTATTAAGAGTAAGCTAGGTTAATAAAGCTTGATTCTGTCACATGTTAAAAAGCATACACAACCTTAAAAAAATCTATCATTCCTTCGTCAGCAATTGAATCAAATGACATCGAAGACTTGCGCATCCACAAAGATAAATCTCTCGTCAATAGCCATTTGTCAATAGGTGGTTTGGGTGTAATATCTGTGCGAACAGTTATAGGCAAAGTAGACTTAGAACGGCGGTCAACATTGAAAAAATCTTTAATATTTGTTTTTCCCCTATCCGCGTCTATTTCTGTTCGAATTTTGTGCTCATCGCGAAGATGTCGCATTAAGTGCCACCAGTGCTCACCGACTTATTATATTATTTGATGTTTGCGCTGAAACAAAGCTACAAGAATTTCACACAAAAATATAGCCAGCAATAAAATCAAATACCCATAACCAGTCTCATGTAGATTATAGGTAGGTAACTATTATTGTTAGGATATTCGTTTATACAGCAATTATTTACTTAAGTATAACATTATTTTGTTAGAGAAAAAGTGTTATGATTCTTTTTTTATTTCGGTATTGTGTTCATAAAGTGTGTCAATATAAATTCGTTTCTCGACTCCTACTCATTAACATAACCACATTATTACAAAAAAGCCGTTCACCGTAAACTGAACTGGCGAGTGTTGATAAGTATTGAGCCGCAACTTTTCCTAAGGTAAAAATCAAAAAATCCATAAAAATGGTAGGTTTCTAATAAAGGGGGTATAGCCTTTATTAGAAACCTACCATTTTTATGGATTTGCATCTCTTGCGTTTGGTACGCTTAAGTAATGATCTAACTCTACTGCAGCGGAATTCGTAGTATCATCAGGTCGGTAACTGGTTAATGCGTCAGCAGCTTTTTTTCCTCCAGAAGCATGCTTTGAATGAATTTTTTTATGTGTTTCCTAAGATCGAGAATTTTTCTAGATGTTTTCCGATAAAACGATTTTCTATGAGCAGTCATTTTCGTACCAGATAACGAAATCAATCATCAACAGTGTCTAATAGGTATCTGCTTACGATCCGAACGATAAGTTATCACCACACTCATCCTTCTTCGAAGTTTTTTTTTTATAGAAGAGGGGGCATACGAGCGTGCGGCTCACCTGATGTTAAGTGACTACCGCCGCCCATGATCAACCGCAACACCAGGGGAATTACAGGTGCGTTGCCGGCCCTTTAGAAAGGAGTAAGTTCTTTTCTTGAAGGTCCCCAGGTCGTATCGGTCCAGAACATCGCCGATGGTAAACTATTCCACAGAGAGGTTGTACGCGGAAGAAAACTCCTTTTAAAAGGTACTGTGGTGGACCGCCAAGCATCCAGATGGTGTGGATGGTATCGGGACGTTAGCCGCGTAGTGCGTTCACGAAATTTGGCGGCTAGGCTGACCTATAGTGCCAAACACGGCGGCAGCCTGCAGAATGCGACTGCGATTTCAGCGTGAGTGGCACCTCACTCCGGACAAGACAATGGTCCGAGGAGCCTAAAGGGGCTTCAACGGAAATCTGATATCCGTCCGGGTGAGAGGTCAGGAGAGGTGAGTCGTCTATCATTATTTAATTCCGCTACCATGTTGATGGGGGGGGGAGGGATTTGGGCCTCCAGCCACCTGCACTCACCAGACGAAACGCGGAAGCAGAGCTTCCACTTCACGCCGGTATTCTGTGAGGTCGTGGTACCACTCCGGTTTGAGCCGCCCCATACGTGCAACAGCAAAGCTGCCGCGTGGCTCTAACACTGTTGAACGGGTAAATTAGACAAATACTGCAAAACACCAGGTCTTCTAAAACTTTTTTCTTCTTGTTGACGTTCTCATCGGCATCTTGTAGAACAAGATCGCCGAAATATTTCCAGCACATGCTGCTTTTTGCTTTAGAATTGAACAAAACACTCACTGAGAATCTTTTAAGTTTAAATTTCTCTATATCAAACTTCAATGCCATTATAATAATGATTTATATACGTAAAATTTAACTAAACGACGAGTATGTGACGCCAGAAATGCAAAATATTTTCCCGTGGTTTGTCTAAGCTAAGCTTCGACGCTAGCGTGCCGTGTAGAGATGAAGCGTATATACTAGAACAGATCCCTAAGTATTTAACGAGACTAAATTGCACTTATTTGCAAAATAAGATCCATCTAGTCTCACTGTGCCTACGCGTCGTACTCGTATTTTGTTGCCGTAGACTAGTTACTAGGCGTTCAACTCAGGTCGTCTTTGCCTAAATCATTAGTTTGTCAGTCATTTGAATTTCCGCAGTCTTCCTATCTTTGTCTGTCAATACTCGAGACTCGAGACTAGTCGGGACTCGGGACTTCAACCAAATACTAGTACAAGAGTACAAGGCAGGCGAGTGTCAGTTGTTTATAGTACCGTACCTTTGACTAGAGAAAAAAGAAGAGTTCTTTCTTCTCTAGTCAAAGTACCGTACGGACTAATGCGAATGTGATCTCGCTGGACGTTGTTTTCATGTTTCCATGACTACATAACGTAGTATTGGAAACGTAAACAATTTACGTTTCCATGAGTATGTAATACATTTTGATGAATATAAATTATATAATTAATATAAGTAAATGTATCATGCATGCTTTCAGTAGTGTAAAATGCGTTCATTTACCCACTTTTTTTTTTTTTTTTTTTTTCGTTCGTAAGGAGTAAACTTCTGCCGTGCGCCAGAGCTGATAAACTCACTTTTTATTTTTTTGTTTTTCAGAACAATTCTTTTTTAATGTTGTTATAAGAATTATGCAAACAACATTTAAAAAAAATATTATAATTAGTCTCGTTACTGTTAAGATTATATGATAGATAAATGAAAATAATCTACTTTAAATTCTCCCTTCCGTCATTATGAGCTGCATCAACCTATTATAGTAATAGTAAAAAAAAACATAGCAGCTTAAAATCAAGACACACAAAATCAATAGGTGAGTACTCCCATTCCAGAGTTTTTCAAATAAATCAAAGATAAAAATCTTTGAAAACAAATGCTACAAAATATGAAATAATTCTGTAAACGCGCCATCTACACGTACTTTGAAGTACTACATCGAATAAAGAAAGTTGTATGGCGGAAGGGAGCATTTGAAGTAAATTATCTTAATTTATTTCTCGTATAATCTTAATTGTTAATTCTCGTAATTTAGGTACGAGAATAATTATAGTTTCAGCAGTACGCACGTAAAATATGGTACTTGAAACTATAGCGTATCCTATTTGTGCCCTACAAGCACATTTGTGTGCTGGGTTGGTGGAGAATAAAACCACTGAGACTCTTTCTTTCTTCTATATTCGATGTTTTCCTTGAGAGAGCTGGCCGCCGACTGTGTCGAACGACGTTTTTTTTTTTTTTTTGCGCCCGAAGCAAATATGGGCAACCCTCCGGAAAGCGGGGGAGGGAGGTGGTGAATGCTCATAGCATACCACGCAGCCGGCTGCGTGGTTATGTGGCGACTTTTACCCACTAAACACCACCTTTTAGGAAATGGCTTAACGATCTGACTGGAGATCTCTAAGCCGTATACGAACGCGACCCTCCTTGGCAGAAAGGAGGGCGCATGTCGAACGACGAAAATCGCCCCTCTTTTATACTACCTCGGCCGGGTCGATTGGTACGGTGTACGTACCGTACGACGATACGACGTACGACGACGAATCAGCGCGAGGCGCGACAGAGCTGAGTTACATTGTTTACCTTAAGCTAGTTATATTATTATACAAAGTGATCAACTAATTCTATTACATAAATATAAGCTTTGCACTATTATTTTCTTAATATAAAATGCTTATATCCTCTTTTGTATGTAATTTTAAACTATAATCTTTATTAACACAACATAAACGCTTATATCCTATTCAGTGTTGCCGTTCTAGCGACTTTCTCGCTAGATCTAGCGGATTTTAAGAATGTTTAGCGGATAAAAAAGTCGTTTTAGCGAGAAATAATTATTTAGCGACATCTAGCGATATTTGGACTTTTGAGATGGCGACTTTTTTATAAAGTAATTCATTTCAAATAAGTCATTTATCATATATCCAATTTTGTAATCTACCGTTCGTAACACTGTATATATAATATAATTTCACGAGAATTCTCGAACATAAACTAACAATTCAATGTCAAAAAAAAAAAAACTTTCAATTCCATTCTTCTGATTAGAAATCAGTTAAGGATTAAAAAATAGAATTGCGCAACGAATGATATTCCCGAGGATGTTGTCAACCAAGTCGATAAAGGCAAAAACAAAAAAAAGATGGGAACTGGAGACATTGGCGAAGCTTCAACTTCCGCTAAAGTTATTTTTAGAGATCTGGATCCATACAACTTCGCTATTAATTTTGAAATTTAGGTATGATACGATTTTATTTTGAATAGGATGACTAATGTTTAAACGTGGTTTAAAGATTTAAGATTTATTTTTTTACAATATTTTTTTATTTTGTACAAGAAAAATTTTTGTTTTAGTTGTCATATCATTAACCTACACTATAAATAACTGATTTATATCAAATAGAGTCCGCTCCTTTTAAGGTTTTACTGAATTTATAGATATAGATTTTCGGTATTCATTGACCATTTGGCAAGATTTTTTTAATTAGCCCAACGGTACCACGAAAATATACCTAGGGACATCTAGCGGATTTTAAGAAAAAGAAAAATCCTGTTTCTGGCGGATTTTTTTCTGTCAGTCTAGGGACTTTAAAATTTGTAGAACGGCAATCCTGATCCTATTTAAGTACAAACTCTAAACTATAATATTTATTCCGTTGATATAAAAATGTTCGTCTTATTTATGTATTAGTCTATTTATTTTCACTTGTCCCGCACACTATTCCAACAATACTAAACTTTATGCGTACTTGATACTTTATGGACTAGGTGGAACAATTATTTCGATCGAGTATTTATACGGAATTGGACTAGGTGCACCTAGTACAAAATTTACCTAGTACGACTCATCTCTAGTGCCGTACCGTGCTAGCTGGCCAGCAGACCCACATCCCCGCGCGGCACCCGCGCGGATTTTAAATTTCGCTCTCACTCAACTCGGCGCGAAATTTTGAACTGTCGGTGGCGCGACGGCGGGGTACGGCTAGGTGGCGGCGGCGAGTCGTGGCGGCGCGAACTTCTACTACGTACTAGGAGTCTGTCTGGGTAGGCGTGGGGCAGTACCGTAGTAAAGTCGGGGATTCAATTGTAGACGTCGGACGAGTACTCGGTTTGGATTCAGTAGGTACTTTAAAACTGTAGAAAGAAAAGTACTTGTATCAGTAATAGATCAGTCACACACCAATAGACACTGTTGATGAGCGATTACTGATTACTTGTCAAATAACTCATGTTCGTGAGATTGATTTCGTTACCTGGCGCGAAAATGTGCTTATAAAAATGTTTTATTGGAAAACATCTAGAAAAATTATAGATCTTACGAATCACATCATCATCATCACAGCCCTTCACAAGTCCACTGCTGAACATAGGCCTCCCCCAAGTAATGCCACAAAGCACGGTCCTGAGCCACCTGCATCCATCGACTTCCTGCATATCTTACCAGGTCGTCACTCCATCTAGTGGGGGGTCGCCCTACATTACGCCTACCGGTACGAGGCTGCCACTCGAGAACCTTTCTTCCCCATCGATTATCGGTTCTTCGAGCTATATGGCCGGCCCATTGCCACTTCAGCTTACTAATCCGTTAATTAATTACGAATCACATAAAAAAAATTATTCAAAACATGCTTCTGAAGAAGAAAAAAGCTGCTGACGCATTAACCAGTTACCAACATAATGATCCTAAGAATTCTTCTGCAGTAGAGTTAGATGATTACTTAAGCGTACCAAGGACCGCAAGAGATGCAAATCCATATAAATGGTGGGTTTCTAATAAAGGATATTATTACCCCATCTTGGGAAAAGTTGCGGCTCAATACTTATCAACACTCGCCAGTTCAGTTTACAGTGAACGGGTTTTTTCAGAGGCAGGCTTAGTATATGAAGCAAAAAGGAGTAAACTAAACCCAAATAGGTCGGAAAAAGTGTTTTTACATCACAATCTTACTCTCTTAAATTTTAAATATTAGTGGGTAATAATAATTTTTAATATAGATTCCTTTGTACGTTCTCAATATTTTCCATGTTCCTGATGTTTTAATGTGTCTATTATTTTTTGTCTGTATTTTTCTCTGGAAGACAATTAAGGCCGAGTACTCGGTACTCGCCCTTAATTGCCTTATCTTTTTTTCTCGGCCTTAATTATCGAAATACTTGTATTTACTCGTATCGTTTCATCCCTAACTCGGTGTAAGGGAAATGACCGCACGCCGCCTACAACAGCATTTTTTTTAAAGCCGAGTATTCGGCCGAGTACTCGACCAAATCTACGCCGAGTACTCGGCCAGCGTGTACTCGGCGAATCACTATTCGTTCCATGTGGTTGGGCGGCGGGCATTAGGGTTCCCGAGTTCGATTCCCCGGTCGAGCCTTGACCCTATTACTCGAGATGTTATACTAGATGGACTGTATACGCGGAAGCTTCTTATGCATCAACAAGATGGCGGACCCTTGACAATGCACTCGCTCTTCCGAAATCTATTGTTTGCCAAGGTTATGAAGGAATCCTGCTTGAGCACGTTAGGAGAAATGAAATTGGGCGGGTTACCTAACAAACAAAATGTTCAAGCAGGCACTGAATTATAGGAAAAACACACTTACCGGGGTGTGACTTCGATGCGGCTTAGGCGCTTCCGTTGCTGTGGTGCGACTTCTGGTGGGTCTCCTGGGGCGCCCCAGGGATGCTGTCCTGGCCGGTGATGCGATGGAAGAGAGCGCACGAGGGCCGTGCGCGAGCTTATATTGCTTCGGCCCTCCTATCAATGCATCTCTGTCGGGCGCGCTTCTCATTGGCCGAAAGAATCACGCCATCTTCTAGAATATCTTCTTTCCCCTCTCACCCCTAACAGTGTGTACGGAAGGGATAGGTCGAAGGAAGGACACTTGGCACAATATACCCTCGAATAAAATTAAAATACACTATTCGTTTTCCGCGCAACCATCCCCCCGGCTTGAAGGGTCTCCTTCAAAATAACTAACGCTAAGACTAAACCCAATTTTCGACTACGATTTCTAGCCTAGAAAGCTAATTTAAACTATTGAAAGGTTAAAGGGCACAAACGGACAACAGGACGCATGTAAGACCCAGTCGTGGTCCTAACGCGAGCTACCCTAGTTACCCCGTCGGAACCGGGAAAAACTTCTTCGACAATCCCTAATGGCCAATGGAGAGGCGGCGTATTCTCCTTGGTGAGCACAACCACAGTTCCGACAGTTAAAGGTTTAGTTGCTGTGTTCCATTTTTCCCGAGACTGCAACGTATGCAAGTATTCCATCCTCCATCGTTTCCAAAACGACTAAACCAATCGGTCCAATAATTTATGGCGTGCGGAAATACTAAGTTTGTTCTCGTCCATGTCTATGGCGGGCAGATACTTCAAAGGCGTTGAATTCAAAAAATGTGCTGGAGTTAGAGCCAGCGGCTCCGAGGGGTCACTTGACAACGTACGACAAAGGGGGCGACTATTCATGACGCACTCAATTTGAGCGAGCACAGTACTTAACTCTTCGAAGGACAAAATTTGATCTCCTATTACTCGGTATAAATGACTCTTTATACTCTTAATATTAGTCTCCCAATTTCCCCCAAAATGGCTCGCGGCTGGGACGTTCAGAGACCACTCGATGCGGTTCTCGGCTAGGATCGAGTGAGCTAACTCCGAATTATAATACTTGCTGGCTAAAAGCTCATGTAGTTCTCATAAAATACGTTTCGCGCCGACGTAGTTTGTACCGTTATCCGAATACAATTTACTTACAGGGCCACGGCGGGAAAGAAATCTTTAAATAAGGGTGTATAAAACCCGCTGTGCTTAGATCACCAACGAGTTCTATATGCACAGCCCGAGTAGTCAGACATACGAAAATGCAGACGTAAGATTTTGTGGATCTTATACCACGCCCGCGAGTGAGCGTGACCTTAAACGGACCAGCAAAATCAGACCCGGTGTGCATAAAGGGCTTGTGTTACTCGACAAGACATAAGGTCCGCCATTTTCGGAAATGACGGCTTAGGACGTACTCGAAAGCAAGCTATACATCTGTGCACCCTTTTACGGATTAAATTACGTGCTGAAAGAATCCAATAATTCTGACGCAAGATTGACATCAGCAAGTCGGGGCCAGCGTGAGAATTCAATTTATGATGGTAATCAACTAATAAATTCATGATATGGTCTTTACGCGGTAAAACTATAGGGTGCCGTTGGTCGAAATTCAACGAGTTAGACAAGCGTCTACCTACCCTGACGATTCCATCTTGTAATAATGGCTTAAGACGTTGAAAAGCGCGACTACAAGTTCTATTCGATTGTAATCTTGTAATTTCATCAGAAAAATGTACACTTTGAAGTTCACGCAATACTAGCAACTCGGCATGGCTGTAATCGGACGCTACGATATACGAACGTTGCGGTAAAAGCTTCGCGAATCGACAAACGTAAATCACGCTATGCAATAATTTCGACCAAGAGGACAAACGGTTCGCCAAAGCAATGGTTGGAGAAACCTCGCTCGAAACGTTCACCACCAGAGCGTGCCTCTTCTCTTCCGGTGGTTGAGACACTGACGAAGGGTCGAAATCGGTTATTGGCCACTGCGAGGGTTCCAAGTGAACCCAAGAAGGTCCGTGGAACCAAAGCGGATGGTCCATTATTTGCATCGGGCTGAGTCCACGGGATAGACAATCGGCAGGCTTTTCCGTACCGACACGTGATAAAAGTTCCGCGTTCCTAACTCGTCTTGGATCTTGGCCACTCGGTTCGCGACAAACGTATCCCAACGGTGGGGTGAGGAATGAACCAAACATAAAGCGTCGGTTGAGTCAGAAAAGGCAAATATGATAATAATTGATAATTGCGGTGATAAGCTTGGCAAGGAAGAATATCGCGCAAACCTCCAAGCGCGCGAGAGAGACGACCTTACGGGGGAGACTCTTGACTTAGAGCTAATGAGGCTGATCGAATTTCTATCATTATTCTGGACGTGAAAATATACAACGCCCCCGTAAGCCTTTTCGCTAGCGTCTGCAAACCCAACGACCGTGATGACGCTATTTCTATCGACGTTTATATGACGTGGTATTTTAATTTCGCTTAGTAATGGAAGTTCCTCTCTAAAACGCTGCCACGACCGAACAATGCTATCAGGCGGCGGGTCATCCCAATCGCATTCACATAACCAAAGTTGTTTAATCAAAAGCTTAGCGTATAGTAGGTACCACCGGGGCTACGAAACCCATGACATCCCATAATCTAGCAACGCATGACAGCACTGTGCGCTTTGTGCACGTTTCTGCGGGCGGGTTTACCTTAAGGCTAAATACGTCGGACTCCGGTGACCAACACAAACCGAGCACCTTGTGCCTATCAGAATCGTCGAAAGGCGGTGTGATAGTGGGATTGTATCTAAAACCGTACGCGAATTACTAGTCCACTTGACGAGATCGAATTGACCCGTTTTCATGAGCTTTATAACCTCGGCGGTGGTTAGGATGGCCTCCTCCACGCTATCAACCGAATACACAAAATCATGCATATATAATCCACTCTCAATTACCCTCTTAGCTTTAGGATAAGAGGGACCTTCATCGTAGGCGAGCTGTCTCACCGTGCGTAACGCATGAAATGGGCTCGACTTTAAACCAAAGCAAATGCGATTAAATTCAAACACCATTAGAGGTTCCTTTGGGTCAAAGCGATATAAAATGCGTTGAAATCGATGGTCGCATTCACGGACCCCTATGCAAAGAAACATTTGGCGAATATCGGCGGATAGTGCTATACTGAACAAACGAAAATTTGCTATTATATTAAATAAATTGCCCTGTAAATTTTGCCCACTATAGAGAATATCGTTAAGAGAAAGGTAGCTAGTTCTAGCACTAGCGTCGAGCACTACACGTAACTTGGACGTAAGTTTGTCTTCCCTAATGAACCCGTGATGTGGTATGAAATACGACGTTATCTAATTTTGGAGCCACAAGTGATATGTAACCCTCCCTTATATATTCATTAATGACGCCGTCATAAGCTTCCTTTAATCTGGGCGAAGCGAGCATCCTACGCTCTAAACAATAGAAACGTTCTTCCGCCATTTGACGCGAGTCGCCGAGAGACAAAACATCTCCTTTAAAGGGTAGCGCTACACTATATCGACCGTCGCGATCACGAACGGTCGTGCGGACGTAAATTTCCTCGCATAATCTTTCATCTGGACTAACTATAGGTGGAACGTTCACCTCTTCCATCTCCCAAAATTTGCGAACTAACGACTCGAGCGGTTCGACAGCCATACAACAATAAGAGGTTGCCGAAATATTATCCATGATACGGGCGGAACCAACGATGACGTAGCCTAAGACGGTCTCCAGTGCGTAAGGCGCGGTATGCGAGGATTTGCCCCTGACCTTATTGTGTAACAAAAGATGAGGGAAAAGCGATGCTCCAATGAGCATGTCTATATCTCCGGGACGGCGTAAGTATCGTCTGCCAGAGTCAAATTTTCAAAATCAATCATTGCCGAGGTGTCGACCGAAACGGTCGGCAGAACTCGGTGACTTTATCAACTACTAACGCATTTATATTAAAGTTAATGTTACGATCTAGCCGAGAATAAAATTTCAAATTTATAGAGCCCTGGGTAATTTTATTAGTACCTCCGATGCCTTTGACTACAGGACATGAAGGTATCTTATTTATTAGCAATCCTAAACGCTGGCAACATTGTCGCGTTATAAGGCTACTTTGTAATCCGCTGTCCAGCAACGTACGGACACTTTGTTCGTTTCAACGCGAATCCCTAACTACGATACGGCCTGTACCCAGTAACACGGTGGAAGAAGACTTTGTTCTCGCATTCGACAGTGAGCACAGGGCGACGTCACCCGGTCGACCGCTAGAATCGTCGACTTTAGTATGTGTAGTTTCCTTGTCCGATTTACTCGACGTGAATACGTTGCCACCTTCGAAATGTAATAACGTGTGATGTCTGCTGGCGCACTTGTTACACACGGAACTAGAATTGCATTTAGCGACTAAATGTCTATCGCTTAGACAATTCAAACATAAGTTGTACGTTTTTACTATTCTATAACGTTCGCTGGGTGAATGTTTACGAAAGGTCGCATAATTATACAAATTACCGTGTTGTTTATTCTTACATAGAACATAGGCGCTATGAAGCGATGCAGGCGCAGCGGATACGTACGTTAGAGACCCAGCAGTCCTAGTTGATGAGATCTGTTTGCGATCGACACATTTCTTAGCTTCTTGTTTGACATTCGAGGAGCGCTGTATCACTTTAATTTGATCTCGTACAAAGGATGCTAATGAGTCGAATGACGGCAACTCAGAGCTACGATGTTCCATTTCAAACGCATGCACTGTGCCCGAGTCTAATTTCTTTAAGGCGATATGGAGAAAGACTACGTCCATAAGGTCATTAAATTTCAAGTTCTTGAGTGCAGCCACCGATGCTACAAATTTACCTAAAAACTGCTCTAAGCCGGTGATGTTCGCGGAAGATATAGCTTTAAGATCGAATATCTGGTCTAAATATGAAGAGGCTAACATTCTCTTATCTTCATATTTGTTTTTAAGTGTTTCAAATATTAATGAATAATTGTTTGCTGTTGGTGTGAAGCCCGAACAAATGGACTGTGCCCTACCGCTCAATTTACTAATTAAGTAATACAATCTTTCAGCGTCCGATAACGATGGATTATTATGTATATTATTTTCAAAACTATTTATAAACAACGGCCAAGTTTTAATATCTCCATTGAATACCGGAATATCTATGGGGGGCAATCTAAGTGATTCACGTGGGCGTACCTGGATTTCTGGTTTTGCTTCGCTTTGGGCTGGAGACTGTAAGAGCTTTGCCGTTCTTTTTTACGCGACACAACATATCTTCAAATGATAGAAGTGGTTGATAATTCACTGTATACTTAAGGTCGATTTGTAATTCCAAACTATTAATGTTGTCTAATATGTTTTCGTAATCCGATCGCAAAGAGTCCACCGTTTCTATTTCACATAAAAACGTTTCCCGTACTGAATCTACGTTAATATTTTTTATGTGATCAATTATATATTGTATACGTGAAAAGAGTACGTCCCTCTTGGCGTAAAGAGTTTTAAGTTTAATTTCATTTCCACTAACTGCCATTTTAAATCACTATAATTAATATTAGATTAATCACAAACAATCGTACAACGCTGGAGGGTGGACACAATGTAATACAACTATATCTCACAACACTATTGTCTTATCGTGCCGTATTACGTCGTTAAATTGAACACCTTTGAAACCAAACGAGATAACGCGCGTTGATAGATAAGAATTTAAAACTCACACTATTTTTTAGAAATGGTGGGTGGCTAAATAAGGTTAAGCGGATCCAAACTATTTGAATAAATAAGTCGATTTACTTATCCGAATAACTAACAAATTTTAAATTTAAACTAAACAAAACTACATAATCTATCCAATATTAAATTAGAGTGCATTGTCTAAGGAATTAGTTCAGCAGTTCGACTCGATGAGGCTACAAAGCACCAGTTCCAAATCCGCTGGAATGACCAGAAAAATGGTTGGGCGGCGGGCCTTAGGGTTCCCGAGTTCGATTCCCCGGTCGAACCTTGACCCTATTACGCGAAAGGTTATACTAGATTGACTGTATACGCGGAAGCTTCTTCTGCCTCAACAAGATGGCGGACCCTTGACAATGCACTCGCTCTTCCGAAATCTATTGTTTGCCAAGGTTATGAAGGAATCCTGCTTGAGCACGTTAGGAGAAATGAAATGGGGCGGGTTAACCAACAAACAAAATGTTCAAGCAGGCACTGAATTATAGGAAAAACACACTTACCGGGGTGTGACTTCGATGCGGCTTAGGCGCTTCCGTTGCTGTGGTGCGACTTCTGGTGGGTCTCCTAGGGCGCCCCAGGGATGCTGTCCTGGCCGGTGATGCGATGGAAGAGAGCGCGCGAGGGCCGTGCGCGAGCTTATATTGCTTCGGCCCTCCTATCAATGCATCTCGGTCGGGCGCGCTTCTCATTGGTCGAAAGAATCACGCCATCTCTAGAATCTCTTCTTTCCCCTCTCACCCCCCTCTAAGTGTGTACGGAAGGGATAGGTTGAAGGAAGGACACTTGGCACAATATACCCTCGAATAAAATTAAAATACACTACGCAACCACCGTGTCTATTCAATTGTACCATACACGATGCCTTACAACGACTTCAGGAGCTAATATGTACAAATTGTTTTATTTTTTTTTAGTTATTTGAAGTCAGCTTTTACATTTTGTGAGTTGGATTCATGTATTAAAACAAGTGATAAAATTAAAAATTTTGTACAACCGACTTCAATATAAATAAAATGAGAACATCATCAATGTAGTTGAAGTCAATTAAATACATGTTATTAGGATAACTCGAAAACTACAAAGGTCAGATCTAGATAAAATTTATATGGGATCACATGAAAAGCACCAGCTTTCAAGTAAAAAATTGGTTGACCCTGCAGGCCATCCTTGGAACTTCCTGCTAATTTAAAATGCAAGGCACTCCAAATTTCACCAAAGTATGTTGCGAAATCTCGAAGTTATGTTAAAAAAAACGTTTTTTTTTTTCAAATTCTTTCTCCTTCGATATCTCACGAACGAATAAACCGATTTTTATTTTCCAAACCACATTCGACGTCATTTTTTGAGGTTAAGAGCTGATTAGTTTTTGAAATCGATCGGTAAAATTTATTCCAAAGAAACAGTTTTTCAAAATTTTAATTTTTGAGATTTAAAATCGACTCGTCAGTTCATATTATTACCAAATCTATTCCACATTGAGATCTTTAGAACACCCCATCTCAATTGATCAAGACGTTCAAAAGTTATGAAAGGTTTATATACTTACACACAGACACGCATACATACATACATCCGTACGGACGTCCACGTGAAATTAGTCAGAATAGCTTCCTGGGATCTCAAAGCGTCGAGATCTGATGAAAAATTAATTTTCGAAAACCAGGGTGAAACCAATAACTTCCCTATTTTTGAAGTTAAAAGGGAAGTTAAAAAATCGTTTTACCTAGAAAAAAGTTCTGAGGTAACACGCATAAAAAACATACCGTCGAATTGAGTAGGCCTCCTTTTTGAAGTCGGTTAAAAATATCAGAACGCTTTAGTTGATTCTTGTAAATTATAGACTATACAAAAAAACGGCTTTTTATTGGACATGTTAAATTAAAATGTCTTAACTTGTCACCAAAGACAATATTATAATCACTACGTTTTCGCTTGACACATAGATTCCTAATATTTGACGCGGTGTGTCAGTGAACAGTTGAGCCTCGTATCTGAGAGATCGCTATTTTCATAAGAAATTTTGTAACATGAACAAGGCCCTACTAGCGTGGTCTATTATAATGGTTTTATTCACAGTGAGTACTATCACTATATCTGTGATTCAGTTCATAGCGGCCGCCGTAACCTCCGATCAAACCTTGGACTATATCGATGGCTAAGTAATAAGTTCTTGTTGAACATGTATTGATTTTGCATAGGATGTGGGCATATGCAAATAAAAATGAAGTGTAAGAATATTTCATATCGAAGGAATACATAGGCGTTTATTTTTTATATTGTTTCAATAATAACCTATTTAATTCGCTATCCTAGTCCTATTCCGAATATCTTATAGATATTGTGCTCTCCGAACGATCACGTTTTGTTGATGAGATGATATCCATTTAGCCGGTCATCTGTGCGCCTAGTTCCGTATAATCGGATGCTGTCAACTATACCGGAGATAATAATAGTACTACAAGTAAGGGCAGATCAGCACCTACCCAATAACAACTTAAAATAACAAAAGAACTAGTTGTAAAACTGTACTAATGTGTAATATTTCCTCCAAAGCAATCATCTATGGTTCTATGGTAAAAGCCATTGTTTAGTACTCAAGCTTTGATAGACTGCAATGATGAATGTGTAAACATGCCGTTGAACACGTTTTTGAAATTTCCGATGTGGGTACTCCGGTGAAAATATTTAGAATATCTCCGTACACGAAGCATTGGCCGCTCCACGCACTAAACATCTTGCCTGGCGGGAGATCTCCCCTTTTCCTGCCACTCCCAAAAATGAAAAAGTAAACTTACAGAGGACAAACCTAGCAATGTATATAAGTCAATGGTACAGTATCAAAAACACGTCAATGTTTTTGTACATGTTTTGACGTGAATATGATATGTCTTAAAATTCGCTTCCATAGTGGAAGACAATTCAGAAAACTGATGATAACAAAATCGGGGAATAAGTACATACATAACATCTAAGTACATCCAAAATTTTATCACACCACTCGATAGCTAAAGAATCATGTAATTCGTTATGTTGTGGGCGAGCGCCGCCATTTTGAGGTCATTTCGCTGCACGTATTCACGTAAGACGCACGACCGTGTCCACGACACAGACACCCCCGACAATAAACCTACAGACAATTCCGATTTTTTGGTAGCCTCGTACTGGCAAGCGCAATGTTGGACGACCCCCATCAGTGGCGAAGCTTCCATTAAAGCCGAAAAGCCGGGCTTGCCTTATTAAACCTGAATCAATCAATAATATCAATCAATAATATCAACTAATAAAATAACTCGTAAAATGTTTCAAGCTATTTCAAATTTCCCGCGCACTCCACTGTTCGACACATGTCGACCGATGACCTCGTATTGCCTTAGCGATACTGCTGCTGCCATAAAAAATGAGTTTTAATAGAGCTAATAGTTGTCTTGGTGTGTGGTGTGTTGGTTGGTTGGTTTGTGTTGTTTGGTTTTTTACGGGGCTTTCGGGAAGACGATCGCTCTCTTTCTAACCTATGGCAAAATATTCTATAATGAAATATAACTACGATTGTATATATACCAATTAGTATAGAGATTTAAAGCCAGGCTTTTGGGAATAAATTTGTTAAAAGCGGAGGCGCACGGGCAGTACGTTTGCAAGTTCATTTCACGTTTCAATGTTTATTTACTCTGTGTGCTTATCTTAAGCGATTTAATATTTCCAGTTCAAAATTTATGCTTTTTTAAAGATAGATGAAAATGGAGGATAATAGTGTTCCCTGTGATGAATTGAAGTGTGTTAAAGTGATAATCGGAGAGGAAATCTTTAAACTTTGTTGAGATAATACACATGGTTAAGAGTGTATTTCAGACTTCTCAATTATCGTAATTAAAACAGACTTATTGGTACAATTAAAACGTTCACCAACATTTTACGTGGACGTAATTAAATCTTTCCATAAGAAAGCGAGACGATTCCACTTATCTTATCTTTTTTATCCATTAGAATGTAAATATTTTTTTTTTAAATTTTGTACATAGTTTGTACTTTGTTCGTGTTTTACTTTTGTTCATGTATTGTATTGATGTAAATATTTTTTTTCTTTCGCTTAAACAAACCCAAATGGCTTTCTTCAAAGCCACCGAAGCTATGCAATTGCTGATATGTAATAAAATCTATCTAGCAGTGGTATGCCTTCTGTGTGCTTTGTTAAACACGTCTTTGACAGCACTGAATATGAAACTGAAGCGTGGAGACAGATCGAGATTGGTGTATTTTTATAAAACTGCTAAAAACAACAATCTATATTTTTATCAATTTATATCTTGGGCTTGCCCTAGCTTGGAGCTCTAGCTTCTTCACTGCCCCCACTAAATGGAGTGATGACCTAAGATAGACGCAGGTAGCTCGGGACCGTACTTTGTAACAATCTATGTTGGAAGCCTATGTTGCCATGTTCAGTAGTGGTGTGGCGGCGCTGTCGTCGCGCCACCAGCGAAACAAATCGAAGCCAAATCACACTATCAAAGTTCCGAATCAAAAACAGTATATATAGAATAGCTTCTAACTATCACATGGAGCGTTGGCCACTTCCCGGGCAGAACACCTTGCCCGGCGGGAGATCTCCTCTTTTCCTTCTACCGCCAAAGTGAAATTATGATAGTTTAGAGTACAGAGAGTTTTGCAAAATGGCTTCGGCTGGTATTTCCAGCCAAGACCCGTGGTACTTGCTCTTACAAAGCTCCACGGTCGTACCATGCGTTTAAAAGTAATTAGAAAATATATTAATTTTGGTTTCTCAGTGTACTTACGAAAATTTAATGTTAGGTATGTAGGTACACAAGAGCAAAAATAGTTTTATTAAAAACAATTAATTCCTTCATGGGGCGATGATAAAATGCTATTACAACAAAGCCATTCAAGGCGCATGTATTGGGCATGCATGCAATATAATAGTAATAAAAAAATGCCGCTGGATTTCTTGCTGGTTCCTCCCAAGGCAGAAGTTTTTTCCGAACCAATAGTAAAGGAATGCTGAACATAGGGCCCCCCATAGATTGTCTCATGAGGGGAATGTTAAAGTAAAGGTATAAATCAATAAATATGTAATAGAATGAAAATTATACTATTCTATTCCAGACACTTAATAGTTTAAGTGGACTTCAGTCTGTTCCGTATAAAGAAGGTTTACAAGTGGCAGGACTCTCTTTCTGTTAGAACCCGGCCTGGGTAAATAGCGCCAATATAAATACAGGCTGTGAGGCATCCATCTTAGTCTTCGGAGGAAACAAACGTCACAGCTTTCTTTGTTAAGTGTGTTACAGATGTATCTGTACTACACTTGTAACACAGTTTTTACTACTATACTACATATATTTTAGAAAATTCTTTATGTTGTTTTACATCATTGTCTATGGGCCGCAGCATACACTTGTGCTCGTTTGTCACCCTTATTATATAAAATAAAATAAAAAACTTAGTTACAGGCTCGTTGGTCTCCCCCCCGAACGGGTTCCCGCCTTGTCGTGGCGGGGGGCTTAGAAGCCGTGGCTTGGTCACCCACGGCGAAACAAAGAGGAACCCATATGGCTGGTCCGCGGTGGGGGGCCGGCCCGAGGTGGCCACGCCGAGGGGGCTTGGGAAGCCCACTTCGGATGTGTGTTGGTGGACTGCGGTGAGAGGTGTGTCCTCCCCACCTACCGCTGCAGCCGAGGTGGAGTCGCGGAGGAAGAGGAGTGTTGGTATGGCGATGCGCCACTCGCCCTATCCTCCGCGACTCAAACGGGGCCGCACCGTTGATGCGGTGGTGATGGGGCTGCGGGGGGGAGAGGATTGTCGGTATTGCGAGGCGCCGCTCTCCCTATCCTCCGCAGCCGAATCTTGGTTGGCGGCGGAGCCATAGACCAGATCCGCCGCTGGGGTCGGGAAGGCTAGTACTTCTAAGTGCTCGTTTTTCCTGGCCCCATGGCCTTCGCGCATCGGACGCGGGGGCGTTCTGTTGCGCAGATGTAATTGGAGGCCGTGGAGGAAGGCGTGCCATGTGTTCTGGTGCGCCTTATTTGGGAAGGAGAACGGGGAGGAATATTCCTCTCCCGATGAGGTGCTGCCATGGGGCGGCAGTCGCTGGTGGGGCCGCGGAAGTGTGCGAAAGCGTTCCCGTAGCCCTGCCAATATGCGACGAAGGTGGAACACCACGGGGTTTTAGTCGGTGCGAGTCCGACATAACCCGTCCTTGCCCCCGCGAGGCGGGTATGCGTAGGCATTTCCCCATGTAAAAAAAAAAAAAAAAAGGCTCGTTGGTCTCATTACTTTTGTTGAAGGTTATATAATATGTAGGTGTATGCGTAATTTTGTGATTATTTCTTTTGTACATTTTTGATAACCATGTGTTGATTGAGACAAGTAAAAAGCTTTATATTTAGCTGTCTGCAGAACGCAGACATTTTCTCGGCCTCCCGGGTTTTAGTTCTTGGGTGTATGAAGTACTAATATGAAATACGAGTTCGGTCTTAATTGAAACAAGAGTAAGCATTAACGTAAACAATTTATTTAAATATTCTTCACAATATTGATTCACCATTATAATACATTGGGAATACATCGCGCGCGACCCGGGCGTGCTTGCTAATATACAGATACGGCGTACTGTTCCTCCGTCCGTGCCGCCGCTTAACTTTATAAGGCATTTCAATATTTTATACAACGTCTAACAATCCCGGCTCGATACGAAACGAACTCTTCTGTACAGTTTTAATCCTAAAAACGATTGCGGTCAAGGAAAATGAAGCCGTCGGACGATTTTACAATGATATCACTAGTAATGTTAAAGTTAACTGTATAATATGATACGGTAATTTTATTGCACTATTTAAATTTTAAGATGTCTTTCTATTGATTTAAAATTAAACATAGTTACGCATAAGAGTCGAACACACAAAAAGCCACTTTTGGTACTGACTTTTCAACTTTGGACTTGTATTTAGTGAAAGATTGGAAAAATGTTTAAAAGTACAGGATATAAAGATTATAGTGGCAAATATATGTTATAAATTTTTGAAGCGAGCGTGGGTTACAACGATTTTGCGTAACTACATTCAATTAAGAATACAGAGAAATTTAATCATGTCAATTGTCCCAGTACTATAAAGATAAAACTATTTTCATCTAATTTATTATCATTTCACTTTCAAAGTTTAAATAATATAAGAAAATTCACTCTTTAAAATAATGGAAATATCTGTAACAGCGAGCTTAATGAAAAATAATTCCGAAAATATTGATCTAATCTGAGCTAAATTCACTTAACAATAAAGAATGTAATAAAATTAAATTAAAAAATAAAATAATACAAATTTTTAAAGGTGAATCTATACTCTGTATCACGTTTCTTTACTTAAACATAAAATATTTAATATCATGAAGTATTATAATCAGATAATTATCTGTTATGCAACATGTAACAAAAAACTCGTTGTTTCCGTTAAGTGTGTTATCAGAATCATTATTCAAACGTATAGAAATAACTTCCGAAAATTTGACCATAAAAGAAATCTCTGCCTCTGCATGAGTCGGACAGTAAGAAAAAAGGTCAGGTGAAAGATTATAAGATATTCCGATGCACGTGTTAGTGAGAGTTAATAAAACCACATACAATTTGCAAATAAAATTTATTTGAATTCAACTTTTTTATGGTTTTTTCTAAACTGAGGTTACTTTATATGTTTAAATACTGATACTGATAACGCACTTAACCACAGGGATTTTGTTAAATGTTGTATAACAAATACGTAGTGTAGGCCATAACCCATTTTATTTATTACGATGATACATACATATCTTAAGACTCACCTGATACCAAATTAAATAAAAATCGATTACGGAATAAGTTTTTTTGTGGAATTTTCTCATCAAAAATGTATTACAGTATAAATAGTATCCAACAGTGATATTAAAAGTCACTTTGGTTGAGAATAAATTCCATTATTTACAAAATAATCCATTTTAGAATAAGAATTGAAAAATAAATAACAATTATACATTTAATTTCATAAACATGTCGAAAAAATAATATTTAATGTAGGAAATAATAATTAAAATAAATCTAAGGACGTGAGCAAACGTTTGTGAACAGGGCACGCAAACGGTCGGCATGAAGTTATCGTCACTGAATCACAACTAATTTTTACCCTAGCTGCTAAGTTTCATTATGATTTATCACTCAACGATAAGGTCGTATCTAAAAATTAGAAATATCGGCACTTACGACTTTATTGTAATACGTTTCCGTATCGCATATTACAAAGTACACTTGAGAATTTTCTTTTAAAATTCTGGCCTTACCTGTATGTCTATTCGATTGTCGGCATGTAACTATTTTAAAAGTCATTATTTACAACAACATGTGAACTGGAAAGTTTTAACAAACGATCAGAATTAAATTCAAGAGAAATAAAAATATAAGTGGAAGAATAAAAGATGTTAAGGGACCTAGAGCTCATTACAGAACTGGTTATTAGATTTGGAAATAGAATTTGTCTTTTCAAATTATGAGCAGTAAAAGATAAGAATTGCGACAACATTTCACGATAACAATGTACAAAACTAGTCCGGGACTACTCTTCGCGCAGAACGGCTTACAGAACAATGATCACTCTCCTAACATAACATTCTTGGACTAGTAAAATTTAATATAACGTAACTGGATGAAACATGTTTCAGTTTTCTATTTAAATATAACAAAGTATCAGTATATGTATTTTTAAAAGTAAGGGGAATCTGGTAATTATGCAAATATGTAGCATTTTAAAATGAAAGGTTTTTCTAAGTTCAATAATTAACATAAGTTTTATACGTGGTAGAGCCATGCTGCAGTTATATTAGATGTATAGTTGTAGCACGAATGGGTCGGCTCGACCGGGGAAGGACCACGCTCTCACAGAATACCAGCGTGAAATAGTAGCTTAATGCTGCTGTATTTCGTATGGTGAGTGTAGAGAACCGGCAACCCATTTTACTGGAAACGAGGCATTCCATCTTAGTCCTCACGGGTGACAACACATCTGCATTTTGATTCGTAATCGAGGATAGATGTAGATGTCTATGGGCCACAGCAACCACTTACCAACAGGTGGACTGAGTGCTAGATTGTCACACTATCATATAAAAAAAAAAAAAAAATAAGTATATACTAATCTGTTGGTTGCCATTGTCTAGAATTTAATTAGAGTCAGAAACAAAATCGATTTATAGGTACTTTAGAAAAAGTATGCATGATTTTATCAGAGTACTTTTATTATACACTCTTTGATACTTTTTCTCTAGTAAAACGTAGTTATATACTCTATGTTAATGACGTTCATAATAACGGATACGTTATATATTATGATAAGTAAAGTAATATTTTTTATTTACGGTTATTTAAATTTTTCCAGCTTTTAAAAATAAACTGATAATATCAATTAATTAAATTGACAATTTTGGTGACAATCTCATGTCGGTAATAATGTATGTTTTTTCCTAGTCCAAAAATGCCATTGTTCTTTAACATTTTGTAATTGTAAGGCTTTATTTCTATCTACAGTTATATGCCACTGCGGTATTGGTCATCGTCGCCGGTCGCCATTTGTGTTGGATCGTAGAAGCCGCTCTGAAATAAAAAATAACATAAATCTTGTAATATGTAATCTCGTAATTTGCTTTTCAAATGAAATAAACAGCTTTTGATTTCCATCACTATATTTTAATATTTTTTGTAAAAAAATTTGCTATGTCCATAAAACACAAATTTTACACCAATCACAATCAACGTCTCACGCGCGTGACGTGGAGTGAGGTGTGGTGCGGTGGCCACACCACGTGACAGCTTGTCAATACAACTTCGTTTCTTTATGACAAATAACTAATAACTAGCGATGTGCTGCTGTAAATTTTTTGACTCGAGTTTGTATGGCTACTGACTGCAGTTGTAACTCGAGTTCTGTCAATTCAGCAATTATTAGATGGCTCCATGGCGCAGTAGCTTAGCAATGAGTTGCAGTTACTCGATTCCCGCACGGAACAAACATTTATGTATTGTTAAATATTATATTGACCTACAAATAATTGTACCGGATTTGGATGTTTGTCATATCACATCATGTCCTTGTGAAATTTATGTATGTAAACTGCTCCCACGATACAGGAGAAAATCCTCGGATGGAGGGAGCCCCTGACACTTCCGAGCTCTGAGTTGTTGTTGAATGTTGATATAACTACTCGAGTTCGTCGAGTCGAGTCGTAACTCGAGTTGACTCGGTGTCTTTGTAGCCATTAGTACAATGTAGCATAGTAAAATGTCAAGTTAGACGCGCGCGATTAACGGAACACGCAAGCTATTGTTATTTCACCCAACTCGAATCGAGATGAGTTAGTGCATCACGAGTACGCTGTATTCGTGGGATGCGACATGTAGTATTGTAAGTATTTATGATTCGAGTTGTTAAAAATTGAATTCGATTGGACTCGTTTACGATTCCATTCGAGTTACTCGTGTCAAATAACTCAACTCGCACATCACTACAATCAACAGTCGAAATCGCTATTATAGGTTATGAATGTCAAGTGTAGCGGCCTTAAATATTGTAACAACAAGTTATAAAAGTAATGAACATGTGTATTAGAAGTTTAAAATCCATTTAAAACTTTTAGAACAATAAAAAAAATTGTCACAGTATTTACGTATGTTCATCACAATGAACAACAAAAACAATATGACAGAACCATACTGCAGCTATGTTACGCATGGAGCGTAGAGGTAAGGAGGACAATCTCCCATAGGAGAATAGTTGAAAATGTGTCCATCCGTAAGCAGTAAATAACAGTTCAAACACTCTCCACTACAGCGCTCGAGTAGCTACGGGATATGATAAATCGCCGTAAAATACGTTGAGATAATTTTGGAAATAGAAATTTTGAAAACAATAAAATAATTATTGTAAAAAGAATTATGGTGAAAGTCTGTGTAATAAAAATTATAAAAAGTTCTTTAAAATTTAGACTGTAGCTACAGTGGCGCCACCCTTGTTTAGCGCTTTATTCAGAATCTATACTCCTTACCTCTACCCTCCATAATATTATGGTTATATCACGAAGGGGTCGGCTCAATCGGGGTAGGACCACGCTCTCACACAATACCAGCGTAAAGTAGTAACTCAATGCTGCTGTGTTTCACATGGTGAGTGTAGAGATCCGGAGACCATTTTTACTGGAAATGAGGCATTCTCTTAGTCCTCAAATGTGACAACGTACTTGCATATTAATTCTTAATCGAGACCTTATGTAGTTGTCTATGGGTCCACTTACAATTAGGTGGACAATGTGGTCGCATGTCAGTCAACCTTGTTGTATATTAAAAAAAAATGAATTTCTGATTTATTCAATTAAACATTATTAAATAGTTTTAAGATAATTGAAGTATAAGAAAGCGTAACTACCTGTTAGTGACCGTTTGGTATATTTTCGGCTTCCTGAGTGCGTGTGACAAAGAAAAATTTAAAATGAAATGTATGTGTTTAGTTGTGATAATTCGTAGTTCGAATAAATACCTCGGGGTTGGATGGGATCGGGGATGGAAGTGGGGAATCCAGGAATAATGCCGGTATGCTCACTTCCAAAGCCTGTTAAAATTGTAAGCTATATAAATTTGTGGTATAAGATTTACAATTAGATATTTTTTTAATTCTGCATTTAACACTATATTCTAATAGATAATAAAAATATAGTGTACAGCCTATAAACGTACACTCCTCCTGGGCACATACCTCTCATTACTGGGAAATATATCATAGATGGTTTTAGGGTAAGGAAGTGGACGATAAATTGGCGGAGGGCGGTGTTTCCTCTGTACGTAGTAATAATATACAGGGTTATCTTGCAATATATACACAAATTTGCAGTAAAGGTTCAGAATAAGTAATATGGACGAATCGTAAAGAAAGATTAATTGAAAATCTCAAATGTTAATTTCAGAATGCATTAGTTTAACCTGATTGTCATTCATAAATATCTAACTCCTACTGTTTTACTACACATTCGCATGCACCCATAAATCACATTCAATTTGGGATAGGTTCAAATAAAAATAGAAGCCTTATTTACTCGTATTTTCAAAAACTGCAATAACGGTATATCATTATTTATATACTTGAACATAAATATAAAGGAGATGTGTGAACTTGGGTGCTTGACATCGTTCGTAACAGTTATTCAAAAATATGTAGGTAAAACGATAAATTATATGCATAATTAAATGGTTTTCATTTCTGTAATATATGGAAGAATCATAAAAATATTTTTTATAATATGAAAAACGAAAACTAATGTTTTACTATAGCAGTAACGAAACATCTTTTAAATATATTTTTGTATTTTGTCTATGAAAATAGACAATGAGGGCTATTTTTATAATAAAATAGCCTTCATTATAAAAAAACATAATATTGAAACATTGAGGCGAATCTGTAGAGATTAATACTGAATAAAATAAATCTATTTAGAAAATTGATTGAATAGGTTGTTACTAAATTAAAAAAAACGTTTCAAATTGAAACTTTCAATATTATCTGACACAACTGGTTAGGCTGTATGGTTATTGATCATTGCCTGTTCCGAAGGAGACTTAATAACTACGAGTTTCAACTTGTCCTACATGGTGGTTAGAGAGAAGGAGAACGATCGCTGTAGAAGTATCTCAGAAATATGGATAAAATAAGTGAGACGCTGCGATCGCTAAGTTGTCTCAATAAAAGTAATTTTTAGTCTATTTTTCCGATCAGATGCTAAACTACTTGCACATCCAAGCACAATATAATATTTCACCATTTTTTAATATTTCTTTTCGTTAAAAATTAAAAAAATTACGGTGCACGATTATTTTCTCAACAATGCCGCAAAGAAAATTTGTACATTATTCAACTAACTTCACCTACTTACTTGTACTCATAAACAGCTAACTTCGCAGATACTACTTACCGACGGCAGTTCAGGGACAGGCGGGCTATACTTTAGCACGTAACGATCGTTCTTCTTCTCTCTAAACTCCATGTTGTCATACGTATTTGACATTGTGGCTGTGTTTGTGGATAGATTTCGTGATTTTACGTTCGTGGATTAATTTAACTTGAACCATTGCTTTTCACTCGGATTACAGGGCAGTGGGTTGTTACGGTCTCAATGACAATATTGTGTTTTTGGGTTTTGAGAGGAATAGAATAGAGAATAGCTTCAGGTTACTTTTCTAGATGACGTTTTACTAATAATTCCCGAAAATAAGTAACAATTAAAAAAGGTTAAGTTTTTTACTTTGATAATAAATACAAAACTGGATTATTTTGTCTTTTTAAATTTATTTAAACAACTTATCACAAGACCAAGTGATTTTACTACATAACACATAAATAATAAAACGTAAAATAAAAACAATACCCCAGATCCTACAAAAATGTGACATTTTGACATAAGTAGCAAATGTTTAAATCTTCAAAGTAAGACATATTTGAACTTTGTTCACGCCGGGCCCAAGCTTGTATGGAACCAAGTTCATCTCCTTTAGATTCTGTTAGTGAAACAAGCCTGTTTATTGTTTGGTTTAGTAGTGATAGCATTAGGCTTATGAAAGGGAGGGGAGTGTGGCTACCTGCGCGGGAGCGGGCGCGGGCGCGGGCACGAAGTAGCTGGGTGCGTCATGCGGCGCGGGCGCAGGTCCCAGCACCTCGGCGGCGGGCGGCAGCGCCCGAGTCGCCGCGCCGCTGGGGTTGAACACGTCCACGTACGATTTCTTGATGTCTGTCGGTGCAAATACGTCTTCTTCATAAAATTGTACTATCGCCGCTGTACTACTGGTTTTAGACCTCATATCGTTTTGTAGATTTCGGAAGAGGCAAGGGAAATTAAGATATCCACGAATTTTTGTGCCACCAAATGGCGGCCACTTTGAATGAGGTGATATTTGGCAGATTCCTTAGCGAGGAAGTTAATTTGTTAATAATTGTAAGGATTAATGGGCATGCCAGGGAATAGGTATCATCCTTTCAGAAAGAATGGGCCAATGTGTGAAAGAGTATGAATGTGTAAGCCCAAGACTGCTATGGATACGAATGAAAGTGGGCTTAAAGAAGTTGTTTGTGCTTGGGGTCTACGCCCCAGACATGTTCAAGCCCACTTATATCCGAGAGCAGTTTTGGGAAATGGTAAGGATGGTATTAATGAAATGTAAGGGAAATGAAAATATTATTAAGCTAGGAGATTTTAATGGCAGGGTTGGGGTGAGGAGGCTTGGTTATGAAAGGATATTGGGAACGTTTGGTGATGAAAGTATAAATGAGAATGGTGAAAGCCTCCTCACCGTATGTATGGTAAAGAATCTTTTTGTGACGAACACTTGCTTTCGCCACAAGATGATTCACACGTATACTTGGGTAAGAGGTGATGATAGAAGCATGATAGATTTCGTAATTGTGGATGAAAGAATGAGGGGCGCAGTGGTATATACAAGGGTTTACAGGGGGTCTAACTTAGGAACGGATCATTATTTGGTTTTATGCCGAATTAATGGTATATTCAGGCGTTGGCGCCATCGGTCATCTGTGCTACCACTGCGTTACAGCGTATTAGAACTGAAAAGTTACAAGAGGAAGGTGAGAAAAATAAGTTCAAATGTAGACTGAAAGAAAATATAAGTGGTTTGGATGAATTATGTATGAATGAGTTAGACATGGAGAATGTATGGCAAAATGTTAAGAAAGGTTTAGTGGATGCAGCTACCGAAGTATGTGGTGTTAGTAAGAGAAAGAATGAAAGGAAAAATAATACGTAATGGTGGGACGATAAGATACGTATGGAAGTTGAAGCAAAGAAGAGAGCATGGCTAGATTTACTAGCAACAAAGGCTGGTAATTCTAGCGGTACGAATGATGATATTGAAAGAAAAAAGGCAGGCAAAGTAGTTGAAATTAAAAAGCAAGAAAAAACGGGTAAGGATGATAAAAGAATATCGGATAACTTCCAGGAAAATATTAAAATGTTCTGAAAACTCGTAAGAACTGCCAGGGGATGTTCAAAACAGCCTATGATGAATGCTATAAGAGATGAGAATGGCTATATTCTGAATGATGAAGTTTTGAGTTTAAAGAGATGGAAGGAATATTTTGAAAGCGTTTTTTATGAGTGAGGAGACAACGTATAAAATAAATGAAGTAGAAACTCCGAAAGAAGAGGAAAGAGGTAGCGAGATAAGTATAGATGAAATAATGAAAGCAATGAAAAGCATGAAAACAGGTAAGGCTGCCGGATATGATAGAGTTTCACTCGAAATGCTAAGGGCTGGAGAGGAAGTGGTGGCAGGCCTGCTGCACACCTTGTTTAATGTATGCTGGTAACTGAAGCGGGTACCGGTAGACAGGTGCAAAGCCGTGATAGTCCCAGTATATAAAGGAAAAGGGTTGCAGAGCAGGACTGTAAAAACTACCGTGGTATCAGCCTTCTTAGCATTGTGGGAAAACTGTATGCTAAGGTACTGATTGAAAGGTTCATGAAAGAAACTGATGAAAAAAATTGGGATGTGCAAGCGGGATTTAGAAAGGGAATGGGATGGACAGATCAAGTCTTTTCCATGCGCATGATCGCGGAAAAGTTTTTGGCCAAAAACCAAAAGGCTTTTTGTGCGTTCATGGACTTGGAAAAGGCCTATGACAGAGTGGATAGGGATGTGCTATGGCAAACACTGAATTCATTTGGGTTGAACGCTGGCTTGATACAGGTTGGTTTTATAGGGACTCTTGTTCTTGTGTTAGGATCAACGGGGTCTACTCTGACTGGTTTGGCATTCATAAAGGTGTCAGACAGGGCTGTGTGGCTTCCCCGTGGCTGTTCAACCTATTTATGGACAGTTGTTTGCAAAATTTGAAAGTTGAAGAATGCGGATTAAGAATGGGTGAGTTAACCGTCAAATGCCTTTTGTACGCCGATGATCAAGTTATTCTTGCGTCGTCGGCGGCCGAGCTGCAAATGATGGTTACATTAATGAACAGATCATTAAAAGAAAGGGGTATGAAAGTGAACGCAAGTAAGACGAAAGTTATGGTTTTTGAAAGAGAAGAAAGTAAGACGATATGTGAAATAAGAATAGAAGGGGAGTTGATCGAGCAAGTAGATGAGTTTGTATATTTGGGCTGCGTATTTAGCATGGATGGGAGATGTGATAAGGATATAGAACGACGAGTGAATGCAGGAAATAGAATAAATGGGGCCCTACACTCTATTGTGAAGAGTCAAAATGTGTCGAAAAAGGCACGTATGGCAATTCACAATGCTGTGTTGGTCCCTACTTTAACGTATGGTAGTGAAAGTTGGGTGTGGCAGAAGAAGCACGAGAGTAGAATGAATGCAGTAGAATTGCGGTCGTTAAGGAGTATGTTAGGGCTGAATCTGAATGACGGGGTAAGAAATTGTGTAATAAGAGAAGAGTGTGGTTTGCAAGATGATGTTGTTACCAGGATTAAGAAAGGAATGCTTCGGTGGTTTGGTCATGTGGAAAGAATGAATGAGGAAAGAGTGACAAAGAAAATTTATGTTGCAGAAGTGAATGGCAGAGTCGGAAAGGGACGTCCTAGGCGAAAATTTATCGACCAAATTGGCGATTTATTGAAAACGGGCCAAATTAGGAGTACCCTTAACCGATGAGCATGTATGTGTAGGTGTATGGATGTGAAGGAGGCGAGAGAGGTGTGTCAGGATCGTGCCAAATGGAAGTCTGTAGTCTCTGCCTACCCCTCTGGGTGACAGGCGTGAGTGTTTATGTATGTATGATTAATGTTTCGTTCTGAGTTATTAGTTGTGTTTAATTTAATAATAAGATTAAAATTGATAAACCAATCTACGGATATTCCTAAAAGTAGAAAAATTAAAAAAAAGTTAAATATGTGTAAAACATTAAAAAATACATCACTAAGACATCGTTTTATGTATGTCTTTACAATATATACCAAAAAACTATAATCGCAACTCTTTAGTAATAATGACACTGTTTAACCATCTGCGTAACAGATAAGTTCCTTTCAATCCCCACTAACGCAATCTGATGAGTGTGAATTATTGGCTCTCATTATCTGTGAATTGTAACCGTATAAAATTACAATTGACAAAAATAACAAAAACTCACGTCTTCCTTTCTGCATCTTGAAAATGTTAGAGACGGGCGGGGGGCGCGCCGGGCGTAGAGTTCCTGTACACAAAAATTAAAACTTTGCAAGTGTCAATTATTTAAAAGTTAAACATTTTTTATAAATTTGTTACATGTTAGTGTGTATTGCATTGTCCTAACTTGCAATGAATAATGAAATTATTTAGTTGAAGTTACAATTATAAATTATGTTTAGGCACAGTTTAAAGACCTTTCAGTTGGGAAAGAAATGTACTTGTGCAGATCAATGGTGATACTGCGGGGTAGGGGCGGGCTGACCTTGTGCTATCGCACTTCACTGATCTGATAGACAATACATGCGGTTGGCGCGAGAATGTTTTATAGTTCTTATTTAATTAATTTTAAGTACCGTTTTCGAAAAACACAATATCTCTAATGGTGAATTCTGTTATAGTTATATAAGTTACAAAGTAAAAACGAATTCTAATGACGGCCATGCTTATGTTTCCCTCATTTTTATTTTTATTTCTTTTCTTCATTAGGATAAACAGTTTTACTGTTTATGCGAATGTGAAACTACATAATTAACAATCGAAAACTGAAAACGTCTATATAAAGAAAATGTCACGAAAATATTGTTAAATTAAAGTGTTTTTTTCTTGTAGTAATAAAAAATTATCTTGTTCGATTAATGTTTTTAACTTATAAGTATCTACATAACGTTAATAAGAATTTGTATTATAATATCCAAAATTATTTTATTTGCATTTTCGTGACATCCCCTAGTATACACACTGACTGCATAATTAATTACCTACGCGGCCGGCGGCATCGCCTAGCATCAAAGGTGTTTCACAACTGTAAGGTCTAAATTGTAATTTAAGACAAGGAATTGTCCGCTGCACTGCCCTAATGCGTGTTGGCGTGTTTCACATGTCTTGAAATATATATTTTTTTAATTTCTTAGACATGCACATTGGTGTCCCTATGATGTTGTTCTCCACCGCCGAGCAGAGTAAATCAGAACTTAAAATTTAAAATTAGCAAATTCATTGGTGTTCGCGGAAATTAAACCTGGCTCGCTCACGTACTGTAGAAATTTGCAGACAGAGCTTAGCCCATAAACTACTAAAGCTTGTTTTAGTAGAAATTTATAGCAAATCAACTTTGTTTGAATAAAATGGTAGGTATTTTTACGTAATAGAAGGGGGCAAGCGAGCATGCGGCTCACGTGATGGTAAGTGACTACCGCCGCCCATGAACAACCGCAACACCAGGGGAATTGCAGATGCGTTGCCGGCCCTTTAGAAAGGAGTAAGCTCTTTTCTTGAAAGTCCCTAAGTTGTATCGGTAAAAAAAGTAAAAATCTCTGGTGGTAGTCGATTCCACAAGAATGTTATGCGGGGAAGAAAACTTCTTTTAAATCGCACAGTGGTGGACCGCCAGTCATCCAGATGATTATATCGCGAGTTTTGTCGCGATGTGCGATGGTGAAATTGCGCGGCTGGAATCAGTTCGAACAATTCCTCAAAGTACTCCCGTGGCGATAAAATACGCAAAGAGATGCAACATCTCTTCGCAATGTCAGTGAGTCAAGCCGATCGGAAAGAGCTCGGTCGCCGACGATTCGAAAGGCTCTGCGCTGGATGCGATCAAATGTAAGAAGCTGGCACTGGGGGGCCCCAGCGTTCTCTGTGTGCGTGCGTGCGTGTGCGGCGTGCGTGTACGTGTGCGTGTGTGCGAGCGGGACGCACTGTGGGGGCGCGGGTGCGCGTGCGAGCGGGACGGCAGGCGGCGGCGGCGGCTGCGACGCGGTTTCGTCGTCGCCGTCCAGGTTGCGCCAGCGCTTGTGCTCCGCGTCCCACACGATCTGCACGCGCAACATTCACTATTATGGCTAAATACTCAAACGCAACGTAATTTTAAAATGTAGTTAGGTCTCGTGGTTTCAGGGTCACTTCGACTTAAAGTGATAGAGACAGCACGAGACTTAACGGCATCTTAAAATTGAGTATTTACACATTAGGCCGCTATACAGAAACAATTTCGGGTTCCAACCCAAACTGCATATTTGTGCATATACTGCTTTATACGTAGTAGAGCCACAGTTGTAGCATAAATGGGTCAGCTAGACCGGGGTAGGACCACGCTCTCGCAGAATACCAGCATAAAATAACAGCTTAATGCAGCTGTGTTTCGTATGGTGAGTGTAGTGTAGAGAACCGGAGACCCTTTTAACTCAAAACGAGGCATTCCGTCTTAGTCCTCAGGGATGACAAACCGTTTGCGTTTTGATTTTAATTGATGATAAATGTAGATTTCTATGAACTTCAGCATTCATTACCGCCAGATGGACTGTGAGCTGTTTTGTCATACTAATTCTATTGAAAAAAAAAAACTCAAAATTTAAATCTTATCCATACAACATGTGAAGTATATCACACATTTTTGACATAGTGAAGATTGTCTTTGAATAACGGCCTTAAACACTACAAAAGTTAGTTTATAGCTAGTGAGGGCATTCAAGAATTTTCTTCCACCAAGAATGAATTTATTAGAAAAGTGTAGAGATTAAAGGTTCGTTCTGAATTATTGGTTATATTTTATATTAATTAAATTAGAAATGGATAAACTAAACTACGGACATTGCTTAAGTAAAAGAATTAAATAAAATTAAAGAAACAGCACATTCATCAAATAGCACATCGTATTATGATATCTGGCTGTATAATGATAAAATCTTATAATTATAAAACATATTTTTAAATACAACATTATTAATTAGGTACAAAGTTGTACGGTTTTATCGTTCACATGTCCTATACGTATATCATAATAATAATTTTTAGAAAGTATACTCAGGACAAAAAACTCGCAACCTAGGGTTCATAATGCTATCAATCAATTTCAAATGACGTATAGCAATATTTTTATTTCCATAAATACAAACAGTTAGAGAATTGCGTTTCTTTTTCAGAATAATAGTAGCAGAATATGTAAAGGCAAACTTTTAATTAAGTCGCTACTTTTCAATGATGATGACACTGTGTGGCCACTGGTCACTGACCATCTAAGTAACAAATAAGTTCTCATTAGTCTCAAGCGCGACTAACGACATCTGGTGAGCATTAGATATTTATTAGCCCTCATTACTCTCACTTATAAACTAGTCTATTTTAATTATGAAGTTCCGTGGAATATATGTGAACTAAAACGTAAAGTTAGGAATTCGTCATCTAATGTGAAATTTCGTGAAGACTTGCGTTTTTTTGTGGCAAAAACTATCAATAAACCAAGTTATGAAATAGGACCGATCGCCTGTACTACAATTAGCATCAAAATAAATATAGTCCATTCCGACAGATGGCGGTATAACAAAGTACCCAAACCGGCGATGGGCAGCAGAGTCAAAAATACGAAGCGTACTGCAGCTGCAGTGCTTCGTGATAAATAATACATTTGCCAATAGTGACCACTGAAGCACATCCTCCCCATAACGGGAGAGTCATTCAGAAGTGGTATTTATAAGCTGATGAAAGGAATAAAGAAATATAGCTCATTGTTTTCTATAAGTCATAAAAAGTAGATAGAAATTACGAACGTACGCATACGTTAACGTAGAATACATAACAAGAAATATTAGAAGATGATTTTTTTTAAATCTAACACAGAGAATGTAACAAAGAATTAGCATTAAAGAAGAAAATAGAAGTTAAAGTTATTTGCATTAATAATTTATTTATATTCAAAACTTTAATTTAATGTTTTTAGCACTATTACTCAATTATAGTAATTACGTAATTATCGCACATATAAATGATCATAGTCTTTCCGACATGCAGATATCCTAATAAGGTAATATAAGCAAGGTAAGGTAATGATAACAATTACTGAATGATACAAAAGGTATGTGCCTTTTCCCAAACAGATCATCATCATCAAAGGTCAACCACTTACATCATGTATGTCAGCTTTAATTAATGTAAGATGTGTAATGGTTGGATATTATAAAAATAAAATGCAGATAATGTCAAAATTTTATGAAATATATATATATATAAGTGCATATAGAAAAAAATAATATACATACATATATACGTAAATAAAATAAAGCACACAGATATATACACGTATAAAATTTATAAAACAGATACATAATATACATATATTATATATATATATATATATATGTATATATATATATACATATATATATATATATACATATATTATAAGAAGAAAGAGAAGTACAATTAAATTAATTATTATTACACGATTTGTTCTTTTTAAGTTTATCATATTATGGGAAATAGTTATCATAAGTTAGATATTATATGTAATGTTACATAAATTATCCAACTTTGCTTCACTGCCATCACTATAAAACGAAAAGGAAACTCCATTTATTCCTTATACTCGTAATAAGTATAAAGAAACAATTATCATTTCATATAATTGTTTCTAAAAACCTTTATAAGCAAATACGAAATCCAAACTGAATAAGAGGAAAAAGTCATAAATTTTTCAAAACACGTAACATTTAATATTTCCATTCATAAAGATTCATTTTTAATTCACATATTTTGTAGATATTTCTTACCTACCCACTATTATCATTCATTATTATTATTAATTAAAAGGCCGGCGGTTGGAACAACTGATAAAAGCCTGTAACCTAGTTTCAAATGTGTGATTATCCTATTTTAATTGTCTATCCAATCCGTTCTTAAATTGCTTAATGTGGCCTGCGCAGACTTTTATACGTGGTAGAGCCATGCTACCGTTATATTAGTAGTGTAGTTGTAGCACGAATGGGTCGGCTCAACCGGGGAAGGACCACGCTCTCACAGAATACCAGCGTAAAATAGCAGCTTAATGCTGCTGTGTTTCGTATGGTGAGTGTAGAGAACCGGAGACCCTTTTTACTGGAAACGAGGCATTCCATCTTAGTCCTCACGGGTGACAACGTATCTGTATTTTGATTCGTAATCGAGGATAGATGTAGATGTCTATGGGCCGCAGCAACCACTTACTATCAGGTGGACTGTGTGCTCATTTGTGACCCTATCCTATAAAAAAAGATATCACTTCTAAAGGCAGCTTGTTTCATGCATCAACCACTGTTTGGCTGAGAAAGTGCATTGAGGTGATTCCCCCTACGATGCGTGTTATTTGAGTACTGGAATAACAATTTGTCAAAATTTTTCGGATCATGGCTTATTTCGGAGATATTGTTCTCAATAAATTCATTTAATGAGATATATATGTATATTAATGTGTGTTTTTATTTATATTCTTTTGACAGGATTTCATGGGTTTATATTTATTTGTGCGGAACCCCAATGATTATTTAAAATAAGAGTAGCCTAAGTTACTCCTTATAACATCGGTTATCTGCCAGTGAAAATGCCCGTATAGAGTAGGGGCCGTACCAGCGGCGTCGAACGGTTCGCGTATAGCATTATACTCGTGATAACTTCGAAACTAAATGTCCGATTCGAATGAAATAAAAAGTATATTATTGCTACATAAATACCCTTGATGATAAAGCTATTTATTTTATCGAATTAAGAATTGCACCAGCGATCTAATTAAATTTTAGAATACAAAAGCTACCATTGTGATTTAACTATGATAGCTAGATATATACCCACGCGGAGTTTTTTGTAGGTAATAATAATTGCTTTAATCATGTAGTACTTCACTTATATGTATTATCAATAGTTTTCTCAACGCACGCCAAATAATGAATTTTATAGGTAAAATTTTGCTACTTAGGGTTTCATTATTGCAATCTTCTTAAGGATCTCTAATTTCTTTGAAAATATATTAAAGCCTATGTTACTTTCTGATAATTTAGCTTTCTATTGATGAAAAAATGGTTAAAATTAGTTCAGTAGTTTCGGAGCTTACTCGGTACAAACAAACAAAAAAATCTTGCTTCTTAGTAATATTAGTATAGATAGATATATTTTATTGAATTTGATTATGACAACTCAACTGCCCACAACTCACCCTCTGTTCTACTCAATAGCTGGTAAAAAATACTATATTATAACATTAAGCTCGCCTTTTGTACAATATTTTTGGTGCAATAAAGGAAAAACAAAACATAGAGGCCTTGTTCCCTCATAGCAAGGTAGGCATATGAACGGCGCGGCGGGATGCTGTGTGGGATGCACTCACGGTGGGGTTCTTGTCGTCGGGCAGGATCATCTGGTTGGGCGGGCGTAGCGACAGCTTGGTGAGGATGCCGCCCAGCCACCCGCTCTTGCCTTTGCCCTCGGACTTGCCACGCTCCTCCTTGCTCTTAGCCTGACCTTGCCCCTCACTCTCCTGTTTACCACCTCTCGGCGAATCCGTCTCGCGCTCTGTTTGCTGCTTCAATAAGTTTCAAGGGTTAAAGTGACGTTTGTCAACATGCTCTTTTTACTGGATACGAGACGAATTACATCATCAACATACGTGGTCGAGCCATGCTGCAGCTATATTATAGTTGTAGCACGAATGAGTCAGTTGGACCGGGGCATGACCACGCTCTCACATAATACCAGCGTGAAATAACAGCTTAAAGCTGCTGTATTTCTTATGGTAAGTGTAGAGAACCGGAGACCCTTTTCACTGAAAACGAGGCATTCTATCTATCCGGGGTGACATGCATCTGATTTATAAATGAGGATGAAATTTTTTTTCGATTCTTCATTGAGGATTGACGTAGATGTCTATGGGCCACAGTATCTACTTACCATCAGGTGGTAGGAAACAACGGAAGGAAACTGAAACAGGAGATAAGGCATCTTCTTGATTTTTTTATAGCATACGGCCGATATGAGAACACAATCCACCTGATGGTAAGTGAATGCTGTGGCCCACAGACATCTACGTCAATCCTCAATGAAGAATCGAAATGCGGATTCGTTGTCACCCATGAGGACTAAGATGGAATGCTCTCGTTTCCAGTAAAAGGGGTCTCCAGTTCTCTGCACTTAGCATACAAAACTGAGCAGCATTAAGCTATTATTTTACGGTTACGCTGGTATTCTGTGAGAGCATGGTCGACTTCCCCTATAGACTTCTCCGGTTGAGCCGACCCATTCGCATTACACTACTAATACAATATAGTTACTACTGCTACTACTATAATATATATACAGGGTGTTAGTGTAAACACCGTTATCCTTGAAACCAGTGGTTTGGTTTTACTTATAGAACGTAAATTCAAAGAAAAATATCAACATAATTTTTTATTAGTCAAATCTCAATTTTTCCTTACAATTATTTCACCATAGGCAAGTAGGCATATACAAAATTCCAGTAAACATATCGTAGCGGCAGCGATTCGCGCGGGATCTCACGCGCAGCTCAGCGGTCAAGGCCATCAGCCATCAGTCCATAGCGTCACAGTTTCAGTGTGTCAGTCGGTCGCTGCGTCGGTAGCGAATGCACGTGTAAATTTGATTTACAACCGCACCGCGCGCCGTGCCGACATTCTATGTCACTTATTTGTGTTTTAGGTACCTAGTTGTAGTTTTTGTGCGAGTGTGTTTTAGTTTGTAATTATGTCCTACACAAACGTGCAGTGGACCGAAATGGTCCGGCTTTATGCCGTAACTGGTGACAATGTGAACGAGGCTCGACGAATGTACGCAGAATTATTCTCCGAAAAACTTGTGCCAAATCGTGAAACTTTGTTGGCGGCCACGCAAAGGTTACGTAGCTACGGACAGTTTAGCATGCCGGCTCATGCTCAGGGGCGTGGCAACCAGCAGCTGCCAGTTACCCTTCAAGAACGTATCTTGGATTTCTTCGCGGAGAACCCAGAGGAGAGTACCAGGCGGGCGGCCTGTATTTTCGGTGTTTCTCACTGGACAATTTGGAAAATTCTACACATTGATCGTCAACATCCGTATCATTTTCAGCCGGTTCAAGAGTTAAATGAATATGACCACATACTGCGGGTGGTATTTTCGCAATGGCTAATTCAAAACTTTGATAACGTTTCCATTTTATTTACGGACGAAGCAGTGTTTACTAGGTCGGGCATTTACAATGTTCGTAATGAACATTACTGGAGTCGGGTAAACGAACACCGAATACGGCAAAACAGTTATCAGCACCGTTTTTCTGTAAACGTGTGGGCGGGAATTCTAGATGGCAAACTTCTTGGACCCTATTTTATTGACGGCCATTTAAATGCACAGTCGTACACGGCTATTTTACGACATGTATTCGACAGGATGTTGGAAAATGTGCCTCTTCGTTCACTGAGAAACCTCTACTACCAACATGACGGTGCCCCTGCACATTTTCAGCTGCAAATCAGGGCTATGCTGGATGAGGAGTTTCCTGGGCAATGGATAGGACGTGGAGGGCCAGTGGCGTGGCCAGCGCGTTCGCCCGACCTTACCCCGCTGGACTTTTATCTTTGGGGAGAAGTTAAGCGCCTAGTGTATGCAACTAAGTTCCGTAATACGTTGGAACTCAAAAGGCGAATTCTTAGTGTGTTTAGAGACTTAAGAAATTACACTGTTGTGCTTCCTAGAGTGCGAAAGAATCTACGGAAACGTGCGGAGGCATGCGTGGCCGTAAATGGATCCCATTTTGAACAGCTTTTACGATTAATGTAAAAGCTGATCAAAATGGGATTCATTTAAGAGGATTTTATTTAATAGGTAAGTGTAAATAATCAATCAATCAGGCTACACATCAAGCTATACAAAACCAGTTTGTCTTGGCCTCGCTTTGTATGATCTTACCGTACAATGAACGGTCAGCTTATGCTTCAAATGCCGTTTTCGTTCCAGGGCCACCGTATCCTGCTAAGACAGTCCCGGGACCCCGGGTCCTTGATTGGACGGCGAGCTACCCATTGGTTTTGCATAGCTTAATGTGTATGCATAACATTATGATTAACCTTTTAAATACGCCAAAAATCCTACCTAACGATTTACTATTATTAATGTTTAATTTTCTTTGTTGTTAAATCTAACTTACATTAATTTGGACTCGTCACGCAACACAAAAGGTAGGAATTTTTGCCTGTCCTAAGCCAGTATGAAAGTATGAAGGAAAAGTTACATCATAGGTTATGTGTAACATTGTGTTTTTATTGAAATGTTATGTAGGTAGCAAGGGCGGGCGGTGATCTTTAGTGATTACGTCACTCGGGCGCATAGGGTATCCATGAATTTACGGACGGTGTCGGACAGAAACTTTTTTAATTTTATGAAAGAAAATAGTTTTTTTTTAAATCGGATAATATATTTTTATTTTAAAACCAACTACCTATGGTTTCAGTGACAACGGAGTTTACACATACACACTGTATATATACTATAATATAGCTACGCTCTCTCTTTCTGGCTTTTCACGCGTAAACAACTCAATAAAAATGAGGGCTACAACTTACATAAAAAAGTTTAAACATAATAACTAATAAATTGGGTATAAGGTAACATAATAATGAATAAGGCATTGATATTCAAAAATGGCTTTCAGTATATCAATGGAATATGTTGAATAAAAGACTCATAACTGAAAATTCTAAACATTATTGTTATTCTTATTAACTAAAATCATATAAGTCTTTACCTATGAAATTGCCGTTTTTATGCAATAAGTTACCGTTATTCTTTTCTATATTTTGTTTTGTTTCTATTAATCAAGGTAATCACATATGCAATCGATGCAGTGACTTTATCAACACAGTGGCAGTTTGTTGATGCCTCCCTTGAAGAAATCAGCTGGACGGGAGGCAACAAATTCTTCAAAGGCATTTTGCACAGCGGGTATTGATTTTTTTTCCGGCCAAAAAGTTTAAGAAATTAGAAGTCTGTAGGCGCAAGGTCTGGCGAGTACGGCGGATGACGGAGAGCTTCCAACCCCAGCTTTTGTAACTTGGAGACCGTCAGTTGTGTAGTATGAGATCGCGCGGTGTCATGCAGGAGCAGCGGGGACGAGCGATTGACCAAAGCTAGTTGGAGACGTGCAAGCTTCTCCATCATTGTGTTTAGTTCGTCACAGTATATATCTTCAGTAATGCTCATCCCGTTTGGTAAGAAGCAGTGATGAATCACAGCGGCGCTAGACTACCAAACAGTGATTATCTTAACCAGTATCCAATCAACTTGCTGAGCGTTTGCGATTGTCAAACAAAATCCATTTTTCGTCGCACGTCGCACGTCTTGAGGCATACTTCGCGCTGGCGATCATTGAGTTCGCAGGGCACCCATTTGTCAAGCTTTTTTAAATTGCCAATTTGACGCAAATGGACCAATATTGTTTTAGTGCTAACGTCGAAAGTTGCTGCTAATTTAACCGTAGATTGAGTAACATCAGCTTCCACAATCGTCTATAATTCTTCATTGTCGACCAAAGTTTTCGGATTGATTTTTCAGGTCCAAATTTCCAGAACTGAAGCGACCAATAACAGGTGGTGCGTTCGTTTGTAGTATTCGCTCTGTAAACGTCGTTGATGATGCGCGCCGCTTGTGCCGCGTTGCTGCCACGACGGTACTCATATTCCATAATTACTTCAATTTTTAACGTTATCATGATGACGAAAAAGAAATGCGATGCAAACATAACGCTAATCAGTAAATAAATTACTAATTAAAAAAAAGTATTTCATGTTTTTAAATAAAATTAATTTGAAATTAGAATTCTTAGCCAAAGCAGGCCAGTACTGCAGAACGGCAATTTCGTAGGTCACGACCTATTACATATTATTATTGTTATTATTATATAAGCTTACATTGACATCAGCGCTGGCCGGTCTGTCATCGTCGTAGTCCGCGTAGAGCGACGGCTTGGAGGGTGCAGTCCCCGGCATAGTGATTGTGGGCCGCGACTCCGTGGCATCATTGTCGACTAATCCGGTCACAGCCTGCAGAAATATTTTTCCACTTGCATCATTATGTAACTATTCAAGAAGTTTAAGAGGATTGTATTAGTTTCGCCAAATGCCAACATCACCAGTGTGTTCACGTGGTCGATGAATGGGTCAACCCGACCAGGAAGGGATTATGGTCGTACAGAATACTAGCCTCAAAAAGCAGTATTATGCTCCTGTGTTTCACATGATGAATGACAAGAACCAGAGTCATTTTACTCGTAACGAGATAATACACTATCTTAATCCTTAGTGACGAAGCGTCTGCAGAGAACCGGAGACGTTTTCCAAAGACAAATTCCATCTTAATCCCCTAGGGTATCGACGTCTGCATTTTTGCGCGAGAGCATACAACTGCAGTAGTGGACAAGGTGGTTTAAAAAAACCGATGTGTAACGGCTCTGAAGACTTAAAATTGTTATTTTCGGACTCCTATGCTAAGTAATGCCCAGACTAATGAAGGGGAAGTGATGTTAGTATCCAGGTTCTCCCTCAATTTGGTTTATAAGCCCCAATTTCAATAACTTGTGAGCTATCCACGTAGTTGATTCCTCAAAAAATAGAACAATAACCAGGCATGTTTTAAAAAATATTTGAACGAAAACAACACCATCCGTATTTTTTTAATGCCGTCAAATAACAGCGTTCCTCAATCTTTAAATAAATCATTGACTGCAAATATCTGTAAAAAAATTATTTCATGACACAGATGCCTGAATCATGTTACTTTAGACTGTTTACACATTACTTTAATAAATAAAAATTAAATGATGTCTTTCAATTGAAATAATACTAGTTTTTACGGAATTTATCGCGTATATTTAACTTTTTAAATACCCGACGTTTCGAACGCTTTACAGCACTCATGATCACGGGCGGGACTGAGATGTTCATCGTCCATATCTCATAGTTAACCGCGGTTACCATAGATTAAAATTTAACTTTTGTTCCGATTCTGTGAACACGTACAGGATCGCCCCCGTCACTACATCAGATTTGATAGACCGCAAATCCTCGCTAAAGAACACCGATTCCTTCTAAGGATGATTCGCGAGGACTATTGAAATCAAAAAACATCCTAATTTCAATAGAGAAGATGGCTGGGTGCTACCATCTGCTTGGGATCCGATAATAAATAAAATTAAATCCCAACCCAAGCATACAACTGCAAGACTCCATGATACCATAAGTTCATACTGTATAGATCGGAACAAAAGTTAAATTTTAATCTATGGTAACCGCGGTTAACTATGACATATGGACGTTGAACATCTCAGTCCTGCCTGTGACCATGAGTGCTGTAAAGCGTTCGAAACGTCGGGTATTTAAAAAGTTAAATATACGCGATAAATTCCGTAAAAACTAGTATTATTTCAATGTGTAGTGTTCGCGTAAATATAAGAGATGTCTTTCAAACTGGCCACAATTTACAACTAACTCCAAAATGTTGGGTTTTGTCATCAAAAATCATTAAAGCTTGATAAAAAAATAATAGTCATACTTCGTCAAAGACAAGTTGGGTTCAAATGGTTCTGAATAGTCTATACTAGCTCCGCTTTACGGTTTTGCATCGACCTTCCAAACACCTGTATATTCACATGATAGTGAATTAAAAGATACTTAAACTCGCCGTGTGAGCCTTGTTTTTATCATAGTTAGGGTATGATATGGTAAAAGCAAACAGAGTAGCTGCAGTTAACTTGATTACATATGTCATATTCTTCAATAATGTGGTATCTATTAACCAATCCTTATTCTGTGGAGTCCCCAGTCCATTCCATCGGATTTAGCACATGGCACATTTGTAGACCCTTCAGATTAATTCTTTTTAGTCACTTAAAAGAATTATTCAACTAAAATTCAAAAAAATTTATTAGAACTAGTAGCGTTACTAAATTACGAGAATTAAGATTATACAAGAAAAAATTAACAGAATTTACTTGACGACCTTTCGCTATTACGCTACTTCATCATTCATTCATTAGATTAACGTCGTCTTCGCAGGTCGATGTAGTAGTTATTGTGGCGGCGCTGTCGTTGGAAACTTCAATCTTCATTATCATCATAGAATACCCCACCCATTCGCTCCCGAGCAGATATCGTCCGCAGTCTTCATATCCTGCAAGCCATCAGCTTCACAAGGTTCATCGCAGCACTGGAATAATAATGCTTCCTGTTCCTTCAAGCTACTCTCTGCGCCATACAGTGTTCGGCGCGGCTCTGAGCCTTACTGCTCGCCTCTGCTTCACTGCACTCTCGCAGATTACTTGCCTTCTTCTCGACTCACCGCAGACTACAAGGCAATCTCCTGGCACTTGCATATTCGTCGACAACTCGATTGCACTATCGACCTCCGGTCTGAGCAGGGGGGTGATGTGGCGGCGCTGTCGTCGCGCCACAAGCGAAATACACCGAAGCCTAAATCACGCTATCAACATTCCGAATCACAAACAGCATATATAGAACATCTCCGAACTATCACACGGAGCGTCGACCGCTCTCCGGGCAGAACACCTTGCCCGGCGGGAGATTTCCCCTTTCCTTCCACGGCCACATTATTAAACCGTGTACATGGCGCTGTCACATAATTATTTGTTTAGTAACATTAGTTTTACTAGATTTCTACCTTAAAGTTGCTAAATGATTTTTTTATATGATAGGGTGACAAACGAGCATACAGTCCACCTGATGGTAAGTGGTTGCTGTGGCCCATAGACATCTACATCTATCCTCGATTATGAATCAAAATGCAGAAGCGTTGTCACCCGTGAGGACTAAGATGGAATGCATCGTTTCCAGTAAAATAGGTATCCGGTCTCTACACTCATACGAAACACAGCAGCATTAAGCTACTATTTTACGCTGGCATTGTGAGAGCGTGGTCCTTCCCCGGTCGAGCCGACCCATTCGTGCTACCACTATACTAATAATATAATTGCAGCATGGCTCTACCACGTAAAATTCGAATTTTATTTGAAAACCTCTAAAATAATATAATATAAAACATAGAGCAGATAACTGTTGTTGTATCTTTAGTAAAGTTTATTTGCATATCAAACGTAAAAGATATTTTTTGAGGATTTATAGTCGTTTTTTTTCTTTATGCCAGTTTGTACAACTTCTCGACACTCGTAACAACTTGTAAATGGCTGTTTATAAAATATTTTTATCGACAACTAAGAGATTTCCCATAAAATTGGAAGGAAATCCAGAATAACATAGTAAAAAAACAACATAGTATTTTGAAACCAATAGATAGATACAAAAACAATAGGTAAATACTCCCATTTTTAAGGTTTTTAAATAACTTGGCAACTTTAAGGTAGAAATTTGGTAAAACAAATCTTTGAAATGAGATAATTCTGTAAAAGCGCCATCTATACGGCTTGTTAAGTGCTACATAACCTGTAAACTCGTGGTAGTTCTCCGTGAATTAAATAAAATGGCTCTGTTATTAATGCCGCATAGGTTCCATACATTAGTTGACAAGGCCTGTTTCGAGAAAGGAATCGTTGGTCGGATAAAATGACGGGATCTGAGAGGTTAATGTTTATCTAGTTATCCTACATTTTCTCGGCTAGTAACTTAAGTTATGGCGATGGATAGAATTTTAAGTGGAATTGCTAAGTTAGCTGCACATGCATTTTATGCTCAACGTCATTTTGTTGAATCTGCTGCGTAGGAAAAAAAATCTTATTGTATTAAATTTTAATTTTGATATATTGACTGCACCGTGGCATAGTGGCTTAGCAATGAGTTGTAGCGCTGAGGACCGCGGGTTCGAATTAACGAACAAGTATTTTAAAAAATAAGAATATAAATTTCTTTGCAACTTTCCGCAAGTGACGTACTTAGCGGTCACCCGCCGTAGAGTCTATATTACCTGAGGATGCCTCGTGTAGAGGCGAAACACGTGTCGTATTATCGTCGATGGTGTGTCTTGCCTGGAATAGTGGTGTTGAGAGTAGTGGTGCTTGGTCTAGTGGTGACGGAGTTAGTGTATGCAATTGAGGGAGGGCGGGAGGTGCGCTTCAATCCAGGTAAGACACATCATTTTATATGTTTAGCGGAAAGTTGCAAAGAAATTTATATTTTTATTTTTTATTATAATGGATTTCCGCAAAGTAACGCCTGATTCTATCAATTACGAACAAGTATTTGTACGGCCTACATTTAACTGATCCTGGTCTGGTAAAATTTATGTAAGCTGAGTCCACAATGCAGTAGAAAATCCTAGTGCGAGGGTAACGTATATTTAAGATTAAAAGCAAACTACCACATCTCGTCCTGCAGATGTCGTAAGAGGCAGCAGAGGGAGATTGAAGCAGAAGGTGGTCAGCAGCAAATTTCTAATAACAACTAAGAATTATTTAAAAAAAACTGTGGATACCCATCCGCCTGCTAGACTGTGACTGCCTATTTTGGGGAGATAGCTAGGGTTGCCAGATGGTTGTGATTCGTCTGGATTCTCCCGACATTTTAAATGATCTCCAGACACCCGACAAAACTCAAAATCTCCAGACAAACAGCTTGTCTTCACCCCACAGCTGCTTTTGATTTAATAAAAGACGAGGTGATAATTAAATTGGACTTTGAAGTAAATTGTTTGAATTTTAAATAGTTTCTGAATAGTAATAAAAAATCCAAATGCGTGGACTCTAAAGTCCAATGCCAAGTGCATGTGGCAACCTAAACACTAAGCACATTTAAAAAATTAGTTTTACATTATTATTTATAATATTTGTTTTTCCCGCCAACGACCCCAAAATCCCGAGATTTTCAAATTTTGTCCAGATATTTTGACCTTCCGATCTGGCATTCCTAGATGTCACGTTAAAAAAAATCAATAAAGTACTAAGGTACGTGAGGGTAATATGGTCATCTTAAACTTTGCCGCCCTATTAAAACCAAATCTAGAAGGATAGAGAAAAAATACGAAGTCATATACTATAACTAATATATTAAGAAAAAAAGACAACAAGCTTTGACAATAATTAGGAACACTTCGAAAAATCGATTTAAAAAAACTAATACGCTACACCATACCAAAATCGGCTAAAATATTTACTATAATATCAACTGTCCAAATGGCGTCGATAAAGCATCGCCCTTTTGAACCTTTATTATTTTATTTGATTGACTGTAGTATCACAAAGCCATCTATGCAAACAAGGCTGTAGTTTTGGAGTTACAAAAAAAGTGACCATATTACCCTAACGTACTATATTTGGATTTCAATAATTTTCTTTATTTTTGTATGTAAAGCCGCAACGGTGAACGAATTAGCAGTCCAGCTGATGGCAAGTAGTTATTGCAGATACCTAAAACGCACTTTTAACTGAGAAGTCGCTTACAATATATCAGCAACAAGTAGGAACCTACCCGGCTGCACTCCTGGGTAGAACAAGGGCTAGATATTACTAATGTTGAAATAAAACACATAATTTAGTGAAACATTTAATAATAATAACTAATATTTAAGGTTAAGGACGTGTTATTAATTAATAACATTTAATATAAGCGTGAACATGAAGCACACAGCAAAATAACAAGCACTGAGATTTTATAATTAGTCAAACATTCAAAAACGAAAAATCTATAGAAATATATAGAAATGCTCAACCTAGCTGCAACACCTACACGTGAAACTAAACGCTAAATTTGACCGAAATAAGTATGAGGATCCATGGATATGTAAAGAAGCTAACAAATTAGAATTTCTACTCATTTTATATAAATTAAAAAGTGCAGATCAATTTTATCACAGCAGAATGGTACAACTAGTAAGGTACATTCTAATACGATTCTATTTTATAAAACATAATAAGCCACAAACATTCCAGTTGTACAATAGTTTTTTGGCCAACATTTTAATTCTTTCACGAATATTGGTTTGAAATAACTTATAATAAAAAAGAAATGACAATTTTGTATATGTGCTCAGCATTTAAAAATAAAACATTCGCATTCGCAATTCAATTTTAATTTGCCCTATGTATAACTGTATAACTTTAACAGTAGTAGTATAATAAACTCCAAGCTACAAAAAAATTGACAATAAAATAACAACACAACACTAAAATAATAAAATATGAAAACAGACTATTATAGGATGGACATAAGATTAGGTTTACTTCAATACCTTAACTTTATTTAAATGCTAAAGAAATAATCGCATTGTAGTCATTTACTTGACAAAACATTTTTCTTTATTAAAAGAAATGGTAAACAAGTTGTGAATCGTAAGAATTTGCAAAGTTATAATTGCGGGAAAACATTTATAATATAAATAACAATTTCTTCATATAGTTATCCAGCATTGTGTAAAGTAATATTAGGACTAATCATAATCACTGGTAATTGTGTAACCTAGTTTTTTATTTTATTTTATTTCAAATTTCATTGCAATTACTTGATGTTTAGACTTTACTAAGAAAATAGGTAATTATTGATTGAAATAGCAAAAAAACCTTTGAGACCAAGACCTTAAATTGACTCGTATTATGTCATTTAAAGCTGAAATTTCAAAGGAGACATTATTGGTTCAAAATAGCATATCTGTCTAATCATGTTGAGTTAAATTTCTCCATAGTTTTTGTGACACGATTAAATCGAATTAGGTAACTCCTTTGTTATGAAGTTTTAGTATGAAATACTTAATTATTTTGGATCAGTTGATAACAATAACTTAACTCTTAAAAAATGTACACTGGCAAAAATACAACATTACGAGTCCATTAGCGAAGAAAGAAAGATAGAATTAAACTCTCGGTAAAAATATTAAATTACGCGAAATCATATTTGAATTTCAAATTCGTATGATTTGCTTCAGTTTGGACGAACCTTAAATTTATAAATTGTTTACAATGCCAAACTTTTATAGGTTAATTTTGTTCTTAGTTACTTTTTATTGCAATATTTTACAATCTGTAATATGAGCGGTTCACAATACACATCGATTTTGCTGGAAGCTCATACAAAGTTGTGTTAGTTTCCTTTAAATACAACATTACTTTTAGTTTATTTATATGAGTTTATTATAGAAATAAATACGAACATATATTTACAAAACTAAAGTAGACGAGACCTTACATTTTTCATTATCTAATATTGCTGTTATATTTGACGAATTATACAATATACATTATATATTAAATACAAGTAAAAAGTGCGATATTTTTGAAGATCTTGAGGTTTTTATTAAAACTAAAATAAAACGCAAGTAGCACAAATTTGAAACGTCGTTAGTGCGGCGGGTGAACCTGCAAATTATATGAAGGAGACCGGCTCGTCGATGTCGAAGGTCTTGGGTCCAGATACGTAGTAGGCGGCGTGGTCATCAGTCAGGCGGGCTTCGGGCGGGATGTGGTCGGGCTGCACTGGTTCATCGATGTCGAAGGTGCGGGAGATGGTGCAGGTTTGTTTCTTACGGGTAGTACGCGCTAGGGCTGCGTCGAAACGCTGCAGACTGCGTTGTACGGTTCTGCGTAGTTCCTGACGCCGTTGCTCTGAGCTCCAGGGTACTGTACCTGGACGCGCTACCAGAACTTCCTCCCTCGCACTTGTAGCGGAACGCGTCGCCAGGTCTACTTCCTGCCCCGCACTTCTACGTATCTCTCCCCGTTCATTCTGCGGACTCGCCGGCTCGTCTATGGGGTACGTGCCGCCGAAGACGAGGGGTTTGAACGGTCGGTCCATAGACTTCCGTGACCAGGCGTCCACAGACCCTGAGATGAGAGATCCGCACTGCGGTCGGGGTGCACGCAGCGGAGTTGAAGAACGGAACATTCTAGAACTTGCCGTTTGGACGTCTAAGTCGGATAGTTTGGTCGACGGGGCGACGAGCGAAGCGATGGCTCTGTGAGTGGGCGCCAGTAAAGTGCGGGCGTTGTCGTCACGATGGTCGTCACGGTGGTTATGGTAGTCACGGTGGCCGTGGGCGTGGTCGTCACGGTGGGGGTCGTGGGCGGGGTGCTTGTTGGCGCGGCGCCGTAGCCCCGCGCCCCGCCGCGACTGCCCCACAATACGCGTTAGCACACAGCACACATGCACCAAACTAATTTTACGATACACATGGGCGCATCTATTCAAACCGACGTTATAGTCCAACGCGCGTTCAAAATCCGAACTTAATTCTCGAATTTTAAAATTCAAAAAATAAACAAAGGTGAAACAAATTCAAACATCAAATCCCACCACCGGAATATTACCGTTTTTTTTTTTAATAAAATCCATGCATGTCATAAAATCTAGCAAATATATTTTTAAATAACAACTATTATATACTCAATTTTTCATCATCATTATCATCATAACTTGAAAATATTTGAAATCTACATTACAAATATATATCAATATATTTACTAAATGAAAGGTACTTTTATAGTGACAGAGAAACTTTGTATAAGTATAAAAATGTTTTAATAATATATTCATCAAATCAATGTTGTGTATAAATATTACTATTATATTAAAATACTACTACTACCCTACTACTTTCTAAACAGCCGGCAATAACCGACAAATCTCCTAGTGTTGAAGATGTTCATAGAGGACGGTGATCACTTACCATCAGTTAAGCCGTATGCTCCTTCGCTCTGTTTTCCTACATTAAAAAAATAACTAGTAATATCATTACATGCGTTTTAATTTAAAATTAAGTAGCTGACGTGCTCACCTCTCCATATCCATAATGAGAGTCATTCTGCCAATAGGGATCGGCGTAATTCTGCGCCTGATTTTGAGGCCACTCTTCCCCATACGTGTACGTCGCATCCCCTTCTCTCAAACCGGCGTGTTGCTCGCCAGGCTCCTGCGCCTCTTGGTTTTGATCTTGTTGGACATATTGGCCATCCGTTTGGCTATATTGGCCATCTTGTTGGGCATAGTGGCTCTGTTCCTGGTGGTGATAGTACTGAGCCGCGTAGTCGGGAGTTTCCTCCGTTTTGGGATAGGTCTGAACTGGTTGCTGGTACTGGGTCGTCTGAAGAATACAAGCAAAACATTGTGATTATTCTGTAAAATAATATTAACCACTACCAAAGGCATATTGACATTAGTTAAATGATGTTTTCATTAATTGTCGAGCTGATAGCAAGTTCTTAAATTTGAAGAGACTCATATTCCTCATCATCGCCATTACAGTCCTTCACAAGTCCACCGCTGAACATAGAGCTCCCCCAACGAACGCTACAAAGCACAGTCCTGAGCCTGAGCCTTCTGCATTCATCGTTTTCTTGCATATCTTATGAGATTGTGATATGATAGTGTCAAGAGGTTATAAATAGTAATGGTAGAAGGAGTGCGACGAACCTGCTCGTGCCAATTGCTGTACTGCGTCTGTTGCCGCGCTTCCGCCTGTAACAACCCTCCATTAAACATTTCATTACACGTACTATACATTACATGTACTACTAAATCTCTACATTTTTAATTGATTAACATGGAGTACAAACATAACTTAAGTTCACAATATCAAATATTGTACGTCAATAATCGGGATAAAAACTATCCTATCTCTCAAGTTGGAGCAAGCAATACACATTTACGCAATTTCATTAAAATCCGTTAAGCGGTTTTGGAGATTAGCGTGAACAAACGTGTATAGATTATAAAGCACACTATTATGTAACATGCTTACGTTGTAAACGATACTTAATTATATCAAGAGAAATTAGTTACTTGCAATGCTTATTCCATTACGATCTCTCTTTTAATAATTTTTATTTCATTAGAAAACAGAAATAATATAAGTAAAAAAGTTTACTTCGATAATATTTTTAACCCCCAGTTTTTGTCTATAACAACTACTTTAAAGGTTCAGAACCTTGAAAATGTTGTTTAATTATCACAGAACAATATGAATTTATATTAGCATTGGTATTGGTAACGAATAAAAAGATCAAAGAGATAACTGTAAGTTGAGCAAAGAAATCAATATATGGATAAGGTCTTTGTTCAAAAGTAAACTTTTATATTTTATAGGCTTTAGTATATGGATGGATGGAGCAAATAAAGAATGACTTAATATAATACCAACCACGAAAATAATTTCGTAATTCATTGACATCTATTACGAATAATAAAAATAAGAAGGGTCCAAAATTAGAACCTTGCCGTATTTCGGAACTAAGTTTTAAACAGAGTTTTTGTCACGATAGAAGTCCCTTAGCCACGGCGTCAAATTTCCTTCGTGTATTCATCAACAATAAGCATGGTGTGTGTAAGAGAATTAATCGATTAATTATTTTTATTTATCGATTGCTGTACTGCTTATTAGACTAAGTCTACATTGATAACTGAACTGACTACTAGTAGTAGTTAGTTCAGTTATCAATGTAGACTACCCCACGGCTTTTCAGGAAATGGCTTAAAAGAAACAAAAAGTCATCTATGGAAAAGATAAAACAATTTTAAAGTTGGAATAACAATCTCTAATACATATTATTATATTATTCTTACCTCTAGCATATTGGCAACATTCTTGACATCTTCCAACCACTGTTGATGATGCCGAGGCGAGGGTTCCCCACTATCGCCTTCCGCCACATCATCCACTAGTGGCGGATCTTCGTGAAGGGCTGGGTCGTAGTACTTTAACCTGTATATATTTTTAAATTGTTTTAAAATTAGTAGTATCAATTAATAGCAAATATTGTGGGATTCAATTAGTAAGAAATATTTTTATTTTTGATTTTGCAATGATAATGTGTTATTTCGGTTCTTGTAAATGTTTTTCAGTGTGTGCAATAGATTAAACATTATATTATGCAAATACTTCTATACAGGTTTACTGGGAACTCGACAATATCCTGGTAGGGCGTGATGCGAGAGTCAAAATGCTACAAATTTGACCTTCCATATGTATGGCCGAAAATGAACAGGCCTTGAGATATACGAATTTCACAGATTTTTTAATAATCACCCAGAATTTCGTCGTATTAATTTCTAAATTAAAATAAAACCTTTTTTGTATGCTTTCTTTTAAGTTTATTTTCATGTAGCTTCAACCAAACGAATACAATCATAAAAATAATAATTATTTTTACACTTTATGTATCATAAAATGTAACGTACCTCAAAAAATTACTAAGACGTGAGACATAAAAATCTTTTAAAAAACATGCCCATTTAATCAGCTATCCAAAAAGGTAATAATATGCCGGTAATGACATTTATTTATAAGGTACAGTCAATTAAACTAATGTGGATCATTTCTAAACTTAAACAATTTTTTTACTAAGTTTTTAAAAGATTAAATATCAACGAGTTTCTTTTTCTTCAATTGAATGAGCTGGGACTGAAGAACATGTGGTTCCAACAGGACGGTGCAACGGCGGACACTGCCCGAGCCATATACAACATTTTGAAGTTCCGGGTCGCTTAATCTCCCGTTTTCGCGATTTGCACTGGCCGCCAAGATCGTGCGATTTGACCGCACCAGACTTCTTTTTGTGGGGGTTTTGAAGTCTCGTGTTTAGTTTGTGTTTAGTAGTGTTAGTTTAGTAAGCCTCAGAATCCGGAAGCTCTCAAGGACAACATGCAATATGAATGCGCGAACTTATCGCTTGAAGTTCTGGCAAAAGGTGGGGTGGAAATCTGGAAAAAGGTGGGTTGTGCGCAGGGCCAAAAGTGATGCAAAATGCAATAAAAAGTCATCAAAGCTGACGGAGGCCACTTGTGCGATATCATTTTCTCGACTTGATGGAATTTTTTTTAATTAATCAAACATAAATAAACAAACAGACCCAAAGCCTTTCATTTGTAAAAAAAATTTGTCAAAGAACATCGAATGATTACTTTTGCCTCAGCCGGTAGAAGTCTTTGATTTAATATAATTATTTAATAAAACTAAATTTACGGATTTTATCGCGTTTATTTCATTACTTTTACTTATTTTTAATTCCCGATGTTTCGGGTGCTTTACAGCACCCATGGTCACGGGGGGGACTGAGATGTTTGACGTCACAATGTCATTGTTAGTCCGGCTACCTTCAGTCTTTGAATATTAATTTTTGGTCCAATTTACGCAAAATGACCTTATAGTATCATGAAGTCTTGCAGTGGTATGCTTAGGTTTGGGTTTAATTTTGTTAATTATAGGATCCCAACCAGATCGTAGCACCCATCCATCTTCTCTATTGAAATTTGGATGTTTTTTAATTTCAATAGCCTCGCGTATCATCCTTGGTAGGAATCGGTGTTCTTTTGCGAGAATTTGTGGTTTATCAAAACGAATGTAATGGTGGGGACGATCTTGAACATGATCGCAGACTGCAGACTTCCCGGAGCGTCGGTGCTTCACGTCAGCTATATGTTCTTTCACGCGGGTTTTTATGGATCTTTTTGTTTGACCTATGTAAGAAGTAAAGGTATTAGCGAAGCTAATGAACTTCGCATTAACACCGCGAAAAATCCCGTACGAAGAAATTATCTGCAGCGTTGAGGATTGTCTGTTTAAAAATAATATTGGTAAGGAAGATTTGGAGGCTATACGTCAAGATATTTCGTCCTTGTTACGTCGTAGTTCAGTGCCGAAACCAAACCTTCCTAAAGACGAATTTACAGCGTTGATTAACTTACGGAACAGACCAGAGCTAACGATTCTCCGCGCGGATAAAAGAAATGCTACGGTAATAATGGACACGTCAGAGTATAATTTTAAAATACTACAGCTTTTATCGGACGAAAGTACATACAAAAAGGTCAAAACAGACCCTACAACTAACACGCTTAAAGCAACTAGCGATTTAATAAAGAAATACTCCGAAAAATTAAATCTCGACGTGAATTCGCTAATACCATCATGTGCCGTGTAGTGGCGGTTAAGAATATCCACTACCCCATATCTTCCCGTGGGTGTCGTAAGAGGCGACAGAGGGAGACAGGCAGGAGATGGGCAGCAGCGTCTTCCTGATGACAACTGTGACGTAATAAAAAACTGCGGTTGCCAACCCGCTCGCCAAGCGTGGCAACTATGGCAAATACCCCCCAATGAACAAATACACAAACAGACGGCTCCCAGTCCCCGGCGGCCCCGCTATTCCTGGCTACGGTGGCGACCATGGTAACGGCGGGGCAGGGGGTGCTAAGAATCTCCGGTGGAGGTTCGGTTGCCACCTACGACGACTCGACCTGGCAACATATAACGCACGCACCCTGAGGACTGACGAGAAGATACTGGAGCTGGAAGAAGAGGTAGACAAGTTGCGCTGGCATATTATTGGATTATCCGAGGTCCGAAGAGAGGGGGAGGACACGGCAATCCTCGAGTCCGGCAACTTGTTCTATCACCGGGAGGGCGACCATCTGTCCCAAGGAGGTGTCGGATTTATCGTCCACAAATCTCTCGTCAACAACGTTGTAAAGATTGGGAGTGTGTCGACGAGGGTCGCGTACCTGATACTCAGAATCACCAAACGGTATTCGCTGAAGGTCATTCAGGTTTACGCACCAACCTCGGCACATCCCGATGAGGAGGTGGAGGAAATGTATGAGGATATTTCCAGAGCCATACATTCCTCCAGAACCTACTACACGGTGTTGATGGGAGACTTCAACGCAAAACTGGGCACAAGAGAAAGCGGTGAGCTGAAGGTAGGGAAATTTGGAGTAGGGCAACGGAACCGAAGGGGCCAGCAGCTGGCCGACTTTATGGAGAAAGAGGGACTCTTTATGATGAACTCTTTCTTCCAGAAGCGGCCCCACAGGAAGTGGACCTGGTCGAGCCCCGACGGTTCGACAAAAAATGAGATTGACTTCATTATGACGACCAGACGCCAACTGTTCAGTGATGTCTCAGTGATCGCAAGGGTGAAAACTGGCAGCGATCACCGAATGGTTAGAGGCACACTGAACCTAAACGTTAAGTTGGAGAGGTCTCGTCTAATGAAGTCAACGCTCCGTCCCCCTCGTGCTCTAATCCAGAATCCCGAAACCTTTCAGCTCGAGTTACGTAACCGCTTCCAGTGCCTAGAAGATTGCAATGCAGTGGACGATATGAACGACAAGCTCGTGGAAACTGTCCATGCGGTCGGAGCTAAGTTCTGTAAGACCCGCCGCAGAAGAACACAAAAACTCTCCGATCACACTCTTAATCTCATGGCTGTTAGACGGGAGATGAGGCTGCAATCGTCAACAGATTTGACAGCATACAGGCAACTGAACAGACAGATCTCCAAATGCATACGGCGAGACTTACGCAACTTTAATACTTCTCGTATTAAAGAAGCGATCGAGCGGAACCAGGGCTCCAAAGTCTTTGCCAGAGATCTGTCTGCCAGAAAGAGCCAACTGTCAAGGCTGAAGACTGAGTGTGGCAACATCGTTTCCGGGACACCTGAGATTTTGAGTGAGATTGAGAGGTTCTATGGGCAGCTGTACACATCATCGTTGGAGCCACACGCAAGTGTGAGTAACGATCCAAGAGCAAGTCTTATCCGACACTATTCCGATGATATCCCGGACGTCAGTCTAAGCGAGATTAGAATGGCTCTCCAGCACCTTAAAAACGGCAGGGCCCCAGGCGAGGATGGAATTACAGCGGAGCTTCTGAAAGCGGGTGGAACACCGGTACTTGAAGTCCTTCAGAAGCTCTTCAATTCCGTCCTCCATGGTGGCACTACTCCAGAGGCGTGGAGCAGAAGTGCGGTGGTCTTGTTCTTTAAGAAAGGCGACAACGCTCTCTTAAAGAACTACAGACCGATTTCCCTTCTGAGCCGCGTCTACGTGCTGTTTTCGAGAGTCATTACGAATCGTCTCGCACGCAGACTTGACGACTTCCAGCCTCCCGAACAAGCCGGTTTCCGAAAAGGCTTCAGTACCATAGACCACATACATACCCTGCGGCAGATTGTACAGAAGACTGAAGAGTACAATCTGCCACTTTGCCTGGCGTATGTGGACTATGAGAAAGCCTTTGATTCCGTCGAAATTTGGGCGGTGCTACAGTCCCTTCAGCGGTGCCAAGTTGACTGTCGGTATATCGAAGTGCTGAAGTGTTTGTACAGTAGGGCTACGATGGCTATCCGAGTACAGAACCAGAGCTCGAAACCTATCCAACTGCAGAGAGGTGTAAGACAGGGTGACGTTATATCCCCGAAACTCTTCACCGCTGCATTGGAAGACGTTTTCAAGCTACTGGACTGGAAAGGATACGGTATTGACATCAATGGCGAGTACATCACTCACCTTCGATTTGCCGACGATATAGTCCTTATGGCAGAATCGCTGGAGGACTTAAGCACTATGCTCAATGACCTCAATAGTGCCTCCCAACGGATAGGTCTTAAGATGAACATGGACAAAACAAAGATCATGTTCAATGTCCATGTCACACCTATGCCGGTAGTTGTTGGGAGCACTATGCTCGAAGTTGTTGACGAATACGTTTACCTGGGACAAATAGTCCGACTAGGTAAGTCCAACTTCGACCGAGAGGTCAATCGACGGATTCAACTCGGCTGGGCAGCGTTCGGGAAATTACGGCATATCTTTTCGTCAGGTATACCTCAATCTCTAAAAACTAGATTGTACAACCAGTGCGTGTTGCCAGTGATGACTTACGGATCTGAGACGTGGTCCTTCACTGCTGGCCGTATGAGGACGCTTAAGGTCGCTCAGCGAGCTATGGAGAGGGCTATGCTCGGAGTTTCTCTGCGTGATAGACTCAGAAATGAGGATATCCGCAGTAAAACCAGAGTGACCGACATAGCCCAACGGATTAGTAAGCTGAAGTGGCAATGGGCCGGCCATATAGCTCGAAGAACCGATAACCGATGGGGAAGAAAGGTTCTCGAGTGGCAGCCTCGTACCGGTAGGCGTGGTGTGGGGCGACCCCCCACTGGATGGAGTGACGACCTGGTAAGACATGCAGGAAGTCGATGGATGCAGGTGGCTCGGGACCGTGCTTTGTGGCATTACTTGGGGGGAGGCCTATGTTCAGCAGTGGACTTGTGAAGGGCTGTAATGATGATGATGATGATGATCATGTACCAAACCACCGAGGTTGTATGGGTTACCGAAGATACACAAACCAAACGCTCCACTACGTCCTATAGTGAACCAGATCGATTCACCAACTTATAAGCTGGCACAACACTTGGCAAAAGTACTGTCACCACTGAGAGACCAGAGACCATCTGGTGAGTACAGACACCAGAGCACACACAAAGGATTCATACCATTTTGTTAGTAAGATAAAAGACCTACATCTCGCTGACAATGAAACTATGGTCAGTTTTGATGTTCAGTCACTATTCACATACCTACCTATTGAAGACTGCATATCAATTGTAACTAGGAAGCTAGAATATAATAACATGCCTGCTGAATATGCAGTATTACTCAAACACTGCCTCACATCTGGCTATCTATTGTGGAAGGAAGAGTTCTACAAGCAAGTAGATGGTGTGGCGATGGGCTCACCTGTATCTCCCATAGTCGCCGACATATTCATGGAGGACTTCGAGGAGAAAGCCCTTCTTACTGCTCCTGTAAATCCAAGATTCTACAAGCGGTACGTAGACGACACTTTCACAATTTTACCATCTGACAAATTAACTGCATTTTTAATTCTCTATAAACTCTAAAATACAATTCACAATGGAGTTAGAGGCAAATAATTCTTTAGCTTTCTTAGATGTTTTAGTCATTCGAAATCCTAATAACACAATTGGTCACACTGTGTATAGGAAGAAGACCCATACCAACCGATATTTAAATGGTGAATCTCACCACCATCCTTCACAGTTAGCTACCGTGGGTAAATCTTTGTTTCAGAGAGCACGAGGGATCTGTGACAGCAAACACCTGGCCGCCGAACTTCAGCACGTCAAGCAAGTATTGCAAGACAACAAGCTTCGGGTCCCGCGCCTACGTCACAGTGACCGAGTGAAGCCGGCCACAGTCGAGCGTGTGCCTGCTGTACTACCATGTCAGGGGAGTCACAGACAAGGTTGGCTACATCTTGAAGCGAGCTTCCATTAAAACATACTACAAGCCGCCGAAGAAGATTAGTCAATTTTTACCATCCGTCAAGTGTAATATCCCTCTACAAGATGCAGGAGTGTACAAGTTAGATTGTGAATGTGGTCTCTCTTACATAGGTCAAACAAAAAGATCCATAAAAACCCGCGTGAAAGAACATATAGCTGACGTGAAGCACCGACGCTCCGGGAAGTCTGCAGTCTGCGAACATGTTCAAGATCGTCCCCACCATTACATTCGATTTGATAAACCACAAATTCTCGCAAAAGAACACCGATTCCTACCAAGGATGATACGCGAGGCTATTGAAATTAAAAAACAATCAAATTTCAATAGAGAAGATGGATGGGTGCTACGATCTGGTTGGGATCCTATAATTAACAAAATTAAACCCAAACCTAAGCATACCACTGCAAGACTTCATGATACTATAAGCTCGTTTTGCGTAAATTGGACCAAAAATTAATATTCAAAAACTGAAGGTAGCCGGACTAACTATGACATTGGGACGTCAAACATCTCAGTCCCCCCCGCGTCCATGGGTGCTGTAAAGCACCCGAAACGTCGGGAATTAAAAATAAGTAAAAGTAATGAAATAAACGCGATAAAATCCGTAAATTTAGTTTTATTCAATGTGTAGTGTTCGCGTAAATTTAAGAAATCATTATAATTATTTAAGTCGTAGTAGTGCGTTAACGCAGAAGCAGACTTGAGTACTGGTGAAGTAGCGTAGTTTTGAACTGTGTCGTGCTTAGGAGGGCAATAGCAAGATCGCGGGCGCGCGGGTGACGTCACTCACCTGTCGGCGAGTAGCGCGAGGCGCGCGGCCAGCGCGGCGGGGTGTGCGCGGGGCGCGCGGGTGACGGCGCGCGCGGCTCGCTCCACGTAGCCCAACGCGCGCTCCACCTGCCCCAGGTCTAGCAGCCGGCACGCCGCCACCAGCTTGTACACCTGCACATTGCACCAGACGACTGTCATAGAGAGGGGAACATAAAAACAGATCTGCTCGGAACCGAACGCGGTATTTGCTTGTCGTGCCCAGAAAGAGATAAGTGGTAATATATAGAGATTTTTTTTAGATGGTAGAGGCAAGCTGCAGCTATAAATTTACAATTACAATTTTGATTCTTAATCGAAGATAAATGTAGATGTCTATGGGCCACAGCATCAAGTTACCATCAGGTGGTATTATGCTATTAAAAAAAAAAGAAAGTTCTCGTGGGAAAGTCTCGCGCAAGGACCGCGCGAATCTCTTGAGATGCGATCCGTAATACCGGGAGGTTGACAATGCAACGGGAGGTGGAGGGCACATTAGCCAGTGGTCCGGAGTAGGTAGAGCTGTTTGGGGTGAATGACCGCAAACATTGATGTTAACATGGATATGCCTCTGAAATCCCAGGATTTTGAAATTTTCGATTGATTTAAGTGAGTTAATATGCGCAGGTAGTAGATGAGCACCCAAACAGTATATACTTACTTATATACACACACAGGGATCCTGGAATGTTGTTAGAGGTAGCTTCGTGAAATATGAATTAATTAAGTAAAACTGTTAGAAACAATACTAAATATACTTTACTGCACAAGGAAATATTAAATGCCTACACAATACAGAATAAAAAAGGATGTAAAGAGTTTTATAATTTTTTTTTATTTAAACAGAGAGAAGAAATTTTTATTGATCACTTTTTTAATTACCTATACATACTATTTTTCTTGTAGTTAATATTTAGAAAATGTTTTCCGTCTTTCTCTAACAACGCAATTTATCTCTCCTTTAGTTTTATATGTTTATGCTCCATGTTGCCAACCCGTCGTACGCGCTGTTTTCGTCGCTTATTTTTTGTCTCTATCTTAAAACGTCCAAGCTATCTCACTTACACAGATACAGGTACAATACAGCGGGCTTCACTCACACTCTTGTTTCGGCTTGTAGAGTGCGCACGTGTGATTTATTGTGTTTCTTATTTTATTTGACGTTGGCTTGTTAACTGGTTTCTGGAATCTTACAGACACGAATACTTTGGCTTCGATTTACGGATTTTGATTTGTTTTTTGCAGACTGGATACATTTGTAACTGTTTGTTTGATTTACCTACCACATTTGGGTAAGTATTTTTTTATTTTTATAATATCTACTTACTACAAAGGACATTCAGTGAAAAACCAAAGTAATTGTCTTCTGCTAAATAAATATTTTTTCAGGCTTCCGAAGTTCCAAAGGAAGCTTTGTAGTTTCGCCATGTCCGTCTGTTTGTCACAGTCCACAGCCATTTTTTATATACAAAAGTTTAAAGTGGAATTTTTCGTTAGTGAACTGAGTAGCAGGGAACTTGTTTACGTAAATTGTGCTCTCCCGCTACCCTACATTGTAGGTGATACGACACGCACCTGGCCATTTTTTTCTAATACAATCTTGTGTTAAAAGCTAAGTCAATTAGAATACAAGGTGGACTAAGACCTTCCCCTCGCACACCCCTTAAAGGACCGCGTTTTCCTACAATAACCATTTTCATTGGCCTGCTCTTACCTAAATATTTTTGGAGACGAGTTTGACAGTGTTCTATCTGATTGTCTTGATCGGCTAACAAAATACATTTGAATTATATATGTCATACTTACTGTGGAACAATTTTTCGTGAATTTTTCACACCGTTTTTCGTTATTTCGACTATTTATTGGAAAGATTTTAACTGTTTACTATTATTTTAGGGCGACAAACGGAAATACTTGGCATATCTATGTTGTGTCTGCATGTAGCAAATAAGAAAAATACCTCTACCTACTCCTATAAAAACTACTAAAACAATGTTTTTTTAATTCCGAGAAATCCCGGGATTCCGGGAAATATTTGGCATATCCATGTTATGTCCGAATGTCAAAAGTAGCAAAAACAGCTCTACCTACTCCGACCATTACACATTACACCGTCACCCTGTCGCACTCACTCGCGCACGACACGTGCGCATAATACACAATAATCTACTATTCTAGTCAAGTTAATAAAATTCCTACGTAGGCCAACAGAAAACATGAACTCATAAACTAAATCCGTGACAATGGGGAGAATAGGGACAAGTCCACACTAAATTCAGAGTTTCTAAAAATATTAAAAACAAAGAAGCATTCAAAACGATACCTTATCAACGAAATGTCAGTAAAACATGGGCATATCGTTCTCAGAATTCCTCCATACCACTGTCAATACAATGCCATTGAGCACATCTGGGCACAAGTCAAAGGACAAGCCGCTAGAAACAACAGAACTCTTCTTTTCGCCGCAAAAAAAAACGCTATAGGTCTACTTAAAAAAATGCCTGTGATAATGTAACGCCTGAAAACTGGGCGAGTGTCGACGAAAGAACAAAAATGATGATATTACCTGATTGGAAACTCATAGGCGTTTGAACTTCATAGGCGTGCTTATGTCAAAAGTAAAATAAATGGTCGGACGGGGAGTTATTAACCGATTATCAAGGTAATCGATTATTAATGATTTATACAAGCCCAATAAAAAATTCAACCGAAACACTATTTATATATTTATATATCGATGGCATGTTGCAAACCGGTAACAGTCATTGCTATGCAGACGACAGCACTGGTGATGCTTTATACACCGGCCGTGCCAATATTTCTCGGGAAAATGTCGCCGAATACCGGGACAAACTTGTGTCTGAAGTCGAGACTTTGTTGAACAAAATCTCGGACTAGGGGCGACTAAATCTAGTTCAGTATAATCCCCAGAAGCAACAAGTTTGCGCGATTACCGCTAAAAATAACCTCTTCGTCGTATCTCCTCAGTTTCAAGGCACCCTTGTTGCCTCAGCCATTATCCGAAACCTCGGCATCGACATATCGAGTGACGTGCAATTTCGTGGTCACTTGGAAGAGAAGGCCAAATTAGCCACTAAAAAGTTTGGCGTGCTCAGCAGAGCGGGACAGTATTTCATGCTAGCTCACCGCCTGCAACTTTACAAGGCGCAGGTTCGGCCTCACATGGAATACTGTTCCCATCTCTGGGTCGGAGCTCCCCAGTGCCAGCTCCTTCCATTTGATCGCATCCAGCTCAGAGCAGTTCGAATCGTCGGCGACCGAGTTATTTCCGATCGGCTTGACTCACTGGCACTGCGAAGAGATGTTGCATCTCTTTGCATCTATTACGGGGAGTGCTCTGAGGAATTGTTCGGACTAATTCCAGCCGCACAATTTCACCATCGGACATCGCGACAAAACTCGCGATACCATCCATTCCATCTGGATGACTGGCGGTCCACCACTGTGCGATTTAAAAGAAGTTTTCTTCAAGCACAGATGATAAGTTATTCTCGTTAGCTATCCTCGTTACTCCATCGCATCCAGGAGAACCTCTTTAACGATTCCTAATGGCCAATGAAGAGGCGGCGCGTACTCCTTAGTGAGGATAACTACAGTTCCGACCGTTAATGGGTTATAGTTAGCAGGTATATCATTTCTGCCGCGACTGCAATATATGCAAATATTCCACCTTCCAACGCTTTCAAAATAACTGCACAAGCTTGTCCCATTGGGTATGACGTGGAAGAACATGGAGTTTATCATCGTCTATTTCTATAGCGGATAGGTACTTCAAAGGCGTAAGATTTAAAAATTGTGCTGGAGTTAAAGCTAAAGTGGCTCCGAGGGGTAAAAAAATATTTAAAAAAATGTGCTCGTCTATGCATGAAGAAAAGGGCGAGGAACAAGTATTAATGTTATTGTGATTACTTGCGTAATTTAGTTGTAAATAGTTTATTCCAAAATTTTAAATACGCTATAATAATGACAAACATCGGTTATGTCGTTGTTAAGCAAAAATATTTTTGACGATTCTAAGCACGTTAAAAGTGTGAAGGGAAAATTAGAATTATAATTAGCGTCGCATAGTTATTAAGCTTAAACGTTAGTAGTGAGCGTGTCGCTAAGAAAATAAATAGTAGGCAATAACTTTGTGAATAGAATCGCCGACACAAGAGCGTACCCGTAGTGTTGTCAATAAATCACATCTGAAATGGGGAAATTTTCAAATAAAAGTAGAAGCCTACTCGTATTTTTAAATACTGCTAAATATAAAACTTGGATACTGTTCAAAAATTATATACATATACTATTATACTAATGAGCTTAAAAAGTATTTCCACAGATGCAGCAGATGTTTTATTCTTTCTTAATCTTTTTGAATCATTTATCAATGTGGATTAGAGAATTTTTATTTATAATATGGTTGATGTTCAACTTTTCTAATCCATCACAAAATCTTGTAATAAGATGGGGAACTGGGGAACAATTATTAATGGACAATTTATTTTCTTGGATTATGGAAATCATCGTTAGTTTTGGTATTAAGCATCATTCACATAATTAATCGGCACACACCTGTAGCTCATCGATAACGTAGTTCTCGTGGCTAAGGGACAAGGCGTATTCGTAGATCTCGGTGGCGAAGATGGCTTCGTTGGTGGCCAGCTGGTTGAGCGTGGCAGCGGGCGGGTCGGCCAGCAGCAGGCTGAGGCGCGGCGGCGCGGGGTGGGACGGCGCGGCGGCCAGGGGCGCCAGCGCGTGCCGCGCGAACGGCTCGCCGCCGGCCACGTAGCAGAACTGCGCGCAGTACACCAGCCCGCGCGACGCCAAGCTGTCGCCTTCGCAAAGTACACCCAAAATCACCAACACCTTTAGCTACTTTATACCACCCGCCACTCCCAACCCCTCAATGGGTTCCCACTTTGACGAGGCGGAAAAGTTACTCATCACTTGATCACCCATGGTAAACTAAAAGTGAAATGATTGGTTCGAGATGCACACTCTTCAAATATAAGGCGGCGTAACTACCCTCCCTGAGAATCTGTCAATTAGATATTATAAATTCCATAGAATTCCATGTTGGAGAGACGTCTTTCTCTTTTAGCACTTCTTAATATTTGAAATGATATGCTTGACCTGTTGTGTTGATCTTTCTCTCTGTCTTTCTCTATCCTTCTCAAGAAAATATGAGGATTCTTGCATAGCATATCTAAGGTACAAGAATATCCACTATCCCATATCATCCCATGGGTGTCGTAAAAGAAGACATAAAGAAATAAATCGGCAACATGCCAGCAGTGTCTTCCTCATAACGACTAAAATTAAAAATAAAAACTGCGGTTGCCAACCTGCTTGACAAGCTTAACAACTATATATATATATATAAAAAGTAAAGTAAAGTTACAGCCTATATACGTCCCACTGCTGGGCTCAGGCCTCCCCTCATTTCTGAGAGGGTTTAGGGCAAGGAAGTGCCCGCCGCGCTGCCCAAATGCGTGTTGACGAACTTCACATGTCTTCGAAAATATTTTTTTTTCTTATTCCTTAGACATGCAGGTTTCCTCACGATGTTTTCCTTCACCGCCGAGCACGTGGTAAATCAGCACTTAAAATTGCAATTAACAATTTCATTGGTGCCGGCAGGGATCGAACCCGGGTTACTCGCGTCTCGCGGTCTGTATATATATATTCCTCATGAGACAATCTATGAGGAAGGCCTATGTTCACCAGTGGACTTTAACAGGCTGTAACGGTAATTCTACATGATATTTAAAGTTATACAATAATATAGAATAAAGGTGACAAACGAGCACACAGTCCACCTGATGGTAAGCCGATGCGTTGCCCGCCCTGAGGACTAAGATAGAATGCCTCGTTTCCAGTAAAACGGGTCTCCGGTTCTCTACACTCACCACACGAAACACAGCAGCATTAAGGTGCTATTTTACGCTGGTATTCTGTGAGAGCGTGCTCCTACCCCGCCCTAGTCGACCCATTCGTGCTGCAACCACAATATAGCTGCAGCATGGTACTACCACGTGTAATGTTCGACTAGGGAAACTAGAAAACTTGACAGTTCGTACCAAGTTGCGTGAGTGCCCTACGATCCTGTTCGGGCTTGGCGGAGTTGTTGGACAACATGATGGCAGCGTGAGGCCGCCAGTCGCCCCACTTTTCCTCCGCCGCACACTGCATATAAATATATACGATTAAAATTATAAAACATACAAAATTACAAGTATATGAATGAAATGGACAAATTGTATTTTATATTACAGAAAGGACGACTAATTCGTAAGCGGACATTCAAAAGGTGTAAAAAAGGCAGATGTTCTTAATTTATAAATATAGAACGTCTTGTTGAGTAAAAATATGGGGCTGGGTATGATTGAAATTTTCTCTTTCACATTAATATGTCTATAATATGTGATAAAATGTACAGGTTTTTCAGCAAGATGAAACAAGGCACGGAAGCCGGGGAGCGTGTGTGTATGTGTGCATGTATACGCACGGTGGCGGCGGGCGGCAGGCGCTGCGCCAGCGTAGCGTACAGCGTGTGCAGCGGGTCGGAACGCGGCACGGAGGCGAGGAAACGCGACGCGACGCCGGCTCGCACGCGTCGCTCACTGTACGCCGCCAGCTGCAGGGCGTGACCCCACAAGTTGTTTGTCATCGCCCACTCTGGTGACAATCATTTAATTTTTAACACTTTACCACAGAATAAATATTAGCACTGAAGCTGCACTCCATTGATAATGACTGTTTGCGGACGTTTTAATAGCCTATATAATTATTACTAATTACATAAACCGCGCACGAAAGCTAAATAAAATTAAGTGTCCATATTAATTTGCATCTTTTTCTCTTCCTACGTCACGGCGGAATTTCGGTGGTTACTAAGGGCTGTCAATAAAGAGTTAAAATACATTGAGAAAGGGTAAGTAAGTTACTTAGGTAAGCTACTTATTCTGAATATGTACGACTGGCCATATTTTCGCTACTATGTGAATTCTGTGACAACCAACGTATGCAACTTGCAAGGCCTTTCGTCGGGAATTGTGATGTTTGGCTTGGAAAAAATAGGTAGATAGTGTAAACAACAAATAAACCCGAAATACGATTCCTAAATGAAATGTGATCGTATTTTACTCAGTTAAAATTCTTATAATAACAAAGTTTTAATTTCAGTATTTTGTGTTATTATAACCTAAAATATTTTAATTACAAAAGACAAGTATGGGTATGTAAGTAGATACTTAGATATTGAAGTAAAGGAAATGAACTTGATTCTATACAAGCTGGGTCCCGGCGTGAACAAAGTACAAATATGTCTTATTTTGAAGATTTAAACATTCGCTTACTTATGTCAATAAATCATATTTTTTCAGAACCTGGGTTTTTTATTTATTTTATGTGTTAAGATTTGTAGGTTATTTAATTTAGTAAAATCACTCGTTCTTGTTATAAGTTGTTTGGATAAATTGAAAAGGACACAAAATAATACATTTTTGTAGTTATTATTAAATTAAGTAAAATTAAACTCGAGCTATTTAAATTGTTTTATTTTTTTTGCAATTAATTATACCATTTCGTCTAGAAAAGCAGCCAGAGGCTGTACATTATTTGTTCTATTCCTCTCATAACTCAAGTACCACTTTATTTTTATTATGTGGGCGCATACTGTCCTTTAATCCGAGAGAAAAGCCAAGGGTCAACTTCAATAAATCCACAGAAGTCAAAACACGAAATCTATCTACAAACACAGTCACAATGCCAAATGCGCATGACAAGTTGAAACCCGAAGTTACCAAGTCAAATCTCCTTCGGAACAGGCACTTATCAATGTACATATAGCTAATTCAGTCGTGTCAGTTAATATTCAAATTTGTTTTTTCAAATTATTAACATTGCCTATTTAAGCGTTTTTATAAATATATTTCTTTTCTTTAATATTAATATATACAGATTCGCCTCAATGTTTCAATTTTTATGAGGTATTTTTAGTAATGATAGGCTTCATTGTCTATTACCATAGACAAAATACAGAAAAATATTTAAAAAGTGGTGATTTTGGCGGGTCATTAAGATCAATAGGCGGTCAATATAATGGCAGATGGTTTGGTATATGTGTGGAAAATGTTAACTGACTGTCCATAAATAATCCAGGATCTCGTATTTTGGTTACACTTTTCAACATCATATTATTTATTAGTTATATAATCAAAGATTATCTGTTAGATTCTTATTATAGATTTTTTTAAATGAAGTTTTTTAATTCGACAATAATCGTTTGTTGTGTCAAGATCGTTTTGTAAATTTTCGGTGTTTACTCCTTACAACATTAAGAAATTTTGATTATCTGCATACTTTAAAATCTAGAATACTTACATATTACAAAAAAACACTTTACCATATTGTTAATGTATACATTAAATAATAATGGACCAAGGTGGGAGCCTTGAGAAACTCCAAAAGCTATAAGGATAAAGCTGCATATAAAAGCTTTAACAGCTACTGTTCGCGAACGTTTTTGTAAATACGACTTAAGTCACTTTAGCAGAAATCCGTGTAAATCGATTTGGTCAAGTTTATAGATTTGTACCGAAAGAGACATTTTTGTCAAAAGTTTTTGGAGCAATCTGTGTACACTATATTTACTTCACAGACATTGTTCATAGTCATGTAATGTGGTATCAATGAATTGACTAAATTTAATTCTGTAGAACGTCTGTTTATGAAGCCATGTTGTTAGCATATGGTTAAGTGTTTTAATGCTGGGAACAACATACCGAAAATAATTTTTTCGAACAATTTGCGTATTATCGACAGCAATTTATATCAAGGGACATTTAGGGTCAAATCCTAAAAAACAATACGAAATTGAGAAATTTGTGTCACAGTACCTAAGTGACAAGTCACATCGCAGCCAACTTCCAACAAAGAAATCTACAGATGTATTGTCACCTTTGAGAACTAATATGAAACGCCTTATATCATGTAATTATACTGTCTTTCTATATCAATCAGACTGGACCACAGTAGTGCAAGCACTGCTATTGGCACCAGAAATAAGTGTATAAAATAAGTACCCACCCAGACTGACTACTGGACTAAACAGGTGGCCTATCACCTAAAATAATTCCATCGTCAGCTGAAAGTGTAGTTGGATCATTCGCATTAAAAAAGGCACGTATTTCACGCACCCGTGTTTGCGTTACATGCGCTACTCACCCAGAGCCTCCTGCCTGTTGCCGTAGATGAGGTACTCGCGTAAGCGATCCAGCGCCGCTTTCTCGTCTATTGAAGGAGACTGTGTTGAACTCTCTTCTTCGAGAGCTGAAACAAGCAATATTTCAGATAAAAAAATGTTGCCCCTACGCTAATTACATTTTGTCACGTGTGTGACCATGGGTGTTGTAAAGCACTCTCACCAATTTAAAAAAATCATCAAGTCTTTCTAGTAATTAATTAAAAAAAAAGTTAAATAACGTTTAATAAAATATCTCTTGATTTAAACTACATATTAGAGCATGATTTACTAAAAATTTCTCATCTACTAGAGATTAAATTATATAATATTACACAAAATAAAATAACACATCGATTATTATCTCTATAATACTTACGCGTGAGGTCTGCAGACACACTCGGTTGTTCTGGTGAAGAAATACGCTCTTCCTCACGACCTTCGGCCGATACTGATGACTCGCGACGGCTCTCTGAAATGATGCTTCATTTACTTAGCCCTTCAAAATACGTTCATATGACACCAATTATTATTGATCGAAATCGAAAGCCTCATTAAAAACAATAAACTTAGAATGAATTTCATTAATATTTATGAGGTATGCAATAAAAATCTCGGTGGTCCTTCGTGCATTTGTCAGCTTCTAAGTGTTATCAGAATTCACGTTATGTTTTATTTTCAAGGTAAGGGGAATCTCAATGTATAGTTCCATATTAACTAACCAAAGTTTAATGTGAATATAGTGATTTTATAAGAATAAACGAAAGTAAAGTAAACGAAAGTGAGTAAAAATATCATAGTTTTTACAGTCAAATAATTTTCGTATTATCTTTAATTGGAATTTGCTAGATTTAACAATGTTCTTTTTTTTTAAGAAAAATTAGAATTTAAGTATTTAAAAATATAATGATATGCTATTTAGGTAAGACATCAAGTACAACTGACCGGACCGCGGAGTGATCTTGTTCGAGCCCTTATACTCGTACTCGCGCGTGTTCTTCATGAGCAGCTCCGCAATGTCCGAGCCCACTACCACCTGTCGGCATCAACACATGGCATTCATTACAATATGTAAAAAATCTCTAATAGGTACTATTGAAGAAATCTATCACGAATAACAATAAAAAAAATTCATAGTTGCAAGAAAATAGTCGTTACATTTAAAATTAAATTATAAGCAAAAAAATTAGAAATCAAAAAGGTCGTAAACCTTAGGGCACTTCCTTAATTTTTTTTAAACTCAAAAAATAATTGAATTATTATTGTATTAAACAAGTTTGTACTTTTACTATTTCTATATCAGTTAAATGCTACCACTGCTAGATATAGACCTCTTCAAGCTGCAGGAAATGGTTTTGCATTTTAAAAGATTTCCTCAAAGTCATACTGGCCATCGACTGATACTCTTGCATTTATTGAAAAAAAAACCTTAAGATGGGGAACAGCGATACCAGTACGACTATGTCGACTCTGTGACTTTATCTGACTCACTCGCATTCATAAGTTTAGTAAGCAAATCTTTCCAGAAACCTGTAATTTGGTGTATTCTTTCTTTGGTAATGGACTTGTACTATTGTACTTTTTCCAGTGTCAATAAATTAGAAATTATCAATTTCTTTTAGATTTATATTAAACAATATGTATCACATTGCGAATTTTTTAGTAGATTTTGGCGGGACCTTGAGCCAACAGACAGTTGATGACTTGAACCTCACATCATCATCGGATGTCTCATCGTTCCCACCTCCTCGTATAGTTCACATGCACTGACATTTAATACATAAAATAACATCAAGTCTACGTATCAAAATCTAATTCAAACCAATATTCTAACGATTAAACAGGAGTCAAAATTCACCGGGTGTCAAGTTCCCGCCTAACACTGGTGTCTTTTCTTGCAGTGGATAGACAAGGCTGTTAGATAGTTAGGCGGTTCGAATCCTGCATGGAACAAGTATTTGCATGGATTACGAGCAATTGTTCCGGGTCTGGATGCAAAAAAATGTCCTTGTGCAAATTTATGTTTGTAAACTGCCTCCACGGTAAAATGCTAGTGTGAAGGTAAAGATTAAAAAAATCAAACGATTTGACACGAGAAGCTAAGCGGGTATCAAATCCTTGCCAAAAAATTTGAACTATTCTTGAAGAGGTTTATAAGTCGCAGTGGATAGACAAGGTTAGAAAAAGAAAGCTGTGAGTTGTGACCCCGTTCTGTCGCAGCAGCAGCGCCAGCAGCTCCCACAGCAGCACGTAGCCCAGCGGGTCGCGCGCGCACAGCTTGCCCGCGTTGCTGATGCGCGTCATGCAGTAGTCGATCACGCTCTTCTTGTGAGTCACACCTGCGAGTGCAAATCTTACATTGTATCGATAAATATCATAGTACATACACTTGGTACTTTTGCATTGATGTTAACGTGAATTACACAGTGCATTCTCATCAATTAACACTCAGATTTCTGAGGGTTTGAAGAGAACATTGTAGTTATCGTATAGTGGCGGTATGCAACGTATAGTGCGACAGAGGGAACCAAATTAGAAGATGGGAAGCATCGTCTTACTAATAACGACTAAAAATAAAAAATGAACTGTGAGTCATAGGACTGCATGTCAGAAGAGAAAACATATTAGCTTCATAAACATGTAAAATAGGTTCTTAAGAAATACTGTATTTTTAAATTTCAGGAAGTATTTTTAATTAGAAAATAATTTTATCAAGATATTAATACAGTAGGTAATAAAACTTTCATTTATTGCGCTGCTTTACATAAAGGAAAATGATTATTATCTATATAATACAAACAAATTTAAAAATATATATTAATTTTATAAAATTTAATCAATTGGATTTTCAACATTACTTTCATCAATGTCATGTCATCATCCAAAAAGTGCACAACATGCTTATCAAAGTTTTCACTTCAATAAAAAACTACTGTTGCCAACCCAACTATGGTAACTATGGCAAATATCTGGAGCTGATTTTATTAATAAAATACGTGGTGTAGTAAGCACTTTAGTGTTTAAATAATGCATTAGTTCATAAAATATGTGCAAGTGTTAGTATCGCGATCTTTCTCGTGTTGTGGATATTGCATCTTTTTTATAGAATAACATAACATAAACACTCACGCCTGTCACCCAGAGGGGTAGGCAGAGACTACAGACTTCCATTTGGCACGATCCTCTCTCTCGCCTCCTTCACATCCATACACCTACGCATACATGCTCGTCGGTTAAGGGTACTCCTAATTTGGCCCGTTTTCTATTGAAAATGCGACAAAAATTACGATATTTAGGTATCTTTTCAGTGAAAATAATGATATTTGTAAATACATAAGCACTGCTTTTTGTTCAGTTAGTATGCCAAGTTTCATGATCTTCTTTAACGTATTTTGATAATATTGTTCAGTTTGGAGGTAACTTTGGATTTTTTTTTCTATCGAGACAAATTTTACGGAATCGTGTTTTCGTCTAATAAACCTTCACAACATTAATCCTCAACTTTACCACACTATTTATTTCAAAATTAATGCTGCAATACTTTCGGCAGGAGGATCTTGCTAAGCCATTGAGGTTATATTTCCCCTTAAGGAGCGCATTTCTACTGCGTTGATTCTACTCTCATGCTTCTTCTGCCACACCCAACTTTCACTACCATACGTTAAAGTAGGGACCAACGCAGCATTGTGAATTGCCATTCGTGCCTTTTTTTACACATTTTGACTCTTCACAATAGAGGGCAGGGCCCCATTTACTCTATTTCCCGCATTCACTCGTCGTCCTATATCCTTATCATATCTCCCATCCCTGCTAAATACGCAGCCCAAATATACAAACTCATCTACTTGCTCGATCAACTCCCCTTCTATTCTTATTTCACAAATCGTTTTACTTTCTTCTCTTTCAAAAACCATAATCCTTCGTCTTACTTGCGTTCACTTTCATACCCCTTTCTTTTAATGATCTGTTCATTAATGTAACCATTATTTGCAACTCGGCCGCCGACGACGCAAGAATAACTTGATCATCGGCGTACAAAAGGCATTTGACGGTTAACTCACCCATTCTTAATCCGCATTCTTCAACTTTCAAATTTTGTAAACAACTGTCCATAAATAGGTTGAACAGCCACGGGGAAGCCACACAGCCATGTCTGACACCTTTATGGATGTCAAACCAGTCCGAGTAGACCCCGTTGATCCTAACACAAACAATAGAGTCCCTATAAAGAGACTCCAATGCCTGTATCAAGCCAGCGCTCAACCCAAATGAGTTCAGTGTTTGCCATAGCACATCCCTATCCACTCTGTCATAGGCCTTTTCCAAGTCCATGAACGCACAAAAAACCTTTTGGTTTTTGGCCAAAAACTTCTCCGCGATCATGCGCATGGAAAAGACTTGATCTGTACATCCCATTCCCTTTCTGAATCCCGCTTGCACATTTTATAGAATTAGGATGACAAACGAATACACAGGGACAGGAAATGGTTACTGTGAACTATAAATATATATTCAAGAGGACTAAGATGGAATGCCTCGTTTCCAGTAGAATGTCTTCAGTTCTCTACAATCACCATACGAAACACTGCAGAACAATGTGTTTCGTTCTGTGACAGTACCTACTACGCCTACTTATTCGTCCTGCAGCTATAATAAAGCTGCAGCATGGCTTTACCATGCAAAACCGTGGCATGCAAATGCATGCAAATACATGCGTATGTGTGTGTGTGCGTGCGTTCCCGCGCGCTTGTGTGTGTATGTGCGTATGTGTGTAGGTGTGCAGGTGTGCGGTCACCTCTGGCGAGCGGGCCGGGGTACGCTAGCAGGTGGTGCAGCTCGGGGTCGCGGTGCGTGGCAGCGTGCAGCGGCAGCAGGCGCACGGCGGCCGGCCGTCCGTCCGCCGGCCAGCCCGCCGGCACCACCACCACGTGTCGCGCAGATATGCTGCCCTGAACCAGTACTATATACCATGTCAACACTTCTTTGATATTTTGAATAAAAAAATTATACAAAAAAATCGATAGACTTTAGACCTGTATCTATATTACTAGCGCTAAGTATTTCAAAAGATGATTCTGAAACAATTGACTTCCATCTTTAAATATAAGATTACTCCATGATCATTAGCTTGGTTTTATTAAAGGGCGCTCCATAACTGATACAAGAATATACTTAATGAAACACATTTATAGTGCTTTAGAGGACTCACAGAATGCGATCGTAGTAAAGCATTTGATTGTGTGAATCAAACATCACTACTTTATAAATTAAAATATTACGGTATAAATAACAAGCTCTTCGTTTGTTGGGAGTCCTAGAAATATGATTCAAAAGATTTACACAAATTGCGTAAATTCTATAGGTTCTATAGTCAAAATGTTGTGTTCTACAAATGGATGTACCGCAGGATTATCTTCTTGGACCAGTATAATATATAAACGCAAAGCTATAAAAAAAATCTTCGCCCGTTTCCTCTTAGATGAATGTTTCAACCCCGGGAGGATATTCAGACTTCAACACGAAGACCTGTTTCCAGCGGGGAGTTAGTGCGACGTGCAGGACGAAGAGATACGAAACCGCGCGACTATTTGACCACCACAACAAAGACACTTCAAATTAGGCCACCAATGTTCACGCGCGCTATATGTATAGTCCTCTTCCATTCCGACTTTGTACAGATTTGGTTTATAATTATTTATTGAAATTAATTAAATATCAATGAACAGTTTGTGTCGTCAAAACCCACACATCTTTTTTGTCACCACTTCCGCAAGTGTTACGAAACAGTAGAGTGACTGCACTAGACATGTGTCAATCATCATTTCTAGTGATTGAATCATTCGAGTCCATTCGGATCGATCGATACCACATCAGTGACAGGGGACAAAAAAGCTGGGATCGTCCAGCGAGAAGCAAACCCGCCCCTAAGGGTAGAATGCAAAAACAGACGGCATCCTATCCCAATCGGCCGAGCTTTAGTGTCAAACAAGGCGGCAGCCTGCAGAATGCAACCGCGACGTTAGTGTGAATGACACCCCACTCCGGCCAAGACAATGGTCCGACAAGCCTAGAGGCGTCGACGGAAACCTGATATCCGTCCAGATGAGAGGTCAGCAGAAGGTCCAACAGGGAAGGTGATTAAACACCTTCCACATCAGGAATCCGCGTAGGCAAAGAAACCAGCTGTGTAAGACTATGTGCCAAGGCAAATTCATTAACAGATTTTCCCGCATGATCGGTTAAGCGTAAACCGAGCAATTCGGCGTGGTGTGCGTTAAAATCGCAAAGGATCATGATCTCTGTGGATGGGATCTGCTGTAGCAAGGAATCTGTAGCCATTTGGAGGTGGTTGATAGGACGTGAGAGCGAGATGAGCGGAACTTCGCTCCCCGTAGAATACGCAGGGCAGCCCGAGCATCCACGGTCAGGAAGAATAGGATAGTTTGGTGCCCTCCTGGGGTAGTTTTTTATTTGATTCCGCTACCATGGTAAGAGTGGGGGGAATGGTCTTCCAGCCACCTGCACTTACCAAGTGAAACGCAGAAGTAAACCTTTACTTCACGCTGGTATTCTGTGAGGTCGTTACCCCCTTCGCCAAGCTCTATCATTGTTAAAGGTAGAAGGTATAACAGTTAACAAGAGCAGTATAAAAAATACAGTTACCTTTATATGCGCCGTGGAAAATTTGAACGGTGTCATACGCTCCGATCGAACGGTGGACTCCTCGAGGTGAAGGTTCAGTGACGCATCCGTATTCAAGTCCCTGCATATTATATGTTAAAATAATAAAATATACTTAAAGTAAACAAAAATAGACAAAGAGCGTACGAAACTAACACAATGCAAACATTAAGATAAACATGAATCGTAATTAAGAGTAATATAATAAGTAAGTAAACGCCATTTTTTGGCCTAGCCCAAAACTAAGGCACTAACTACTAAAGACAGAAAAGCAACATTATCCAATTATTTTACTCCTTACATTTTACAAGAGTTACCTGCTAGCTTTAAACCTATGAACGAATTTATCTAGTTTTTATAATAGGAAAAAATATTTTGCTTTTGAATCGAAGAAGCAGTTGCATAGATACGTAAAATTAAAAATGATTTTTTATTGTTTGATTTGTTATGTTAAGCTCGACAAATGCACGATATTAATAAGTTAAAAGGCAACCGTTGAAGGAAATCTGAACGCAACGAGCAAGAGCAAGAATAAATTCAATAATAGATTACCTCCGAAAAAAAAAAGGTATTAAGTGCAAACAAGTGCTAAACATGAAAACCACTCAATGTGTATGCAAATAGGGGTGAATTGCGTGCAGTTCCTCTCGGCGAAGCATTTACCTGTCGGACAAGTCGGTGCGAAGCGACGGCGCGTCCCGCAGCGAGGCGGCGTCGTACCGGCAGCCGTAGTACCTACGTACGCATCGCGTCACTACTCGTATCACCCAACTACCCTCTACCGACCCGTAGCTGCCAGCGATGCCATTCCACTTAACCTTTCCTCCAATTCCTTGCACATTTTAAACTCAGAAAACGTTTCCTGTTGAACGAGCATTCTATTCTACCGGATTTTTCCACTACGTCCTCCATAAATCCTCTTAAAGATTCAATAGCACTCTATGGATTGTAATGGAACGCATTACACTCCATGGATAGTAATGATAAATATTACAATCCACGGAGGAATTTAACGATACTAGCACAACGATAGATTCAGATCTCATATTTTATTGTGAATACATATTATAACAATTGTCAACTCAGAGTGTTTCATAAAAAACGTAATGGCATTAGAAATAAATAGTTCCGTCTAGATTGAACGACCAAACGGAAAACGCCATCTTTAGTGTCAAACGGTATTATAACTATTGCTGTTTAATCAGCAATTGCATTAAGAACAATCTTATTAGAATTTTGAACACGAATAATTTGAATAACATCCCCTTTTGGAAAACTACATTCATGATATTTTATATTTTCATTTACATTTCTAATAAAGAACCAAATGTTTAACATAAAAGAACTAACAATAAAAAAGAACGGCGTACCCGTTCTATATACGGTAAGGACATTAGAACGGGGCGTAGTGAAAATAGCCGTATCATTCTCAGATGAACAAATAATTACTTTTTGTTTACCAATGATGACTTATAAAAATATTATTGATAGGTTGATAGTTCAAGGTCACAGAAAAGCATCGCTAGCGTCTACTGCATCACATACCCGCTAACAAGCACGATATCACGGGTCACGCACTCATCCGTACTTTGTACACGTTGCTAATATATGCAATGTCATAGCAAAAACATAATACTAGGACACCTCCCGCGCCGCGCGAGACTTAAATGCCAACTGTAGCAGGGTTGTGACCGTCTTTTTGTTTGTAGCTAAGTCTCATTTCGTTTTATAAGTAGTTATAATATTTCTGTTTTAAGAAATTTATTATCTCAAGAATTTTACATTCACTTATGAGACTCACATATCTACAGCTTAATATAAATTTGGTTTGGGCTATTCGTACAAGGTAATAATGCATATTACAACAAAAACTACCGAAGACATACAAAACTAAATGTAGGTGGTTTTAACAATTTTGTTTAGCGACAGCAATGGCTCGTCAGACTTCGTGCAAATTCGGCCGCCGACTTCTTAATGTCGATTTACACAGATAAGCATTACTGGATGTGACTCGCATAAACTAAGTGTAACTATTATTAGTATGGTAGATTAGTTTTGATAGTCAAGAAAAATCTGATTAATTGTCTTGTATGAAAATTTATATCTATAATGAGCTGTTGTAATATTTATATTACTTATTATTTGAAGTAACTAACTCTTTCAATATGTGATACTTAGGTAGTCTTTTAAATGTGTGCATTGATTTTGAGTCTCTTATATCTTTAGGTAATTTGTTATATATTTGTGAACCTTCATACATTATATATTTTTTACCGAAATTTGTTCGCGGTGTTATTAATTCAATATCGTTGTTTCACCTAAGTTTCATTTTGTGTAGTTGTATTCTTTTTGGTAAAGTGTATTCGTGTGTATGTCTTTATTTAAAATTTTTCCGAATTAGTATACAATTTTGGTACACGTATGTTTGTGATATGTTCATTACATTAATTTGTTTATAAAGTTTATCTGTCTGGTGTAAGATAATCGAAATGAAATAATACTTTTAATAATTTATTTTGGGCAGTTTGTAATATTGCTATATTAGTTTTGGCTGCATTACCCCATATTTCTACTAAATAATCGATTTGTGGTTTAATAATGGTATTATAAATCGTATACCGTACGGAAACTGGAAGACAGCGCGCAATACCCTTTATCATACCCATTAGAGATGTCAGCTTGGATTTGATTTTTAGAATGTGCGGGAGCCAAGTTAATTTACTGTCTAAAATAAGACCTAGACTTTTCCTGTTCTACCTTATTAATTTTTATGCCATTAATCATCAACGGACTACAGTCATCAATCTTTTTGTTTTTTGCAGCAAAAATCATATAACTCGTTTTGGTTGTGTCGATCGTTAAAAGATTGCTTTGTAACCATTCGTTTAGCGAATCCAAATCATTTTGTGCTTCTAATACAATAGATCCGATTGAGTGACCATAAGTTATAATATTTACAAACATAATACATCATACGGATACGTACCTATGCATCATATTCGAATCATTTCTTTAGTTTCCTCTCAAAGAATCGGTTAGCTGAGACAAGATGAAGCTGTAAGAGTCGCATAGACTAACAGCACTAACATCTAGATAATAGAGTCTCAAAGAATCAATGTTTGTCAAAAAAAAAAATCCAGCTTTACATAACAACAAATGACAAATAACTAAAATAAGAGTAAATTAACACTGAACATATGGTGTCAGCTCAGATTTAATGTTTAAAATTAATTTGATCTGATGTGATTTAATGTACTTATGAGGTATGTATCTATGTATAGGTAGATATAGTAATATAACCTATTAATAAAAAGCTACTTAGACAAAAGTGCATATATTAATTTATTTTACAAAAAAGAGAAAATAAAACGAAAAAAGACAGCTAGCAAAATTTTATTAAAAGTCAACAAAGTCTCAAATAAAGATTGCGAAGCGCGGCGGTGGGCGTCTCCAACGCGGTCTGATCTTCCCGTGAAAGTGTCGTTGTGTGCGTGCTGCGGCTCGTGCGGACGAGTCCGTACTGTCACGTGCCAGGCACGTACACATATTAGCGACGTTCGGTACATTTCTTAGAAGAGGACAGAGGCTGTACTATTCTGTTTTTACTATGGCAATGTAAGCGTTTCTATATGGTGTTTAAAAACAGTTTGTGTGTGTGTGTGTGTGTGTGTGTGTGTGTGTGTGTGTGTGTATGTGTGTGTTTTGTGTGTTTGTGTGTATAAATGACGCGGTAAGCTTGTGGTAACAACGTAAGCGAATGCATCTCCCAATTTATTCCCGTATGGAAGGCGACGATTTAGGCAATGTCCATACCTCTGTAAGTTGCGCTCTCATTTTTATAGCAAATTGATTAATTAGTAAATTATTACTTACATAAGCTATATAAATTTTCCTTCCATAATTTGTTATTATTCACCCGAAAATTCTCAAAACATGAACTTTAAAATGAATTTACAATTTTATTCACTTTAAACGTAGGATATTTAATGTATTGAACAAAATATTAATTCATAGAATTGTTCAAAACGAAATAAGAATACGAAATATAACTGGCTATGAGAGAAAGAAAATGTGCGCGCACACTGCTCTCTTTTGCTTACGAGATTCTCGTATATCCCCCACGCCTCGCCCGATCATACATTTATTAACGCTTTCGTCACGCGTTCGCCAGCTTACTCCCCAAGTGCGTAAAGAAGTTTTACTTCAAAAGTTTTTAAATAATATGATATTATGTTGTACAATGTCAACGTCATACATATGTAGTCCGGATAAGAGCGTCAACGTGGTATCTCTTACCATAAACAAACTCATGTCATTTTAAAGTACAGTTCTATGACAATTGATAACCTACTAGTTTTGCTAGGTTATCAATTGTCATAGACATGCCTTTTGTGAATATTTTTTTATTAATTTTAATAAACTTTCAAAATAGAAAATCTTTGTGACATTATACCTAAACAAGAATAGACTGTAATAAATAATTTTTTTACTTAACCATCGAAACTTATGAGCCATCGAAGCATATCCATGTTACTTTATGTAAGCACTTTGATCCACTCGATGTTTAGAATTTTTTTATGAAATCGCAATAATGAATCAGTTAGTTCTGATAGTTAGATCTGATATAATACGCAATGCAATGGTGTTTGATCAAAATCCACACTGGCATGCCTAATGAATTCATGTAATGATTGATTTTGCCACAAAACTTACATGGCAATGGATTTCATACGTGCAAGTGTTACCATGACATGACGGAAGTTTGCATGTTTAAAAACCAAGTGATCAAACCAGTATATTCTGAACAATAAAATAACCTAGATTAAAAAAAAATTTAAACCCTATAAAAATACAAGTAGCTTTTTAATTTGATTACAATTTATCTGAATTAATTTATTACATTTCAGAATTTACTGTTTTGCAAAGCGATATTTCTATGATTTCAAAGCTGTTTTTGTGTATACTTCACACATTAATATACATATCTTTTAGATACAACTTAAAGCTATTTATAGCTTAACATCGAAATTTTCCAGCAACATATTATATTGGTGTGCATGTATATATGCAATATAGCAAAATTGTTTATTGATTCCAATAATAAATACCACATATGTTTGTTGTTTGTATGTGCACAATGAATATAAATTGAAAATGGAAATTAAGAAGTTGTTTAAAGATTATAAACATAATATAGCCTGTGATTAAAATAATATCTCGTTTGTAATTATACTATGAACTAAAAGTGAAAAAGTTTTTAATATTGTTTTTGCATTAAAGCTAAAAACAAAGAGTTTTTACAATATGGACATAATTTTTTTTCCCCTGGCCGGTTCTTGACTACGGCGACAACTGCCGAATAATATAGCTCCAAGTATTTTCGAGGCTTTAGTCAGTTTCATTAAATATAGTAGTTTCGCATAGTATATATACTTTTAAAATGATATTATTATTCAGATCCCTAATTTAATAGGATACTGTACAATGTACTAGGTTAAGCAATCCTACCCGACCCAATGTGTTATAAACACGGGACAATTGACGTAAAAACCAACCATTTATATAATATTTTGTACAAAATTTGGTATCGTCGCAAGCGACTATTAGCTCTATTTAGTGACAGTGCTCGAAACTGAACAATTGGTTCCCGTTACTGCACATCTGGCACTAAATTATATTTAAATCCAAAACCTGAGACGTAGATCAAGAAGACCTTATATTCAACAGTGTGAGTACGTTAATTAGTAATTAGCATAGAATACTATAATACATCCATAATAGAACGGGGGAGTGGGCGGAGCCCGTGTAGCCACTAAAATGACACTAACACGTCAATTCACACGTATAAATGTCAACACGAGATGTATTTTGACCTTACAATCGTTTCCAAATTTCGCATGCAAATTATTTAGAAAATGCCAAATTGTCGCCTTTTTCAAATAAATATGTATTAAAATTTAATGATAACCTTGAACATTAATCAAAAGTTTAAAATGTGTAAATTTACTCGGTCTGTCAACACAGCGAATCGGATTTGGCGACGCCAATCCTCATATAAAATAAAGTTGACAGCCGTTCTATTGTGTATTATAGTATTCTATGGTAATTTTTTTTAATTTTTTTTTTTTAAATAATTAGTATAAAATCAGTTTAAAGTCAAAATGTGATAAGTGTTACGGAAGGTGAGGTTCAGGTCAAACTGGTGTTCGATTTAAAGTGTCCGTGTTGAGATAGTTACGCAGAATATTGTAGAGAGCACAGCACGTACGTGTCATTTCCTTTGAGGCCGTTGGTGCTGGAGCGTCCCGAGTGCACGCTGCCGCGCTCCTCTGCGCGCATGTCGTAGCCCAGCGAGCTGTAGCCTGCAACAACATTTCATATATTATGTACAATATATGACAGAATAGAACCACTAGAAGGACATTTTTGTATTAAAAAATTAAATACATATATACCAGGTTTTTTTCTAAATTGAATGACCTTTTACCGTCTGAAAAAATAGGGTGTAACATATGAACGGAGTAGAAGCCTGTGGCACTGATATTTTACAAATAATAAAAACAAACATTTTGAATTAAGTAAATAAAATTAATAAAATTCTATCAAAATTCAAATCACACGGGAACTTGTATTGTAAACCGTATCGATAGTTTTATTATATTTTTTCAGGACAACAAACAATTACTACATAATAAGGTTTGAACCAAATAACTTACGTTATCCACAAAGTGATATTAAATTAGTAACAATAAATGCACGGTGAACGAAGTATAGGTGAAAAAAAAAAGATGAAGATGTCAAAAAGAAACAAAAGGAAAAGAATAGCTTTTTTTTATAGGATAGGTTGACAAACGAGCACACAGTCCACCTGATGGTAAGTCGTTGCTGTGGCCCATAGACATCTACATCTATCCCCGATTACGAATCAAAATGCAGATGCGTTGTCAACCGTGAGGACTAAGATGGAATGCCTCGTTTCCAGTAAAAAGGGTCTCCGGTTCTCTACACTCACCATACGAAATACAGCAGCATTAAGCTACTATTTCACGCTGGTATTCTGTGAGAGCGTGGTCCTTCCCCGGTCGAGCCGACCCATTCGTGCTACAACTATACTACTAATATAACTGCAGCATGGCTCTACCACGTATAAACTAGCTGACAATAACCAGTCTATTTTTTAAATATTTTTAATACTATCGAATATCTCTTATGGCTTCTTAGATATACTATTCGCAAATAATTCATCGACAAAAATGTTGTAAACTTTTTATATTTGAGAGAGTATAAAAAACTGTACAACACGTGATGCTTTCGGGGACTACTTTTGGTGTCTTCAGGGATCACCAGTGGTCCCTGGACCATCGGTTATGAACCACTGATGTAGAAGGAGCGCTTGACAACTCACCTTCTGCGTACACGTTGTGTGCTGGGAGCTGGCCTGCCATTAGCTGCTTGTAGAGGCGCATGTACGCGGCCGGGTCGGTTCGCCGCAGCCGCTCGTAGTACGAGTACTGCTGCCTCTGCAACGCGAACGGATCGCCGTATGCACCGCCGCCGTAACCCGCTGAGACCCGCCATCGCATATAAATCACATTATAATATTAACAGGAAACTACATTAAGTGGCTACTAAAGCCTAGAACACTTCCCACCAACATCTAACAAAGAAAACCACAGGTGCATAAGCAGTCTATGGGCCACAGTAACACACTTACCATCAGTTGGACTGTGTGCTCATTTGTCAATCTTATTCTATGAAAAAGAAAATACACTCGTAATCAATACTGCAGTAAGACAAATTTTCAGTCTAGGAGTATACCAAGTTGGTACCACCCTCTAAACTGTTACCCGCCGTCAAGCAACAGTACTCGAACTGTTGTGTCCGGTCCGAACGGCATAAAGAGCCAGTATTAAGGGCGTTATCACACTGGCGATTTGCAAGCGAGTCCAAAACGAGGCGAGTGCGCAGCGAGCTCGCCGCGAGTTTGCAGCGAGCGCGCGGCGAGCCTGCAGCGACGACACCGCGCCACTGAATAAATAATAGATCACGCGAATAGCACCGTCGACGCCATTTTGTAAGCTCGCGTTCAACTGCCCGATTCGCATCACTTCAGTCGTATAGACGAGTGTGAGCGGACGTAACATCGTTGAGAGGGTCAAACGTCGTTTATACAATGGATATAGAGTAACAGAATGAAATGGGTCGGACGGGCTGTTGAACGGGAGTTTACAAAGTGGCGTCGACGGCGCTATTTGTGCGGTCTATTATTTGTTCTGTGGCGCGGCGGGCTCGCTGCAAAAATCGCCAGTGTGATAACGCCTTTACAAATTGTGAGGATTCAATCTTATTCCTCAGAAGCGACAACCCATCTGTAGCTTTCTTGTTTTCTGTTTGAAGATCGGAGATGTGGCATAGGCTGCAGTGGCCACTTAAGAACACAACTGTAAGTTCCTTAGTCACCTCAAATTTGTATTAAAAATGTTGTGCAATGCTACTTGGCGATAGAAATAAGGAGGATAATACCAACGAAAACGAACACTTAGGCGAAAACCCTAACTTTTTTTACAAAAACTACTATCTGTATGAGCAGCCTTTGTAAACTCGTTTCATACGAAAGAACACGAAAAAGGTAACTATAGAAGTATTTTGCAATTGCAAACACAATTTGTTGTTGTTATAAACTAGTATAAGGTATACAGTTGCTACAAACAAATACATCTGAATGTATAGTTATACCACAAGGCATTATTTTAAGATCGTATCAATGTCTCGTATACCATAGTAAAACAAATATTAGCAAGTTTTCCACGGTGCATGAGAAATTGTCTCAATAATACGATTATAATGCACTGTTCAATTTGTTACAATAAGTAAAATGTAATTGGTTACAAGATTACCACTGTACACATACGTTATCGTTATAGCTTTTTCTTTGTTTTTTTTTTATAAATTCAAAAAATCAACACCAACTCTAAATATTCCCTTTTAAAATATTTGATTTAGAAATTTAAAAAAAATCTTTTAGGTTATTTTAAAGAAAGATTTCTACAATAAACTGTTTATAACACAATTAATGTAGGTATTACTCAGATGTGTACACCATAAATAATTAAGTTTAAGTAAGCTTCTGACTCAACAGTGGACTTCTGAATGGGCGTATTGATGATGACGATGAAACTTCCTGATTTATGCAAGATAATTATTAAAATTAGGCGTTACTTAGCGATAATCCAATATATTAGAAATGTTAAAAATTAATTAGCTAAGATCCGCGTAATTAAAGTTCCTAGCGTAGTGGTATCATGAATAGTGCTGCTGGGATTAGTGCTGACGGTGATAGTGCACGCAAATGAGGGAGAGCGGGAGGCGCTCTTCAAACTAGTTAAGACATATGTAATAGACACGTGTCAAACATGAGTGATTCCTTCGTTTGAGCTGGTACACTTAAAAGTATTGATAGTTCATTCATCTGTTTTTGAATGTTCCGGTACAACCAATCACAAACAATTGACGGAACCTTTTTAACTCGTGATTGGTGTGAATTGTGAATGAGTCGAAAACCGACCGAATCCCGAATGATCTGAATTAATTGTTTTTAGTGTAGAGCAGCCTTGCCATTTACACGGCAATTGCCGTATTACACGGCAAATTGGCATATTATATATCGGCATATTAATTGCCGTGTTCTAAAACACGGCAATCCAATGATTACTAATTTTTTCGGAAAATTTTATCGGTAATCGATAAGTCTTACAACGCACAACGACGACGTAGTCGTGACTCTATGAGCGGGGAAATCCCGACGCGAATTCGACATACATTCGCGCACACTTCATTGTTTATGGTATTCATTTCATTCTTTCGTTTTTTGAAAAGTACATTAAAAAGATATACTACTGTCATTGAAGTAATATGTACTTACGTACTAGAACAGCTATCTCAAACAAAAAATGTGCGCTACTCTGTGTTCGCGCGGTTGTTTTTTTATCATAGAATAAACATAGGTAGAATGACCCGTAGGCAATATTAGATTGTATTGTTAAATAGGTAAATTATATCGAGAACAATATTTAAATTTTATCATTTATTTTGTATATTATATTTGCTTATTTAATATACTATTACATAATATCATATCACAATTACATTTTAATGATATTTTATCTGAATATTTTAAAAGTTATCTATGTCAAATATAAAAAAAACATACTAAATGTATGTTTAACAAAACTTATTAACATAACATATAAATTACAAATATGTTTATTTAAATTAGAATAAAAGTCGTTCATAAATGCTGGGCACACGAGAGTTAAAAATGGACGAATTTACCTATACCACTTTGACTTTGATGTGGAAACCTAAAAATAAAATAAAAGAATAATAAGCAGATTTAAACATGAAAAATTTTGTCTAATTAAATTTATATATGTTTCTACTAAAAATGTGTATACTAATATATTCATCCTATACTTAAGTACCTACAGAAATGTCGCATCTGAACATATTAATTTCATAATCTATATTCCATGACACGAGATGGCATCTTAGGAATAATTTGTTTTATTATTAATCTATAATACTTTTTTATTGATTAAGTATCTTATTAAACGATGAAAAGTAATTCCTTGGTTTTTACTGGCATTTCTTGAATTATTTGTGCAATATCTAAGTATACACGACGGCATATTTTTATCAAGAGATTTTTTTTAAATCAACACAACACGTGTCAACTCTACAAGCGCCTAGCCAGTAACTGATTAAAGTGCGGTGTATGCACCGCAGTTGAGTGGAACAGAGTAGTTGAATGCAGTGTCGCCTCTAGTACGTAGTACATAATAGCTCATTGACTACTATTTATTTACTTTATTTAACTTTACTGGCTAAGCACTTTATCCGATCCCAAGGAAATTGTCTAAATTTCGAACCGACAAAACAAATGATAGACAATATGAAGGAACGTAATAAATATAAATTGAACAAAGACGAAGAAGAAGTTTTGGATACGATAAGAAATTTGTATGATGACTGTGAAGAGAAATGTTTTTATGTCATGTTTAATCTTACGTGTTAATTTAAAATAAATAAAAATTTACACGGCAATTTTGTAGTTTTTATTGCAAAATACGGCAATCCAGATCCCAAAACACGGCAACTTAAAATTTCGAAATGGCAACCGTGGTGTAGGGTACTGGAGCCCGAAATGATCCATTTGAAAGATCGATCCGAATATACCGGTACGCGTGACGAAATGTACTAGAATGATACGGTCACGATAAATGAATGATTGACAAATGACTATCATGTAATTCTATTACGCAGATCTTAACTAATTAATTTTTAACATCAATTAATGGCATTTAGTTTCCTGATTAGAACCTGGTATGGCGTTAGTTAGAAAATTAATAATTAGCGATTTTGTCTCACCAAGATAGTAGGGATCGGGTTCCCGGGGGTCCCGAGGATCGCGGATCTCCCGAGGGTCCCTGGGGCCGCGGGAACGTCGGTCGCGGTCGCGATCACGGTCGCGTCGTCGCCGTTCCGGCTCCGGCATGTCCTCGTCCGTCGCCGTCGCCTCGCGAGACCCAGCGCGTGAAGGAGACGAGTACGTCTCGCCTGCAAATTTTCAAAATTCCGCTATAACCTATAAGCAGCGCTACATTGTCTCCATATGTCCTCCGGATCGAATTTCGATCACGGCGGCATCTGCGCAGCACAGGATTATAGTGCCCGAGTATATGCGCAAGCACAGGTGCACTCTCTATTCCCTTAATCTCATAGTCAGATGGAACTATAATCCGACACGACTGGAGTAAGATCAGGCACAGGACCGACGGTTTTACGTGTTTTACGTAGCACGAGGATGATACACCGCCAACTTCCTAATCCGAGTTGCTACTGAGAATTTCTTGACAGAGTAAACCCAATAACTGATTTTGGCTCGAACCTGGATTTGAACCTAGGATCTCATGATCGGAAACTACGTTCACGACCACTAGACCAATTAGACAATCATTGCCTTTATAATCTATAAACGGTGCTGCATTGTTTTCGATGATGAGCATTTTCTATATTATGCTAATAGATTTCGCTGCACCAAAAGCTATTTTAAGATCAAATCTCAATATATTTTTACGAGCTTGGGGTTCGTGACAGTCAAAAGCTGCCGATTGAATTACAAAAATTGACACTAATTACTGAACAACAATTACAACTTAAAACATACAAACATAACATAAACACTCACGCCTGTCACCCAGAGGGGTAGGCAGAGACTACAGACTTCCATTTGGCACGATCCTGACACACCTCTCTCGCCTCCTTCACATCCATACACCTACGCATACATGCTCGTCCTCCTAATTTGGTCCGTTAAAAATAAATCGCCAATTTGGTCGATAAATTTTCCCCTAGGACGTCCCTTTCCGACTCTGCCATTCACTTCTGCAACATAAATTTTCTTTGTCACTCTTTCCTCATTCATTCTTTCCACATGACCAAACCACCGAAGCATTCCTTTCTTAATCCTGGTCACAACATCATCTTGCAAACCACACTCTTCTCTTATTACACAATTTCTTACCCTGTCATTCAGATTCAGCCCTAACATACTCCTTAACGACCGCATTTCTACTGCGTTCATTCTACTCTCGTGCTTCTTCTGCCACACCCAACTTTCACTACCATACGTTAAAGTAGGGACCAACACAGCATTGGGAATTGCTATACGTGCCTTTTTTGACACATTTTGACTCTTCACAATAGAGTGCAGGGCCCCATTTACTCTATTTCCCGCATTCACTCGTCGTTCTATATCCTTATCATATCTCCCATCCCTGCTAAATACGCAGCCCAAATATACAAACTCATCTACTTGCTCGATCAACTCCCCTTCTATTCTATTTCACAAATCGTTTTACTTTCTTCTCTTTCAAAAACCATAACCTTCGTCTTACTTGCGTTCACTTTCATACCCCTTTCTTTTAATGATCTGTTCATTAATGTAACCATCATTTGCAACTCGGCCGCCGATGACGCAAGGATAACTTGATCATCGGCGTACAAAAGGCATTTGACGGTTAACTCACCCATTCTTAATCCGCATTCTTCAACTTTCAAATTTTGCAAACAACTGTCCATAAATAGGTTGAACAGCCACGGGGAAGCCACACAGCCCTGTCTGACACCTTTATGGATGTCAAACCAGTCCGAGTAGACCCCGTTGATCCTAACACAAGAAATAGAGTCCCTATAAAGAGACTCCAATGCCTGTATCAAGCCAGCGCTCAACCCAAATGAGTTCAGTGTTTGCCATAGCACATCCCTATCCACTCTGTCATAGGCCTTTTCCAAGTCCATGAACGCACAAAAAACCTTTTGGTTTTTGGCCAAAAACTTCGCCGCGATCATGCGCATGGAAAAGACTTGATCTGTACATCCCATTCCCTTTCTAAATTCCGCTTGCACATCCCAAATTTTTCCATCAGTTTCTTTCATGACCCTTTCAATCAGTACCTTAGCATACACACCCACAATGCTAAGAAGGCTGATGCCACGGTAGTTTTTACAGTCCTGCTGCGACCCTTTTCCTTTATATACTGGGACTATCACGGCTTTGCACCAGTCTACCGGTACCCGCTTCAGTTCCCAGCATAAATTAAACAAGGTGTGTAGCAGGCCTGCCACGACTTCCTCTCCAGCCCTTAGCATTTCGAGTGAAACTCTGTCATATCCGGCAGCCTTACCTGCTTTCATGCTTTTCATTGCTTTCATTATTTCATCTATACTTATCTCGCTACCTCTTTCCTCTTCTTTCGGAGTTTCTACATCACTTAGTACACACGTTGTCTCCTCACTCATAAACACGCTTTCAAAATATTCTTTCCATCTCTTTAAACTCAAAACTTCATCATTCAGAATATAGCCATTCTCGTCTCTTATAGCATTCATCATAGGCTGTTTTGAATGTCCCCTGGCAGTTCTTACAAGTTTCCAGAACATTTTAATATTTGCCTGCAAGTTATCCGGTATTATTCTATCATTCTTATCCGTTCTTTCTTGCTTTTTTCTTTCAACTACTTCTTTTAATCTCTTATTAAGATGTCTAAAGACTGCCTTTTTTCTTTCAATATCATCATTCGTACCGCTAGAATTACCAGTCTTTGTTGCCAGTAAATATAGCAATGCTTGCTCTTCTTTGCTTCAACTTCCATACGTATCTCATCATCCCACCATAACGTATTATTTTTCCTTTCATTCTTTCTCTTACTAACACCACATACTTCGGTAGCTGCATCCACTAAACCTTTCTTTACGTTTTGCCATACATTCTCCAAGTCTAACTACTTCATATATAATTCATCCAAACCACTTATATTTTCTTTGAGTCTACATTTGAACTTGTTTTTCTCACCTTCATCTTTTAACCTTTCTGTTCTAATACGCTGTAACGCAGTGGTAGACATAGATGATCGATGGCGCCAACGCCTGAATAGACCATTAATTCGGCATAAAACCAAATAATGATCCGTTCCTACGTTAGAACCCCGATAAACCCTTGTATCTACCACTGTGCCCCTCAATCTTTCATCCACAATTATGAAATCTATCATGCTTCTATCGTCACCTCTTTCCCAAGTATACATGTGAATCCTCTTGTGGCGAAAGCAAGTGTTCGTCACAAAAAGATTCTTTTCCATACATATGGTGAGGAGACTTTCACCATTCTCATTTATACTTTCATCACCAAACGTTCCTAATATCCTTTCATAACCAAGCCTCCTCACCCCAACCCTTCCATTAAAATCTCCTAGCATAATATTTTCATTTCCCTTACACTTCATTAACACCATCCTTACCATTTCCCAAAACTGCTCTCGGATATAAGTGGGCTTAGACATGTCTGGGGCGTAGACCCCTAACACAAACAACTTCTTTAAGCCCACTTTCATTCGTATCCATACCAGTCTTGGGCTTACACATTCATATTCTCACATATAAACAATAAAACACAATTCGCAGTCATGCGACTCGGTCGCGGTCGTTACCGGTTTTATATAGGGCCTCTTCTACTAAAACATCTAGAATGTTCGAGCACATACCGATACCGACCGATTAGGTGCAGAATGTTCTAGTATGGAATTCTCTAGAAGCATTAGTTCTACTACTCGATACTAGATGGCGTTAGTGCCATGTACCAGGTATTAATTATGGCGCGCAACAATATAAAGACAACTGCATGTTTTATACTAGAAGACCTTTGTTGCCGTCTGGAAAAAAAAGGGTGTAACATGTGAACGGAGTAGAAGCCTATGGCACTGATATTTTACAAAAAAATAGAAACAAAAATGTTTAATTAAATGAAATAATTAATGAAAGTCTATCGAAATTCAAATCATATCCACCCTACTTTACGAACGGCAATAAAACAATAAATTTAGTATGCATCTTTGACCTTGTCACTTCGCAGGGTTCAGGCTCAAGGGCAAAGTAATTGTTAAAAAAAATTGCAATCGATTAATTCAAAATTTTTTGTAAAATATCAGAACCATAGGTTTCTACTCCGTTTACATGTTACAGCCTTTTTTTTCCAGACGGTAAAAAAGGTCAGCCAGTATACAAATGTCATTTAAGAAGACCCCTGTTTTATTTTTTCACTTTTTTATAGGAGGGGGCAAACGAGCATAGTAGTAATACTCTAGAAACTGGCAAAACTTTTATTTAAAACTAATTTCTTAATGAAATGGCATTGCGTAACAAAAACTTTACCTCATTGTCAAGTAGCGACATCTGACGGGTGAAATAATATAAGAACTCATTGAAATAAAAACCAGATAGACTGACAACGGCCCACTTTTTACAAACATAAACTCATATATTTCCCACACATAGCTCAATAACATCGCATGTCACTAAGACTTAAGAATACAATATTTTTTATTATTTTATAATACGAGAACTTAAATCATCTTGTGTTTTTTTTTAATTAGAATTTGTCAGTTTTAATTTTAAATGCTGTTGATTCGGTATAACATGCCACTTGTTCAGGAGAGAGAATGAGATGGAGACCCTTACGAGCTCTTATTGCTTTATTGTCCTTTAAATATAAGTAGCGATCCCCGGCTTTGCACGGGCGATTTTTGCATCTCGACAACTTATTATTATTGAAAACCGCATCAAAATTCGTTGCGTAGTTTAAAAGACCTAAGCGTACAGACATTGTTTTATACTATGTGGAGAAGAGACCTGCAGTAAAATGTTCATTTGATTTTTTTTTAAATTACAGTCTCCTCTCATTTGTAAGAGGATTATAAGCATTAAGGGCAGTAACGAGTTTTTATGGCGCCACTTATAAAGGAGGTGAAAATATTTGACAGATTGCATGGCGGGGAAGTTAATTTGTTACAATAATGTAAGAGTTACAATAATATGAGGTGAAATTATCATTATAATGTTTCTTTATAATAATAATTTCACCTCAGTTCCTCACGTGAGAGAAATATTATTAGCCCTCATTAGTCATCCAGCGCGGGTTGCCGGGCTCTTCACTTGTCTTCGAAATATTTTATTCCTCATAGAATAGAATAAAATATAATCGAATAATTTTTATTCAATAT